TGTAGTGATGAGCCGGTGCGGCACAACACACACTTTCCTCGATTGTTTGTAAACAAAGGTAAGTCGTTATTGTTTGCCGCTTCACAACCTCTACCCCGACATGATGTATCCACATAGTAATCACTGGCTCGCCGTTGTACAGGCAATTCTGGTAGGAGTCGGGTGCTACTGGTAGGCTGGTGTAGGCGAGAAGCGGGGGCAAGCATTTTGTCATGACTGTAGGCAACTACTGCGCGAGCCAGAACACCTCGTCTGAGAGGGGGCTCAAACAGCTTTCGGCTCAAGGCTACCAAGAAGAACACCAAAACCGTGCAATGGCAGAGTCATTGCAGGCATCCCCTTGTACAGCGGAGCCCGAAGATGGAACAACCACGATAGCAGACTGGCTGGCCGACATGGAGCCCTTTGGCCCGCAATACCTGCGCGCAGTCACGGCAGGAAAGGCCCTGCGGTGCTTTGCCCGTTCTTTGTGGGGCAAGGACTTCTTGTATCACCAGAGCTTTGTGAGGAAGAAGAAGGTCGGGGTCTTTTGGTCTCACTCTTGGAGAACGCCACCATGGAAGAAGGCTGGGCTGCTCCTGTTTTGGTACAACGGCAACGTCGCCACCATCGTTGCCACATTGGGGGCGGTTGTGATGTTCCTGCTGTGCTGCTGTGACATCCTCCCAGGATTTATGAAAAGTCCATGGACTGGACCCCCACGCAAATTGCCCTTCGGCGCCTGGAGCACCTTGACTGGAAGCTTGTTGTACTTCATGGTCCTCACAGGCTACCGGTCCCAGAGGACTGTTTGGCTGGACTGGATGTGCATAAACCAAAAGGATGAGGCGAAGAAGATGAAAGGTGTTCTGAGCCTGGGGGCGAACATCAAGACTTCGGAGAAGATGCTGGTCTTATGGGATGAGACGTGGATTCATAGGCTTTGGTGTGTCTTTGAGCTGTCTGCTTTTTTGAAGTGCCAACAAATGCAGGCCGGACAGACGCTCACCGTTTTACCGGTCTTTATTTTTCCTTTCTGGCTTGCCAACTTTCTGATGCTCATGCTCATCATGACAGCAAACGTTATGATCCCGCTTGGCAACCTGACCTACGTCGTTTTGGGATTCCTTGGCCTGCTGTTCTGCAGTATTTTTTGGGAGCGGGTGCTTACCACGCACTTTTCTCAAATCAGTGCTTTGAATGAGCGCCTGGCCAGTTTTTCCTTCAAGGACACTATGTGTACATGCTGCACCAAAAGTCACAAGGATGCATACGGACATCACATTCAATGTGACCGAGAACTTCTGTCTCAGTGCATGTCCACCTGGTTTGGGTCGGAGGAAGCCTGCGAGGCAAGCGTCTCCTCCGCATTAGCCGGGGTTTTGAAGGAGAAACTAGGCGCCCGGTTTCCCTTTCCATACTGGATGCTTTTGAGTGCCGGCCTGCCATGGGTTTGGGGCTATATGGACTTTGCCGCTGCCCGCGTTCGGGGAGAGGAATGGGAGGAATTTGCTGCAATTGTCATGAACGGGGTGGCATGGTGGGCCAATATCGGGCCAGCCATCACCACCTTTTCTGTTACCCTCATTTGGAAGCTGCGCTCATGCCGGCGATCGATGGTACTTCGTTGGCTTTGCCGCCTAGTGATCGTTGTTATGCAACTGATCGGTCACGCCTACTACCGCGTGTTGCAAGACTTTGTGCCAGGCAGGCTTGTTAACGAGGCGATCTTCTTCGTCACGAGTTTGATTGCGGCAGTCACGGCGTGGCGACTCCGACGCGAGGGCTATATTCAGTAGACATGTGCATGCCCAGGCGCTTAAAATATGCCTTTTTTCAATAGAAAGTTTGAAGGTAGCTCGCTGCACCTGCAGGTGCAAGGCCATGGTAAGTGGCCGAGCACCACGGGAATACCAGGAGCTTACCGGAAAGAACTTCGCCGGGCACTGACAAAAGTCCAAGTGCCAGGCCTTTTTCAATGCCTTTTGGGTTCCACCACGGACACTGCAATTCAGGCTGTGGCCATCTATGCGAAGCAAGGATTGGGTTGCTGGTCGGCAGATCGTTTCGAAAAGTGGGCTTCAGATGGATTAGTTTTCCGGCCCATTTGCACGACCCAAGTGGTAACAAGCAGACACGTATATTGCACGCGCTCAGTGTAAGCCTCAGCGGCCTTGCCACCCCTTTCCGCACCGGAGCGGAAAACAGGCCAAATCCTTGAGCCAGACTCATGAACCTGGTGGGTCAACAGGGTTTCTACCATTCATACTTCCATTTGCTTCAGAGTATTCTTATTTTCCCCTGTTGGTTTTAAAGGGAATCTACCACTACTGGAAATACGTGTATTTTTCCATTAATCTTGACCAAATGGAAGTATAGAGGGTAACTTGTGAGGAGCTGCGAAAGTGAGAGGCTCAGCAAGCCAAATTCTGAAGACATGGTTCGTGATGTTTTATCCAGTTGCCAAAGTTAGTTTTGGTCAAATAAAAAAGTCCACAATGCTTGTTGTTTGGTTTTTGAATTTAGTGTTGCCACTCGTGAGGACTGACAGGCGACCTGTGCGGCATGAACAGTGAGAAAGCTTATGTTCATTCGCAGGTCTTTGCACACGCACACACACAAGCACACATCCAGGTCACATCCACGAAAACAAGACAGAGGACATTGCTGCACTCACAACCGAGAAGAGACATGGTATGGGGTTAGTGACCTTCGTGTTTTGTGTTGCCAAGGGCTAGCCCATGTTCTCGGCCCCAGATGCAAGCCCATTCTGTTCTTCTTCGGGAAGGCGGCTCCAAAGTTTTTGTTTGGCAACTTAAAAGACCCTAGGCACGAGAATCGCAGAAAAGACCACCCATACTTCCCGGTGGCCCTCCAACCATGGGTCGACTTGCTCTCTCCGGCGGAAAGGGGGGACCTGTTGGAAGTTGGAAGGGGCTCACGAAGAAAAACCTTCGTTCCCATCTTTGGGTGTCTTTGGGGGAACCTGACACCTGGGACTGTGCAGCAATGGCGCCGCAAGTGCCCAGTGCACAGGCAGGGCCTGCGGGTTTGTTTCGAGAAGGGAAGCCAAAAGGAAAAAGCCAGAATTCCTGGGATGTGTCCTAAAATGACCTTCCCAAAAATGCGAAAGTCGACAAAAACACAAACGTTCGCGTAGGATATCATAGCAACTTTGGTGTCACTGTTGCTGTTCTCGAGCAGAACGATATGACATGAGTGTCTCAGCAGCGACGTTAGAGCCAAGAGGTAACAGTGCCACAAGTGGCACATCAGGCAACCAGGCCAACCAGGGCCCAACGAAACCAAACTGGAAGAACGGAACCATGAAGTCTGACAAATGAGTTGCTCAAATCTCCTTCAGGTGTCACGCTGGGCCACCCACAAAAGGACCAAGCCGATTTTGGGCAACGGCGAGCTTGAATGCACCGCACCAGGCGCACGAGATTCGAAGGATTGCTCATATATCTGAAGAGTCTAGGGAAGCCGCGAGCCGCGAGGCATGGCCGTGCTTTGGGCTAAGTTAACTCAGCACATTGACATGGAAGTTGGGCTCCTTGCGTTGGCCAGCTGTGTGTCAGTAGGATTTGATTTGACAGAAGTTGCAGGCTAAGATGCTGCTGACTGTGCAATCGCTACCCCGGCCCCCATTGATTGAACGTTGCCATGAAGCATTGTGTCCGAACAGGCCGTGCTGGCCAGGGGTCTGTGAACCTCTCCCGCGCCTGGTTTAGACCTCACTTAGACCTCGTTAAGTTAGGTCTGGTTACAGCCCCCTTTTTACAAGCGAAAGACAAAAGCAGAAAAGGTAAGAGGAGGACAAGAAATGAAGATAGATAAAGAGGACGCAGAAAGGATAAAGAAGAACAAGAAGAAAGAATAGACAAGGCAGAAGGAAACAAATGAAGACAGAAGAAATAATGAATAGAAAGAAGAAAGAGACAAGGAATAAAGAGGAAAGAGGAAACAAATAAAAGAAGAATAAAGAAGACAGGCATAGCGGCAAGACAAGAAGCCTGCGGCTTCATGGGGGGCGGTACTTGTTGAGCACATTGGTTTCATTTTTTTTTTAGAAGGTTGTTGCTTATAACTTATAAATGCAAAAGAGAAAGAAGTTCGCAATGGATGCAGCGCATGTTGGTTAGTTGTGGTGTGCTATGCGTTTGTGGACACGGTTCGGACAATAATTGTGCTCACAACCTGGCTCAGACAAGCAGAAGCTACTGCGAAAGCGCATCAGAACAAAACAGCGGGGCAAGGCAGTGGCAAGATGATGGCAAGATGAGCGCGCATTTTGGGTGTGGTGTGCCATGCCGATTGGCAAATAGGCTAAGGTCTTGATGTTGTGGGGTAAGCGGTGTGCCACCCAGGTGGGCCAAGTTCATCGGATATGTGGCAAGTTTTCCGACGGACAAATTCCTCAAGGGTGCCTGCATTCATTCCCACAGGCATGAAAGGGCACATCCTGCCACATGTCCTCAATGTTGCCCCCCAATATTGCTTTGTCTTCTCACCAGGTCTGCACAGGCCTGGAGGTGGAGCCGGTGGAAGTCTGCGGCTTGAGCTTCCGTAACCCGGCGAAGCGCTACCGCTTGAGCTACTTCGCTGCTGAACAAACAGGGGAAGTTGGGTACTTTACGGCCAAACCAAGTCATGATCTTAGGATGCCCGTCTTGCAGAGGAACACCTGGCACAACTCCAAGCCAGTATCGTTTAGTCATCCCCTTTACCCGCCCGCCTGCAATTGCGCAATTGTGCTCTTTCACGTGGCGCACCCTAGAAACGAGTCATAACGTAGATTTATTGACTAAGCGACCACTTAGGGGTGACTTTGGCAGTGCAAAAATACTGGGGCCAGAGGGGCATTTCGACTTCGCTTTCCTTTTTCTTTGAACCTGTTGGTTTCTTTATGGTCTATGGGTTCCAAAAGGTGATCACCTATCATTTGCAGGTCTGGGCAAGCGAGCTTACCAAAACGCGAAAACCGCCCCCGAAAATGGGTGGAGTGGTCCTTTTGGTTTCCCTTCAAAAAAGGGTGTGCCCTCCAAACCCCCCCTCCCCCCCCGGAATGTGGTCTTTTTGGTTTCCCTTTAAAATCGGGACCCTCCCCTCCCCCCCCTCCAACCAAATTGACGGCGCGCCTTCTGTCAAAGCGCGCTTCGCGCCTCGCACGCGAGGCATCCTGCGGCGGCGCTCGGACTTCTTCGCGGCGGTGGCGGGGGATCTGCCGGTCAGCTCCACGGGGCTGGTGCTTTGGGAGCGCCGGCCTTGGGGGGTCCGGGTCTGGGAGGGGGGGGGTTAGGGTCCAGATGGGTTTGTCTCAAAATAGAAAAACACCTTCTTGGACGTTTTTTTTGGGGGGACCCCTTTTTTTTGGCTTTAGAGGGGGGAAAAGAAGACTAACCACCTAGAGGGGCCCCTTACTAAATTTGAGACACATCCATGTTTGCTGAGACCTTTTTTGGGAGGTGGTGGCTACCCCCCCTACGAACATGCAACTTGACCTGTCCCCGGAAGATCGGAAGCTCGTTTTTCTGAGTGACTGGGAGCAGCAAGGACACGATAGCTTTGGGTCCGGGCCCGATCGCGGATCAGCAATCACTGGGCTGCAACAGTCTTTATTTTTCTTGCTATGCTCTTGCTGGCCTTTTTGGGCTACCTCGGACTACCGGACTACCTGCTTGGAAAAAGATTGATTGCGCTCCAAAAGTGATCTTCCTCTTGGTACGAAAATAGGTATGACACGCATGTGTGGAATTGTTCGGAGGTTATCAAGCTTCATTGTCAGACTCCAGCATTTTTTAGTCAGTTGCCTAGGCAGGATGGTTTGGGTCGGGTTAGGCTCGGACAGCTATGGCAAAAAGCCCTCAAGTCGCCTTAACAACCTATGCCACTCGGCGGTCCACATCGCACGCGCATATTTTCCCAGCAAGCGTGCAACGCAGTTAGGCGCCATTAGGTGTGACGCGTTCAATTTCTGGTGTGAAGGATGTGCCCATTGCTCAGTGTGAGGGCAGCGCATGCGGTTCAATAAAGGTGACGGGTCCATCGTGCAGAGTGATGGGTCTAGTGAAGCGTCAATCAATTCTACCCCCCCTTTTCCAAGAAGATAGAGAAAAAGAGAAAATGCCACACATCGTCCAGGAATTCATCACCAACAGGCGTCAGTGTTCACGTTGGCGTTCAACTGTTGCTCATGTCACTCAGCTATTTGTCCATTATTTTCCAAGATCAAGCACTGCATCACATTGATGACATGGATATACATTGATGCTTGGTTTTCCACCTGGAGTTCTCAGTGTTTCTTTTTCCCGCGCAACGCAACGAAACGGTTTCCCAGGTGCGCCATCCTGTTGGCGGAGTACCTGGGCTATGCGGGCTGGACGGGCGGCTATGAGGACAGGAACTGGTGGCAGCTGCATCCGCCGGCCGCCGTGGTGCCCGCCAGGCCGGACATGGAATCCGAAGACTTAGATCTTGGGGGCCAAAACAAGATAGGAAAACAGGGGTCCCCACTGCGCTGAGTGGCCAGGCCGTACCACCCTGCCAGTTCCCACTTGACCCCAAACAAATGTCGCTCAAGACCTGAGGGTGTTTGAAGCAAACTATGTTGAGACGCCGCTGCGATTGATTTGGTCGCCTGAGTTACTCTGTAGAGCGGCGCGGATTTGTTGACAATCCGCGCTCGCCCACATGAGCAATCCTTGCTTGCAAACACACATCAAAGGAGGGAACATCACAAAAGTACTGTCCCTGGCATCAGCTCTTGGAGAAGACCTGCTCAAACATCAGCTGGGCGTGATCCAAGACCACGGGAATTTTTAACTGCCTTTCGGCACATCCTTTTCGAAGGTACTCGTATCATCCGTGGCCATGTTGACTTATCTAAGGGTTTTTGTATTGCGCCCTGGGATTACGCCCACTGGAAAATGACCCCATGTAGGCATATATGTCCGGGATATAATCATGTTATTGTGGACCATTGTGCAAGGGTGCAATCCCAGGGTGAAATACAACAACCAACAGAATAACAGTTAGCCATACACGGAGCATCCCAGATTGGCAGATTCCAGAGGTTCTGGCGACGGCAGCGCGCGGTCCTAGAGCTGGGGGGCGGCGCTGGCTTGGTGTGCGCGGCCCTGACCTCTCTGGGCGCGCAGGCAGAAAAGAACATCCAACAAGCTGCAACAATTCTTTAGGGCATTGTGCTTTGATTTTAAGACTTTAACTTTTTGCCAACTAATGGGGTTTCCACTAAACCACCAAAAGTTAAACTTTCAGCAGGGGAGCAGACAGCAACCGAGAATTGGCATGTGTTGCTCGTTTCCTTTGTATAGTCCTGGTTCTTAGGGGGAGAGGCTGCAAAAAGGAAACACCATTTCTTATCGTGCTAGCCTGAGAAGATGTTTCACTGTTTGTTATCCCAACTTGTTGGGATGGTTCTGAAACAAAAACCAACGGGAGGTTCTAAAGGCAGCGAATTGGTGGTTCGGATTGGTGCTTTGGGGGTGGGTACCCCTGGTCCTTGGAGGGTAAATAGGAAATGCCACCCCTGGAACACTTCCAAACCAAATGTTCATTTTGATTGGTGGTGGCTGCGACACAAATCCACAGTTCTGTTGCTACCATGCCAAGGTCCGGGAAGATGTTTCACTGCAAATTGGCATGGCACGCTGGGGGTTCCTTGCAAAAGATCCTGTCGCACGGAAGTCATATATGGGAACGGTTCTACTCCAAACAATTTGAGTTTTCATTTTCCCCAACAGCTGGAAGCTATGGGGTCTTTGCCCAGACAGGCTCTGGTGTGAGGGCTGGTTCCAGGGGTTCCGGGGGCTGTTGAGCATGCCACCAAGTTGGACCTTCCCTCGGATGCAAGGCACATGGGCTTTGGAAATCGACTTTGGGTGAGCGACTTCCCTTCAGCGTTTCAGCCACCATCCACGTGGATGGGATGAACTAACGTGGAACTCAATAGAGGGTCACCCTTAGTGGAGAATTGTGTTCCAAGACTCCTGTAAGTGGGAGGGAGAGCAGGTGGTTGTGGGTTGCCGCATTTATCACCCAGTTTCGGTTGGCCATACCCCTTCGATCGATGACTTATCCAAGATGGATGGCTGGCCTGCAACATTCGGCGATTCGCCTGGTTGAAACCGAAGGGGACGCGCCGGGGGCAGTGGATGGCGCGCGTGCGACAAACAAGCGAGCAGGAGAAGACCAAGCAGGGTCAAGCCTGGTTAGTCAATTGGGGGGGGGTTCCCGAATCCAACAATTGAAGCGGCATTTGAGAAATCAAGGCGTGACACGGAAACCACCTAGTTATTCTCCCCAAGTCAGGTTCGATCAGACGAAGCAAATTTTCTCCCAGATGCTGGGGCGTCAAACCTGGAGGTTGTCTACACCGATGGGGATCCTGCAGCTTTGCGCACGGCCGAGCTGAACCTGGCGAATGCTTGGGCCCAGCGCAGGCAAGCGAATAGAGTCATGCCGAGCCAGCCCATTGCCGACTCACAAGCCAGGATTTGGATTGCTCAAGATGGCCAACTGTCATGGCCCGAAAGATTAATCTGAAATGTGATTGAGTTGTTCAGGTCGCATGGGCAAGTGAGACCAAATACACGGGCTGTTACCACACAAAGTTGCTGAGCAATCAGCAACCCACTCCCTTTCCACATGCTATGCACAGATGGACTCTGATCACCCGGGTTCAGGCAGACGGCTGGTACCTAAAGGATCCTAAAGGTTTGTTCCCAACGCTTGGTGAAGCCACTCCCACTCCTATTTGCTTACCGACAACTTGCCTCGCAAGGTGCATTTTGTCCATTTTCCACGGCACAAATTTGCGCTCCAGGAAACTCTTATTTGCATGTCGCAGGCTTGGGCTGGTGGATGGCATGTCGCATTCCAAGTGTCAGTCTGGCTTCATCAGATGAGGTAACATTCCCAACAGCTGGCCAATTGCCAACATGAAATGGCAAAAGCCACCCTGGAAAGAGCAGGTAAAGAGTTGCTCGGGTTGAGCTGTGCATGTGCTTCGGCAGGCAGAGCACTTTCGGAGAATGAGACCACTGCAGACCTGGTTGCGGTGCAAAACATCTTCAATACCCTCCCTTCCCGGAGAATCAGACCACTGCAGACCTGGTTGCGGTGCAAAACATGTTCAATACCCTCCCTTCCCGGCGAATGAGACCCCTGCAGACCTGGTTGCGGTGCAAAACATCTTCAATACCCTCCCTTCCCGGAGAATGAGACCACTGCAGACCTGGTTGCGGTGCAAACCATGTTCAATACCCTCCCTTCCCGGAGAATCAGACCACTGCAGACCTGGTTGCGGTGCAAAACATGTTCAATACCCTCCCTTCCCAGAGAATGAGACCACTGCAGACCTGGTTGCGGTGCCAAACATGTTCAATACCCTCCCTTCCCACAGAATGAGACCACTGCAAACCAGGTTGCGGTGCAAAACATGTTCAATACCCTCCCTTCCCGGAGAATCAGACCATTGCACACCAGGTTGCGGTGCAAAACATGTTCAATACCCTCCCTTCCCGGAGAATGAGACCACTGCAGACCTGGTTGCGGTGCAAAACATGTTCAATACCCTCCCTTCCCGGAGAATCAGAGACCACTGCAGACCTGGTTGCGGTGCAAAACATGTTCAATACCCTCCCTTCCCAGAGAATGAGACCACTGCAGACCTGGTTGCGGTGCAAACATGTTCAATACCCTCCCTTCCCGGAGACCACTGCAATCGGTGCAAAACATGACCCCTCCCTTCCCGGAGAATCAGACCACTGCAGACCTGGTTGCGGTGCAAAACATGTTCAATACCCTCCCTTCCGGAGAATGAGACCACTGCAGACCTGGTTGCGGTGCAAAACATGTTCAATACCCTCCCTTCCCGGCGAATGAGACCCCTGCAGACCTGGTTGCGGTGCAAAACATGTTCAATACCCTCCCTTCCCGGAGAATGAGACCACTGCAGACCTGGTTGCGGTGCAAAACATGTTCAATACCCTCCCTTCCCAGAGAATGAGACCACTGCAGACCTGGTTGCGGTGCAAACATGTTCAATACCCTCCCTTCCCGGAGAATGAGACCACTGCAGACCTGGTTGCGGTGCAAAACAATGTTCTCTTCTCGGGAAGGGAGGGTATTGAACATGTTGTGCACCGCAACCAGGTCTGCAGTGGTCTCATTCTCTGGGAAGGGAGGGTATTGAACATGTTTTGCACCGCAACCAGGTCTGCAGTGGTCTCATTCTCCGGGAAGGGAGGGTATTGAACATGTTTTGCATCGCAACCAGGTCTGCAGTGGTCTCATTCTCTGGGAAGGGAGGGTATTGAACATGTTTTGCACCGCAACCAGGTCTGCAGTGGTCTCATTCTCCGGGAAGGGAGGGTATTGAACATGTTTTGCACCGCAACCTGGTCTGCAGTGGTCTCATTCTCCGGGAAGGGAGGGTATTGAACATGTTGTGCACCGAAACCAGGTCTGCAGTGGTCTCATTCTCTGGGAAGGGAGGGTATTGAACATGTTTTGCACCGCAGTGGTCTCATTCTCTGGGAAGGGAGGGTATTGAACATGTTTTGCACCGCAACCAGGTCTGCAGTGGTCTCATTCTCCGGGAAGGGAGGGTATTGAACATGTTGTGCACCGCAACCAGGTCTGCAGTGGTCTCATGCTCTGGGAAGGGAGGGTATTGAACATGTTTTGCACCGCAACCAGGTCTGCAATGGTCTCATTCTCCGGGAAGGGAGGGTATTGAACATGTTTTGCACCGCAACCAGGTCTGCAGTGGTCTCATTCTCCGGGAAGGGAGGGTATGGAACACGTTTTGCACTGCAACCTGGTTTGCAGTGTCTCATTCTCTGGGAAGGGAGGGTATTGAACATGTTTTGCACCGCAACCAGGTCTGCAATGGTCTCATTCTCTGGGAAGGGAGGGTATTGAACATGTTTTGCACCGCAACCTGGTCTGCAGTGGTCTCATTCTCTGGGAAGGGAGGGTATTGAACATGTTTTGCACCGCAACCTGGTTTGCAATGGTCTGATTCTCCGAGAAGGGAGGGTATTGAACATGTTTTGCACCGCAACCTGGTTTGCAGTGGTCTCATTCTCTGGGAAGGGAGGGTATTGAACATGTTTTGCACCGCAACCAGGTCTGCAGTGGTCTCATTCTCCGGGAAGGGAGGGTATTGAACATGTTTTGCACTGCAACCTGGTTTGCAGTGGTCTCATTCTCTGGGAAGGGTATTGAACATGTTTTGCACCGCAACCAGGTCTGCAGTGGTCTCATTCTCCGGGAATGGAGGGTATTGAACATGTTTTGCACTGCAACCTGGTTGGCAGTGGTCTCATTCTCTGGGAAGGGAGGGTATTGAACATGTTCTCATTCTCTGGGAAGGGAGGGTATTGAACATGTTCTGCACCGCAACCAGGTCTGCAAGGGAGGGTATTGAACATGTTTTGCACCGCAACCAGGTCTGCAGTGGTCTCATTCTCCGGGAAGGGAGGGTATGGAACACGTTTTGCACTGCAACCTGGTTTGCAGTGTCTCATTCTCTGCAAAGGGAGGGTATTGAACATGTTTTGCGCTGCAACCTGGTTTGCAGTGGTCTCATTCTCTGGGAAGGGAGGGTATTGAACATGTTTTGCACCGCAACCAGGTCTGCAGTGGTCTCATTCTCCGGGAAGGGAGGGTATTGAACATGTTTTGCACCGCAACCAGGTCTGCACTGGTCTCATTCTCCGGGAAGGTAGGGTATTGAACATGTTTTGCACTGCAACCTGGTTTGCAGTGGTCTCATTCTCTGGGAAGGGTATTAAACATGTTTTGCACCGCAACCAGGTCTGCAGTGGTCTCATTCTCCGGGAAGGGAGGGTATTGAACATGTTTTGCACTGCAACCTGGTTTGCAGTGGTCTCGTTCTCTGGGAAGGGAGGGTATTGAACATGTTTTGCACTGCAACCTGGTTTGCAGCGGTCTCATACTCTGGGAAGAGAGGGTATTGAACACAGTAGAGGAACCCGAGGCACCATTTTTTGACCTGACGCTCGCAGGAAGCGCGGCAAGGAGGGCTGGGGCTCCTGCACCTTCCGGCGCCTCAGCTTCGGGGATGAGGAAGCCGCCAGGAAAATCGTGGAGGACGGGCCTTGCCCGATTTTGTTTTTTGTTTTTCTTTCGGAGTATGGCCTTTCACCAGCTAGCATGGGCCCTTGCGAAGAGGAAAGTAGTCTTTCTACATGGGTTTTTGGAAGGGGTCTGTGCACTTCCATGTTGGCTGGTGGGAGGGTAAGCGGCTCGCAGCAAAGCTCACATTGCATCAGGTGAGTTTGTACCGCATGGAAGTTGGGTGCACGGTTTCCTTGGCCCTTGACCCTCGCGACAGGAGCTGGGCCCCTTTGGCCATGTGGTGGGCAGCGATTTGCTCTATGGTGATAGGGCACCTCCAGAGCCCTTGCTGGCAGCTCTGCTTCGGATGGCCCCAACCACTGACAGAAGAGGATGGACATTTAGACTTAACTAGCATCCAGTAGGCCAACTACCGTGGAAAAATGGTCTTCCAAATGTGGCGTTTGTGGGTTGGTGTAGGGTCCAGCGTTGTTTTACTTTATGCCAAATTGCTAGCAAATGGGGCGCGCCAGATGCAGGTTTCTGCAGCAACAGGCAGTGGAACAGGTGAACCGTATGAACCCATGCGGGGCCTCCTTTGCATATTTTGGTGGCGCACCCACATGGCAGGGTTGTGCGTTCTCGTTTTTGTGTTGAGAAAGTGTTAGCTAATTTGGCGAGCTTTTGGCCCACGCCGTTTTAATCCGTTTTACTAGGGTTTGCATGGCTTGGGGCATGTATGGGCTGAGTATCCTTTATCATGTTGTTGCTTCCATTCTTTCCAGCCGACATGCTTGGGCAACTGGTCATGGAACTTTGTTCATTGAGAGCCATCTTGCTCCGAAAGGAATGGCAAGCCAGCAAAGGTCTGAAGGCCAACCAACTGCCGTTTTGCGCTCAGCTTGTTTCTGAGGACACGCTGGCAGCACTGGCGCGAGCACAGGACGCCTTGGGCGAGCCGTTCTTGGTGACCATCGCCATCAAGAACCGCTGCTGCGATGAGGCCTGGCACGGCCACTTACCACGCACTTCCTTTGGAGAGTTTGATGGAGCCTGCGCACGTGCTCTACAAGTTGCATATTCAATATGATTCACTTCTCTTGAGATTCTGACAGGTCGCAGCCATGAAATTGGTTCGAACTTCCGCCCGGTTGCATGGGAGAAGCTAGCCAATGGGTTTCAGCATATCAATATGTGCAAGGGACCGTTCTGACAACCGCTGTTCTTGAACATGCTGATTCGTGATTTTCCCACGTCAAATTTTCATGCTTGACTTCAGCATGGCTTGAGCCGAGTCACTTTCCACAGGTGAGAAGACAAAGTGTAGCATGGCTCAATTCATGCACTGGTTGCCTACTGGCCTGAGTCATGACCGTTTAGTGCCATCTCAATGAGCCTGAGCCCTTGTTGCAGATGTCACTGCACAGACCCACAAGTCTTGGCAAAAAGACTCCGTTTCGGTTTTGGCACCAGCCAGAACCCTCTCCACTAATTAATCTTATTTCAGGTAGCCCGTGGGCGATTGTGAACGGTGGTTGGGTTGCTCCTCTGGCCGTTGAGGCTAGCCCGGACCAACCGGACGAAGCCACCAATTGGAGGGAAGCTGATAGTGGCGACCTTCTGGCCAGTCAGGGAAAAAGAACACCCAGTTTTGAGAAGCAAAAGGGCGGCGGATTTGATTTGGCCACCTATGTGCCCCATTGCCCAGTTCCCCCGTCACGATTGCCCATCTCAGCACGCGGCTTCTAAGAATTTCAGGGATGCATCCTGCCTAGCGAACTTGTCATGCTTAAGTCAGGGCTGTCAATTGTACACGCGCATTAGGGTTCCCCATTGGGGATTGCTTCTTTAAAAAGGAAGCCAAGTGGTTCCACCAAAGTGGAACCCTCTACCATTTTGCAGCAATCATGGGCTTGAAAGATCAGAGGGTTTGGGAAGACTACCTTCTTGAAAAGGCCCCTTATCCAGTTGGAAAAAGGGCTATTCTGACCCTGGTGAAACGACTGCACTCCGGCAGGTAGCAACTGGCACCCCAAATCTTCATCATTGTTTTAATGAACCTCCTGGGAAAGACAATTCTTTTGGAATGTGGGTTGCCTCGGATCACTTGGTGCTAAACACCCCTATGAAAAATAATAGACAGAGTCAATTTTACTCAGGGAAGTAGCAGACGAGTTTTGGCGTTTGCGGCGGGCTGACAGATACCTTGGTCGCAACGTATGGACGAAGGGCTCGGAGCGGGTGCGAACGCGCATCGCTTTCCCGAGGTCAGGCGCACATTTCGTGGCAGGCCCGTCACTTTCACAAGGCCAAGTAGAAATTGAGTGGCAGGCGCAGCGCTTTTGCAAGGTGGCGGATTTCACGACAGGCGCAACACTTCCACAACGTCAGGTACGGATTTGCTGGCAGGCGCAGCGCTTTCAAAGGGTACTGAAATAGGTAAACGGATGGATAGATAGATAGGTAGGCAGATAGATAGATGGCTAGATGGCTAGACAACGAGAAAGATAGTCAGATTATTTGATGGACAGATTGTAGAAAGATAGATAGATAGATTAGAGTAGGCCAGACTAGATTAGATCAGGTAGATCGATTGAGAGACTAGCTGGGCCGACATGAGCAGAACGGATTTTCCGCATCGCTTTCAGAAGGTAGATAAGTTGACGGATAGATAAATAGATAGATGGATGGATGGAGGCGCATCGCTTTCAGAAGATAGATAAGTTGACGGATAGATAAATAGATGGATGGATGGATAGGTAGATAGCTAGATGGCTCGCTTCATAGATGGCTAGATGGCTACACCTGGGTAGTGGCAAGGTAGCTGGATTATGTAGACAGTAAGACACAAAGGTGCACACGTGGATCACTCGACAATTGTATGGATTAGATAGGTTCGGTAGGTAGGTAGGATAGGTAGGTAGATGGACAGTCGATAGGTAAATATGTGGATAGGTACATAGATAGACAGGCAGCTGGGTAATTAATCAGGTAGGTACATAGACACATAGAGTGGATTATTAGGTAGGTTGATGCACAGCTAGCTGTCCGGTACAGCCTCCGCAGCCAAAAAAGATGCACAGATAGAGAAATGAAACGACAAGTCTTGTTACATCGGAAGGTAGACAGACAGACGGATATAGATAGGTAGAGAGAGATTTTTAACATGGTAGATAGATAGGTTCAGAGAGGAAGAGAGACAGAGAGAGAGAGAGAGAGACTGAAAGTGAGGTTCAATGGATAAACAAAGATAGGTACAGCACCAAAGAAGAAGAAGAAGACCAATGACAAAGACAAAGGACAGAGAGAGAGAGAGAGAGAGAGAGAGAGAGAGGGAGGGAGGGAGAGAGAGAGAGAGGGGAGGGAGAGAGAGAGAGGGGAGAGAGTGAGAAAGAGAAAGGCAAGACAGACAGACAGACAAAAAGAACACAGAAACAAAGACAGACAGATACAAAGAAAGTATACAATAGTGCAATAATCAGAGGAAGTTTCGATAGAAAACTTCCGTCAATACAACAAAGTTGATCAAGCAGATGTGCACTCCCGTAAGAAAGCAGAATCAGAAGATAGAGCCCGACCGAGTCGCGAAGCCACGGTTTCGAACAGTTTTTCAATGGCCCAGACTGTTTCGGAGCTGCAAATCGCGTGGCGGGCACAGCACTTTCGCAGCCTGAGGTGCAGATTTTGTGGCAGGTGCAGCATGTTGTAACCATGCCAGGTCAAGTGCAGATTTCGTGGCAGGCGCAGCATGTTGTTCCCACGCAAGGTCAAGTACAGATTTCGTGGCAGGCGCAGCATGTTGTTCCCACGCAAGGTCAAGTACAGATTTCTTGGCAGCAGGCGCAGCACTTTCGCAAGGTGAAGTGCAGATTTCGTGGCAGGCACAGCATGTTCGCAAGGCCAGGTGTTAGATTGACAGATAGATGGATCGAGCACAGGTTTGGTGAAGGGCGCAGCACTTTCGCGAGGTCGAGTACAGATTTCGTGGCAGGCGCAGCATATTTGCCAGGTTCGGTGACAGACAGATAGATAGATAGATAGTTAGGTAAAAGGAGAGAAAGTGGTGAAAGAAAAGAAAGAAGAAGAGAGAGAGAGAGAGAGAAAAAGAAAGAAAGAAAGAAAATAGAGAGAGAAAGAAAGAAAGAAAGAAAAATAGAGAGAGAGAGAAAGAAAGAAAGAAAGAAAGAAAGAAAGAAACAAAGAAACAAAGAGCCAAAAGAAAAAACGCGTGCCAAGCTCTTTCTATACGCACTCTTCTCGCTTTAGAAACTTCCGCCCACCGGCTTCGCTGGCCCGACTGGTAATGAGAAAGGCATGTGACAAAACGCAAGAAAGAAGAGAAACATGAAGGACACATAGAACACGAAAACTAAAGCTTGCTTGTTCGAAACTTCCGCCAGCCGGCTGTGCCGGCCTCCTGATAGTTCATAAGCGCCAGCAACTGGAGTTTCTACAGGATAGTTTGCAAATTCCAATACCATGGTTCCTTGAAGGAAACTCCCGCGGCTTGTTTCTTAGACGCTGAGACGCTTCTCAGATGTTGGCCGGGACGTGGATGTTGGTCGCCAGTTGCACGGTGTGAGGTGGAGGTCTTTGCCGGCGCCGCGCGGCAGCGGGGTTTGTGGGCCGTAAGCCGGGCGGAGCCCGCCGCGCTGCCCGAGAGCGCTTTGGCCCCGGTGGTTGGCGCAAAGAGGTCTCGGTGGGTTGCTTGTTGCAGCCATTCCCGTTTTCCTTGGTGCCTTGGTATGTTGCTGTTCAGTTGCTTCGAGATGTACTCTTGTTTGGACTGTTTTTGATTTTGGCAGGTGCACCCCAAAAGCAGAATTGTTGCTCACATACCATGGTGCGTCGTCCATTTGATTTGAATACTGGTTATGTGGGATCTGGAGTGTCCGACTGTCCGGCGATGGCCCGAGGGGATGCATACATATATATATATATATGTATAGAACATATATGTATAGAACATAGATACCACTTACACTATACAGTCACTGTTTTGCATTTGAAACCTTCACATGACTGACGTTTGCTGACCACTTGACGCCCTAGAATGCGGGCGTGCAGCTTAAACATCAACCTGCCTGTTGAAATAAACAAAGGGATGGCTGGCACTCTCATTCAGCCACCCCAATAGGCGCGGTGAGATGTAAGTCCTCGGCAAGCTCAGCACATGGTTCAAAACTAATCTGAATCGATTGTACCCTTTTGCCAAAAAAGAAGTGAAGCTGCACGTGAACCCTGTTTGCTTGGAGAGTACTCTTTCAAAGTTGTTTTGTTGTACCACGCTGGCTTCCCTCTGGTTTCCTTTTGCAGCCATTCAAAAGGGGCACCCTCAAAAAAGACAGCCAGAATTTAAGTGTTGGTTGGAATGGCGCTCCCGAGGCTTCCAAGTGCAAGCAGACGAGTTCTACGGCCGCCAGGCCAAGCCTGGGTATTGCGTCGTGCACCTCCGGCCTGCCGAGTGGCTCGGAAGGATTCGGAAGGCCAAGAATTGGTCGGAGTTTTCGCCGGGGAACCGGCCGGGTGGGTCGTGGCACAGTATATGTATGCGCATATCGAATGTAGGTACTCTTTCATTTGCAAGGTGTGCAACAAAAAGCTGAAGCAAGGATACCCCAGGCTGCCAACCTGTTTGATAGCACCGCCTGAGTGGTTCTTCACGGCCGCTGAATCCTCATCGGGCTTGCTATGGCTCCAAGTCACATTGATCCAATATGATCGATTATGGTTCCCACTACTGTTAAACCACTCCCCAGGGGAGAACGGAATGTGCGCTTTACACGGCGGCTATATTGGTTGTATATGCCATTGAACTCCTTGTAGGCGATTGGGGTCGGAATAAAGTAGAGACACTGAGGCCCGACCCATCGCGCTCGGCCAAGAGGGCGAGGGTGAGCGAAGCGGTCGCCAGCCCCGCGCCAGCCTAGTTACCTGATCCTGGCACGCTTGGTTCAACTTTTGGTGGTTAGAACTCTGTGAATAGAAAACATGTTCCTGCGGTAGACCAATGTGGTCCTTCCCCCAAACAGCTCATCCCAAAGCACTGCTTGTTTGTTCCATGTTCCATTCTGGGATGTGGGTGAAGCAATGGCCTCGGGCGGCAACCCTCCAGCGACTGATTGGTGTCCAGAGAGATTGCATGCCGTTGAACGGCCTGCCTTGCCGTTTGTTGGATCTCTGGGGGATTTGAAGTTGTGTCCTCAACCTGTTGACCAGCAGGTTGGTCTCAAAATGGACCCTAAGAGAGGGCACCGTGGGCAACGACTTACCCATGTTGTTTCAGCCCGAGCGGCCTGTGGCGCATGCCGGTCAAAGCACCTGGACTTCTAGATGTGGCGCAATGAAAGTGTGGGAGTGGCCCCTGGCAGGGTTTCAGGGCTGAGCAAACGAACAGAGGCTTGCAAATGCGTATCTAAAACAATCTACAAGGGAGCGCAACGAAGGGCTCGAAGGGCTTGTTTGAGAACAAGGAAGTGACTGTCAAGCCGGTGCTTGCTAAGAAATGCAGGTTGATGGTGGAAGGGAAGGAGAGTGCGATGCCAAAGCCAGATGAGAAGTCTGCTGAACCCGCTCAAGCCACACCGGCTTTATCATATTTCAGCGCCTTGTATGGCAGGACCACGAAACGTTGTGTGGCAGGTGCAAGGATTTGTGCATGCCCGCGATGCAGCAGTCATTCCGCGGGCAACAAGCCCTTCTGCAGCCCGCATCCCCTAACCCCCAGCCCCTACCGCAGCCCGCATCCCCTAACCCCCAGCCCCTACCGCAGCCCGCATCCCCCATCCCCTAGCCCAGCTAAATCAGCCTAGTGTTTTACCAAAACCTCACCAAACCCGAAACGTAGAGTCACGGGCAATGCGCTGGGAAGTCCTGGCGCTGGTGCTGCCTGTTCGAAGTCTCCTGACATGCCCTCAGGACGGCGGTGCTGGTCGGTGGGGGGGGGGGGGCTATGCCTTCCGTTAGCCCCTGAGTTGTCCGTCACTTCCCCATGCACGTTGGCCGAAAACTAGCGAATCCGAGAGGCCCGTCCCGAGTCCAGAGCTGCCTCTCTACGGATCACATGGGATCTTTTGTTGGAAGCAAACTAGGCAGAAACCGTTGTAACTTACGTTCTTTCTTTTTGGTTAGCCAGTTAACGCAGGACTTGCATGGACTCGCCAGGTCTGGCATGTTCCGGACAATCGTGAGGAGCTCACCTGGTGCAACAACTCACCCATGCTCCCCAGGATTCCTCATTCTCGGTTCGGGAATCATGGCCGGTGAAGGTGTGTGGCACAATGTCAGTTTAGTCATAGCCCCTATGCCTCGCTTGTGCTCAGTAGGTACCCTTATTCTAACCTCTCTACTGGAGGACCTAGGAAACCATAGTTTTTTTTCCCTTTCAAGGGAAACACCAAACGCCACAAAAGGTTTCCCCTCAAAGGTTTCCATTTTCCTTATGACGCTATGATATGTTACTGCTCTTTTCCCCTTGGAGGATCCATAGTCATTCAGGTTTACATGCTTTTTGGTGGGGTTTCCCACCGTTTTGTTGGAAGGAAGCCCCTCATTCCCCGGCTCCTGCCCCCCATAGGACCTGGCGCGGGGCGTCACGTTTTCAGCCCCGCCGCAGCGGCCGGGGGAGCACGGGATGCAGCTCTCCGGGCACCGCGTGCTGGACCTGAGGCGGGGGAAGTGGCCGAAAAAAAGTGATGCGCCAATGGGTGTTTTCTGTTTTTTGTTTTGTTTCTTTCCCCCCAGGTTTTTGGCACCCAGGTTTTTGGAGCTGGATTCCCAATTTATTCCCTTTTGCTTTTTTTCTTGTAAAGGGGCCTCCCCTTTTAACATCAATCACGAAAGGGGTGCCCATTTTTCCCACGGCCACGGGCTCAAGCTACCGGGGGCTGGTCGCCTTTTGAGAGCCGCGGCAGGCAAAAGAAGCTGGTTGAAATGTTTGGTTGTGCTTAAGAAGCTTCTGTTCTTAGGCCGGCTCAACTCATTGGGGTGCTTCGCGCGAATTCGCGCACAGTCGAGTGACCCCTTGCATGTTTAATTCACCTGAAGCACTGGTTTGTCCAAGGGCGCGGAGCCCCACGCATCGAACTCCGGTTGAAACCGTCGGTCAATACCAACGAGAATTGCATCCACTTCCGTAATGTTGACCCAGGATGAATAAACCCGTCCCATTATGAGGGGGGTGTTCCCTCCAAAAGTGATGACTCCCCACTAAAAGGAACACCCCCTATTCTCCATACTGTGATACATGTGTTATCTGTGTTTTTTTGTTCTCTGGATACCCGCCGCGTCTGCTGAGTGCCTAGCGAGGGGCACTCAGCAATTCGTGCCAGCGCGAGTGCGGAGGCTTTGCTGTCAGCTTGCATGGCAACGAAGTTCCATGAAAGGAGAGGTGTCGTTGTTAGTGTAGCTTGTATTTGATCGGAGTCCATGACAATCTTCAGTTTGCGCGATCGACGTTTCTAACTTGTAATGCCTGCTTGTGGCTAGGGCGGCAGGGAGCAAATCATGACTCATAGTTCCGATCACGACTCGGTTTGGTTTGCCCCACCACAGCGTGCATCGAGCTCGAGCTCGCGCTTGAGGCACAACTTCGAGTTCCTCCGCGCAGGCGCCAGCTTTGTGAGGCACGGAAGCGAGAGACGGGAAACCCACGGTTTTGTGGAGGTGGAAACCTTGGAGCAAGTCTGGGTGGGGTGGAGAAATCTTCTAGCTTGGTTCCTTCACATGTCCACCCATCGATCTTAGAAGAACGCCGTTCCCTTGATCCTCGGTTTCGGGTATTTTTCTGAAATCCTTGGAAGCAAGCCTAGAATTCAAGTTGTGGGATGTTTGGGGCGCTGGTTGCTTTGAGAGGCTGCAGCTAGAAGACTTCCAGTGGCTCCAAGGACAGATGGCCAGCGCAGAGGTCCAGCATAGAACAAGCGGGTAAGACGTTTGCAAATCGAGGTTCCGCCATGGTTCATTTGAAACAGTGTCGGCTCAACCCCACCAATCAACATGGAACTCCGGGACCCCGAACGTCAGGTTCCATGTGAATTGTTGTTGCAGGGTATCTTCAGCTGACAAGACTTGCAACCAATTTTACCATGAGCGCCTCAACTTCTTCTGGCGAAGCGGCTTTGGCGGTGGCCAAGAGTTGCCGAATGGGCGGTGGCCACAGGCGTCCGGGAATTAGCTGCAAAGTGGCGAGCCTCAAGTCTGCCTTTCAGCCCTTGGATTCTTTCAGGATCTCAAGAGCGCCACAATTGCTTTGTGACTGCAACTTTGTGACGGCAACTGTGGATGTACACTGGTTGTTTGCAGACGAGGAAACTAGATGGGGACGAAACCGGGCCCTGCATTGCGATGGCCAGACATTTCCGAAATCCATATCATTCTTCAACACTTTGGGGAAGGATTCCGGACATCTAATGATATTGACTTCATGTGGTTTTAAAGTCCCCCATCCCCGTTCTGACTACTTAGGCTGGGCCCTTACTCAACTCCACCGCGCTACGCCTACCAAGACCTGTTTCCACTTTTGGTTTCCCTTCCGAGGCTATGGCTCGTTTGACACTATTTGTTTTTCTATCACTCGATATGGCTTTGTGTCTGAATGGGGCAACCCAGAAGACAAAGGTTTTCCATTCAGCCTCCGTGTTCACACAAACCAAAAAGGGTGTCCACCCATCTGCGGTTTGAGTCGAGGACCTCTACGCGCATCTTTCGAGGAGCGCGTGGGCTCCAGTGGCATTTGCCTGGCAGTGGATGAGACTTGGCAAAAAGGCCGGCAGGGGTCTTTCAGGCAAGTCTTGAGATCCCTGGCCCGAATCAAGCCGCAGCAAATTCAGATGGGTTTGTCGTTTTCTCCGCCCAAATTCAGGGCTCTCCGTTTGTGGCATTGTCTCCTGAACCGCCACGTGGGCTAAACATGAACCACGGGTTGTACAGACAGCAAGTGGGATGTTCAGCATCAGCCCTCCAAACAAGATGGCCGCTGTGTGTGCAGCGCACTCGCACACATGGCGCCTCGACCATACTACAAACGTCCAAGGTATGGGAGAGGGAGGGTAGCAAATTGCACTCGTACTGGCAACCAAAGCGCCCAGGCATGGGAGGGGGCATAAAGCGACAGCCAATCAAAGCGCGCGGAACAAGCGTCGTGTGAAGAAAGGCGCCATGCCATGTTCAACGCCTAGTGCACTCCCGGCACCCTCGGCAGCTGAGGTCAACAGGGAAGGTATAACCGCTTCAAGGTCAATATTCCTTCACTGTTCTTGGCGTTTTCAGGTTTTTAGATTGTTTGGCTCTGTTCATTTGTAGCAGGGGACTATTCTTACCAAGGGTAAGAACAACTCCTGATCCCACCTTTTGCTGGCCTTTAGTTTGGATCAGAGGGCTGGCCTTTTACACAGCTCGAGATTGGGAAGCTGATGGTTACGTCGTACACTCGAAATTCCAACTGCAGTGGGAGTAGCTCAAGATCAAGCCACGCCGAGCCAACCAACCAGACAGAAGATTACATGCAAGCAAACACACGCGTGCGCACACGTGCAAACTTGCAGTTATTAAGCCAGGAACAGAACAAATACACACAAATACCGCAAAGACACACACACACACACATACACACAAATACACACATACACACATACACACACACACAGCAAAACACAGAGAGACACAATAACGCACACACACACATGCACAAGCGCACACACACACATGCACGCGCGCACACACACAAACAATCAATCAATCAATCAATCAAACAAACAAACAAACAAACAAACAAACAAACAAACAAACAAACAAACACACACACACACACACACACACACACACACACACACACACACACACGCACGCACGCACGCACGCACGCACGCACGCACGCACGCACGCACGCACGCACGCACGCACGCACGCACGCACGCACGCACGCACGCACGCACGCACGCACGCACGCACGCACGCACGCACGCACGCACGCACGCACGCACGCACGCACGCACGCACGCACGCACGCACGCACGCACGCACGCACGCACGCACGCACGCACGCGCACGCACGCACGCACGCACGCACGCACGCACGCACGCACGCACGCACGCACGCACGCACGCACGCACGCACGCACGCACGCACGCACGCACGCACGCACGCACGCACGCACGCACGCACGCACGCACGCACGCACGCACGCACGCACACGCACACGCACGCACGCACGCACGCACGCACGCACGCACGCACGCACACGCACGCACGCATACGCACAAATACGCACAAATACGCACATACACATACACACGCACACATACACATATTTACATGCATGCATGCATACAGATACGCGTACAATTGTGCGCACATACGTTCCTATACACCTAGGTACCTACATGTCTACATACCTACATGCTTTCTTATCATGCATGCCTGCATGCCTACCGCGCATGCATGCCTGCATGCATGCATACATACGTACATACAAGGATACATCCATCCATCCATCCCTTCATCCATCCATCCATACATTCCTTCATACATACATACATACATACATACATACATACATACATACACACATACATACATACATACATACATACACATACATGATTAAGCACGTACGTACATACCTACCTACATACATGCATACAGAGAGACAGACAGCCAGACAGACAGACAGACAGACTGACAGACAGCCGAACACATACCTACAAACATGACATGACATGACATTTTTCATTGCATCACAGACACAGTATGTATGTATATATATATATATATATTCATGTGCATGCATACGAGCACATACAAACACGTGTGCACTTAGCCACGCGCACATGCACACAAAGTTCATGTGTCAGACACGGACCTCCCGACGATTGGCCTCAGTGCTTGAACACGCTTATAAAGGCTCATTAATTAGGTTTTATTAAGGCGTGTTCGGACTATGTAGGGTTTATTTTGTTTGCCCCCCCCCCCCTCACCAATAGAAAAGGAAGAACAAGAAAGAAATAAAGAAAGAAATAAAGAAAAAGGCATCGTTGTTGGGCAGCAATTTGGGGCACATGTGCAGTTGAACATACGCACATATGCACACGGCATAACATACACAAGCACGCCAATACGCACTTCGACACAGTTACATACCAACGTGCACGCACACATCAGCCCCTGCTACTTCCCCATCTCGCTAGGATGTGCTCTCCCGAAACTGGGAGCGAGCCTTCCCGCCGGCGCATGAGTCCAGTTTGCTACCGCAGCTGCAGAGCCTGGGATGGATGGGTGCTTCAGCCGCGTGGTTTGCCCCCCATATCAAGCCCAGGTTATGCGGGGGTGTGCCTGGGTTTAATCGGGAATCATCACTTTTGGGAGGGAACAACACCATAGCAACAAATCGGCCAACTGGTGCTGGGCTTTATCCATCCACAGCGGCATGGTTGCGTTTTGGTGCAAGCAAGTCATCATAGCAATCCGCCACAAACGTATGAACGCCTCAGTACTTGGAACATGCCAGCCTTAGTGCTTGGAGTCTTTTGACTTCCGGGAATGGTATTCTAGCAATGACTTGAGCCATAAAGGGTTGCACGGAAAATCAATGATCCATACACTTGGTTGCTCGCAGTAGGTACTTCGCACCACTTGCGGTTGCCTCCGTTTTCACAGGGCTTCATCCATCCCAACTGGTGCAGGGTGTTGTTCATCCACAGAAAGGATGGTCGTTAAACATGGTTGCTGGACCATGGGAAGTGCCTTCTCAGGTCCTTTTGCGTAGCCAGCGCAGCACGAAGCAATGGAGCATTGAGCACCCTTTCCCAGGGCATCAGTTTTAGGTAGTCGTTTAGCGTCGAGTATGTTTGTCAATTTTGCAGATGGCCTGAACAATCTCCTTGCCTGCTTGACATGTCGTAGGCCACCCCCTCCGTCTCCGTGCCCGCGGTGCTGGGTGATGAGGGATTGACGAATATTTTGACACATGACCTCCAGGGACTCTTTTGGGATTGCCCTTTTGAGCATCATCGAATCTCAAGGGGTCCCAAATGAGGTTGTTATTATGCAACAGTCTTTTACAAGGGTTTGGCGCAACCCTGTAGGTGGCCATGGTGACCCAAGCTAGGGAACCAAAGTTCCTCAGGAAGATCCGGTCCCAGCTGGTCCCTGAGCTGGTCGCCCTACAGCCGCCGTCCAAGGTCCTGTGCAACAGGCGCAAGCGGCCAGCTGTTCGGCACGGGTCGGACACATGCAAAGTCAAGCTTGCATTGCTTAAGAATATGTTTTGCTTTGCCCGTTGGTTCTTAAGGGAATCTATCACTACTGGACATATTGTTGTTGTTGTTTTTTTCCAGGGGACCTAAGCAAAATGGAAGCCAAGGTCACTTTGGTTGAGCGTAGCGGTGGCGTTTTTTCAATGCCATCTATTTCTCCGAAATGTTGAACATGTCCACGTATTGAACATCCAGATGGCAAATGCGCCCTTCCAATCGCGCCCTTCGAATCGCGCCGTAGTTCAAGCATAGGCGCAAGGATTCGTCTGCAGGGCATGACCTGCCATCCATACGCAGCTGATAATGGTGATGGCGCGTTTATGGCATCTATGCCATGTCTTGATTCATAGTGGCCAATGGGACTTGCACCTTTTGGGTCTCCCTTGGCCATCCCGATGGCTCATTGCCCACTTACGCCACCCATCAATCGCTCGGAGTCTACTCCAACCGAGGCCCAAGAAGCTCTATGGAAAGCACCCGATGTGCTTGACAGATAGCCCTCAATACCTTACCTCACACATGTGTCCCTTCCAAACCCAATAGTTAACACCCACTCCGTCCCACAGACATGTCCACTCACTCAAACTCCCACGCAGAATCAATGTATGTTTCATTCTGTCCATGACTCGGGCGTGCACGAAGAACAGCACAAATTTCTAGCACCGCGACACAATCAAATCCAGCCAGGGTTCCAACGGTGGCTCCACATTCTAGAAAATGTTGTCTTGGACAAAACAGGCGGCACATTCTGGAATGGTCCTTGCGTTTGATTCTCAGATTGTAAGAGGGGGGTTGGCTGAGCAGTTTTGCATTTTGCCTTTTGCATTTTAGACGCACGCCGGTACGTCCACTTAGGATTGCGCGAGCGTGGTGCGCTTACAGCTTAAAACAACTCATCTCATAGCCTGATAGCTTGTGCCGAGCCGACTGCATCCAGCAATCCAGCAAGCAGATCCTGTCAATCCGTTTTCTTCCAGCTTCTTCCAGTTCTCGGCATTATCAACCGACAGCATTATGTCGATTCAGAATTGTGCATGTGAACATGAATTTACATATTCAAACGATGTCTTGCCTAGCTAACATGGGTGCACCGCTCAGCTTCATGTGCGCCACATGTGTTTCCATTCTAGCTTTTCTTCTTCTTTTTCTTGGGGGGGAGGAAAGCTCCAACATGAAACCTACCCTCTTTCCAAAAAGATGGCTGACAGAAGGGTGCTGGTGGACAACAATATCTTTGAAAGGCCCCCTGTCCACTTCCATGGGAAAGGGGAACCAGAAAGACTAACAGGGAAGCCACTTGAAAACCGCTCTCTTTTTTTTTTGGGGGGGGGGGTCCCCAAGTTTGCAAGGCTAGGATTCCTTGCCTGTCCTATCCGTTCGGCCTTTGGAGGCACCTGGTGGAGTCAAAGGCTTGGCATCGACAAAAGGCCTCGAAGTACGAACTGGAGGACCGCTGGACCCGGACTCGTGTTTGTGGCTTTCATTTTCCCCCCTCTTGGGGGGAGGGGGTCCTTGAAAGTCAAACTAGGTAACTACCCAAACAAAGAGTGCCCGGTCCCCTGCTTTCCCATGGCAGGTTCGAGGCCCTCTGTTTTGATCTGGAAAACGGCATTGCGGCCGTTCAGGAGTCTGGTTTTGCGCGGTGCTTCTTCAAACATATCATGGTTTGCTACAAGGCCACCCAAGTCTCCAGTCAAAATCGCCACATCTTGCAATGCTGGCTATTGAGCGGGCCGCCCTATTCATTGAAGCCTTGCCAGTCTTCAATACCACAGTCATTCTTCCATTTGGATGCCATGCGCCGTCCTTTGACGGCCTGTACTTTATCTTGGGTGCATTTTGCTTTAACTTTTTGCCAACTAATGGGTTTTCCATTAAACCACTAAAAGTTAAACTTTTAGCAGGGGAGCAGAAAGCAACCAAGTTCTGGCTATTTGGTTGGATCTCTGGACCTTCGCTTTTTGGGAAGCAGTTCGGGTTTTCCCATTGGCCTCAGCCACAAGAGTGACACTTCTTGCAAAGGTTACCGCAACCGAGAAGGCGGCTATTCATTTGCCAAGCGAAAAAGGGGGCAGCCAAGAGGAGCTTTGGGCACAACTCTTCGAAGGCCGTCAGGCGGGGGGGCGGGCTTGGCTGAGCTCGATGGTTGGTGTGGGGTGCTTTGTGTGTTTGACTAGGTCCCCCAGCTAGGTGCCCTTTTACCGTTTCTTTTTGGGGGAGGGTTCCCCTAAAGTAGACGAAAAAAAGGGTACCCTTATTCTAACCTCTCTACTGGAGGACCTAGTTGAGTGAGGCCCGCAAGTGGTGCAATGCTGGTGGCAGAACTTGCTGCCGAGCTGACTTTTTTTGTTGGGGGGGAGCAATTCATGAGACTCTGAATCGAGCCAGCATTGGCAGAAGTATTGGCAATAGCCTATATAATGGCTTTTGTAGTTTTGAACGTATTTTGCGTTTGCTTGATTTCCAGGAATCAGACGGCCGTTTTAAATCAGGGGTTCTGGTGGGTGCCAGAAGCTGGTTAGGATTTGTTTGGCCAGACTACCTCGTGGCCCCCTTTACAGCAGTATTGGCTGGCAGATGGGGGGAACAAAGGCAGTCTTGCAAAAGGGGAGTTTATAGTGTCAGGGGTCAACTTTCTCATAGTGGGTTCAAGAACCATACACCCCTTCTTTCTATTGTGAATGGGAGTGTTCCATCACTTACCCTATTATATGTAGCTTTGCCTCTCGTTGTTCAGTGGCATGCTTTTTCCTTTTCGGTTGATAGCTTCAAGCCGGTGAGCCAACCAAATAAAAGGCTTCTGATTTTTTCTGACCCAGCTGACAGGCTGGTTACCGAACCAACTGGCACCCGGTTGCCCATGGGAGGTGCTCACGCTCCTGGACCCCTCGGTCGAGGACGTCGAGGCCAAAATGGCGCCGGTGGCGCGGGCGCTGCGCACAGCAGCTGCGGTGGCAGCGGCCACGTACCAAAGCGAGGAAGGTGAGCGCCTCAAATGGGTGGTTTCTTTTTCTCTCGAGTCCAACCCTCGGTGATATCACAGGGATAGGGCTGTTCCACTCCGTTTTTGGCGCTAGCAAGGTGTTGGGTTTCTGAGATGCATGTTCCGAATGTGACGTGGATTAGCTCCTTCTTCAGGCAATGCACAGCGCGAATCGCGGTGAGTCCTATGGCTTGGCAGTCGCAGCGGTAGACATGAGCGCGGCTTTGGTAAGTTTCCCCCTGTGTGGCCTCATCATTTGCACCAAGTTGTCACAAGCATAGTGGCAACACGGCATTTTCGCGCTAGTGTCTGAATTGCCCATCACCCCATATCACCCCTACAGCCCCCGAAGAACCAAGCCTATGGTTGATCCGGGAGGAGAAAAACAGCAACCTGTCTCTGGATGGCATTTTGATGGTAAGAATATGGCTCTGGCTCAAAAAACCGGAATTCCAAAATGGGTTGCCCTGGCAAGTGGAAATATGGTTGCCAAAACCTGCGTAACCCGTGTTGAATTTTGAGCCACACCCATAGAGAACAAACGTGGGACCTCCACGGGCAATCCGAGAGCGACTAGGTGACCTTCACAGCGGTAGGCCCGGTAGGTGAGCGATGGGGGCATCGTTGGCATGGCAAATGGAGCCTGCGGATTGCGTTAAGGGCGTGATACATCACGCCTTTTCTGAGGAGAAATGACGAGTGCCACCTTTAAAGGGCCAGGCTCAAAGACTTCAAAAGCCAGTACCAATTTCAGCATATCCATCATAAACTTCCGCAAATTCAGACCACCGACCACCAAAACCATTCAACTTCCACCGCAAACCATCAGCAGCCACAAAAACCGCCCAAATCCACTAAACATCTACCAAAGTCCATCAACATCCAAGACTCAATCAACAAGTAAGACATTTATGGCTTGCCTAAGGCCTACTGTCGGAGCTGCGACACTCAGAGGTAGATTTGGCGCCCCGGATGCGTCATCGACAGCATTGGGAGGGGGGGGGGGTGTTTCCTTGCTTGCTCGCTCGCTCGCTTCCTTCCTGGTATCTTTGCTAGTTGGTTTGTTTGGTTCGGGGCTGCGACGGCTCTATGTCAACAAGGCTCGACAATGAGATCCATAGATCGCATAACTAGTATGCTTTGGAAACATGTTTTGCAAAAGCAGGGCCCATCGCTGAGATGTCCAGAGTTTGCCCTTGATTTCTCGCATGAGAGTGGAATGCTTATTGACATGCTGCGCAGGAAACGGACAGTGGCTCACAACATGACCCTGGAGTGAGGGCAAGATGCAGGCCTGCCTCTACATGGGGGTCCCCGGAACATGTAGAATGGGTCAATGTAGCCGGTCTTCCTTTCGGTGTCCGTAAAAAAGAGTTGCCCTCATCAAAGCACCGGTGCCACAACGCCGAACAACTGTTGAATTCCCCAAATCAGAAGCCAACAGGAATTAATGAGATGCTTCTGCAACTCACTTCGACTGTAGTCTCTCGTTTTTTTGCTTGGACCATTTTAGTGGCATACAAATCTAGGCTCGGTTTGATTTCCCATTCATTTCAACCATCGTTCTTTCCAAAAACCGGATCCGTTTTCCCAGGGTTTCAAAGGAGGTGTTCTAGAAAGATCCGGATCCCTGGCAAGAATGGAAATGGAAGGTACCCCTAGAACAACTTAAGTTTGGCTGCTTTTACTCACGTGAGTTCCTGGACTTTAGTTTTTGTTTTTCTTTTGGACCATTTCAGTGGGGCACGCGACAAGCCACTTGATGGTGAGGTGCTGCTGCTGGGCTTTCCGCGGCCGCTGGGGGTGCTGCTCAGCGCGACCTTGGCGCCTCGTGTTGGGGAAAGAGGTAGGTCCCCCAGCTAGGTGTCCTTTTTCCGTTTCGTTTTTTTGGGGGAGGGTTCCCTACTACAGGAAAAATGTATTTTTATTTTGACCTCTCTACTGGAGGACCTAAGGGGCGAATTTGGGCGGGTGGGGTTGCTTGGGCGAATTTGGGCGGGTGGGGTTGCTTGGGGGAATTTGGGGCTGGGGTTGGGGGGTGGGATAGGTTGAAAATCCTCTGGAAGTGCCTCAAGTTCGAGGGTTGACCATGAGTCGGCCGAGGAGCAAAGATTAACTATTTCAGGTTTCTAGTGGTGGGGCGAGGCCAACTTGTAGTGTTTACAAGACGGCTCGCTTGCCGGGGCAGGGGGGATTGTCGAATAGATGCTCGCCAAAGCGGCGCTGACGGGGTCATAAATCACCTCGGCTTTGGCTGACAGGTGCCATGGGCGCTGCACCGTGGTAGTTGGCGCGGTCTGGCTTCAAATTTTTGGGGCTTCCTAGTCGGTCCTGCTTTTGACCCAGCCTACCCATGGCTCAGGATTGCGTGGTGCAGACCATCGATGGCGGTTCGATGGACATCCGGCCCTTCAAGCGAGAACCGCCCGGTTCCCAGCAAGCGACGGGGATGCCAGTGTCAAGCACAGCTGTCACGCGCCCTGTTTGCATGTTAATACCGGGACCACGGGAAGAGATTCCGTCGAAACGATTGCTTATTTCTGCTAAGATGCAGTCTGCAAGTTGCAAGGCCGTTTGGCCTTGCCTTAAGGAAAGCCTGTGAAGGCCCGGCTTACCTTGATTGGCAGTGCGCTGCACGACTGGGCGCCCGGATTCCGGCATTGCAGTTGAACAAGTGCCAATCTCATGGTCCCACGGCTCACCTTGAACCGATCTACGTGTCATCTTAGAAATTGCTTGCGCACATACACACACACATACAAATATATATATATATATATAGACATATCCACATATATATATATATATCTACATATGTATATATATAGAACATGCTCCGGATTGTAGGGGCACGGGCTTGTTTGCACGGTGCGTAGCACAGGAGGTGTGCGGGCTGTTTTTCTCAAAGCGGTGCCACACGGCGCGAGCCGCGAGCGCGCCATGGCCACGGAGCCGGTCACTTCAGCCGCGCTGGAGGCGGGCGAAAGGACCCGAGTCCGCCAGGTTTGCGGCCAGTTTGGCATGGAGGAAGTTGGGGTGGGGGTGCACAGCTCCAAGAGGAAGTCTACTTTTTTCTTTGTTTTTGTTTTTCTGTTGGGTGGGGGCAACCAGTGTGAGACAATCGAATCCTTGAAGGACAAGTTTGGTACATACTGTTTGTGGTACGTGTCCCCTTTGACCATTCATTGCCACTGGTCAGGGGAACGGCCTCTGTACTTGAACTTGCCTCGTGGCCCCGTTGAGTAACATCGTGTTCACAACCGTGTCAGTGGTTTCCCCTTTCAGCACGACATAAAATAGATAGACAAAGCTGATTTGATCAGATGTTCTGCCGAATCCACGTTTGAAACGCCATATCCATAATATACACCAGGCTGAAAGTGGATGACGGCACAATTCCCTTCGTGTGGGCAGGTATGGGGACCAAACAGGCATCAGGGAAATGTGCATCTACTTTCACGCTGACCAACCGTAAATGTGTTTCCTTGGCAAGGCAGACGGCCTGATGTTGCCTTTGGCAGCGGCACGCAGGCGACGTCTCCCACCGCTGAGGGGGCCACTCTGCTCTCGGATACGGACATCTCGCGGCGCTACCACGCAGCAGTGGCGCAAAACGAGCGACTGCTGGCAGATGGAGAAGCCGAACACCGGAGGTGCGAGGGAAATACCCTTGTCCCAGGGAGGCACAAATGGGTAATCATGTGCTACAACGCTACATGATGGTGTTTGTTGTTGCCGGCATGGCGGACCATGAATCCGGAACCAAAAGGAAACCCCTTGCTATTTCTCGGGGTCACCCCAAAAATGGTGGGTGTCGCAAGGTGTCCTTCTGGCTTCCCGTTCAAACCCGCAAAAAACGGGGTACCAACTCCAAAAGCGCCACCCCATCAACGCGGAGGTTGGAGTCCGGGCGCAGCCCGGTGGGGCGCCCCAGCCCCAGCCCTGCGCCGGACTGGGGCAGCGACGTGAAGTCCTGGCAGCTGGAGCGCGAGCGCCTGCTGGGCCAGGCCCATGGGGCCCATGGCGGGGGGCGACGAGGCCCCATAAGCCTTTGGCGCATTTTACCAAGGGATGTTGAGACTTTAACTTCTTGCCAACGAATGGGCTTGCCATTAAGCCACTAAATGTTAAACATTTAGCAGGGAACAGAAAGCGGTGCTTCAACCCCCCCTAGACTGGGCGAGTCATGGCGAATCAAACTTATGCGTAGATGGTTTTTTTTTGGTTGGGTGGATCTCTCCGCCTAAAAACAAAGAGTATAGCTGGTAGTTAAGCGGGTGGATCTCCTTGAGCTCAAGCACAGGCCTCTTTTCTTTTTTTGGGGCGGCTCTTGGGCAAGTAAGGTGGACGGAACCACTAGAATTAGCGTACTGCTGAGGCGCAGGGCATTTGGGACCACGAAGGAAACACAATTAGATTGATCAATGTATTGTGTAGGTCATCGACGAGGACGGCCTTCAGTTCAGAACAAAAGGTTTGTTGCTAGCAACTTTGCCTTTTGCCCTTACGCAGGCCGGCGGTTCATGCGGTTTCGCCATCTGGGAAAGGAGTGGCGATCCGGAGGTCGCTGCCAATTTCGTGATTCGGGATTTAATCACATTTCGGGAATAAATCACATTTTCGGGATTCGGGATTCGGGATTCGGGATTCGGGTTTCGGATTTGGGATTCGGGCCTCGAATCACATTTTCGGGATTCGGGATCCGGGATTCGGGTTTCGGGATTCGGGATTCGGGCCTCGAACCACACTTTCGGGATTCGGGATTCGGTCACGACTGAACAAGAACGACCATGATAGAACACGACTGAACAAGAACGACGAAAAACGTCGGGCTTCGCCAAACATGCGGGGGAGTTGGGGGGGGCGCAGCCCCCCCCATGAGTCGGGATTCGGGATTCGGGATTCTGGCCTCGAATCACGTTTTCCGGATTCAGGATTCGGGCCTCGAATCACATTTTCGGGACTCAGGATTCGGGATTCGGGCCTCGAATCTTATTTTCGGGATTCGGGATGCGGGCCTCGAATCACATTTTCGGGACTCGGGACTCGGTCACGACTGCACAAGAACGACGAAAAAACGTCGGGGCCAATCATAGGCGGGGGGGTTGGGGGGGGGGGCGCAGCCCCCCATGATAGAACACAACTGAACAAGAACTACGAGAAACGCCGGGCTTCGCCAAACAAAGGCGGGGGGTTGTGGGGGGGTTGCGCCCCCCCATGATAGAACACGACTGAACAAGAACGACGAAGAACGTCGGGCTTCGCAAATCATAGGCGGGGGTCGGGGGGGTGCAGCCAACAAGACTGAACAAGAAACCTTTTGGGATTCGGGATTCGGGATTCGAATCACATTTTTGGGACGCCTCGAATCACATTTTCAGGATTCGGGATTCGGGATTCGGGCCTGGAATCACATTTTCGGAATTCGGGGTTCGGGATTCGGGCCTCGAATCACATTTTCGGCACTCGGGGCTCGGGATTCAGGACTCGAATACATTTTCGGAATTCGGCGTTCGGGATTCGGGCCTCGAATCACATTTTCGGCACTCGGGGCTCGGGATTCAGGACTCGAATCACATTTTCGTGATTCGGGATTCGGGATTCTGGCCTCGAATCACATTTTCCGGATTCAGGATTCGGGCCTCGAATCACATTTTCGGGACTCAGGATTCGGGATTCGGGCCTCGAATCTTATTTTCGGGATTCGGGCCTCGAATCACATCTTCGGGACTCGGGACTTGGTCACGACTGCACAAGAACGACGAAAAACGTCGGGCTTCGCCAATCATAGGCGTGGGGGTTGGGGGGGGGGGCAGCCCCCCATGATAGAACACAACTGAACAAGAACGACGAGAAACGCCGGGCTTCGGGGGGCGCAACCCCCCCATGATAGAACACGACTGAACAAGAACGACGAAGAACGTCGGGCTTCGCAAATCATTTATTCGGGGGTCGGGGGGGGGGGGGGCGCAGCCAACAAGACTGAACAAGAAACCTTTTGGGATTCGGGATTCGGGATTCGGGCCTGGAATCACATTTTCGGAATTCGGGGTTCGGGATTCGGGCCTCGAATCACATTTTCGGCACTCGGGGCTCGGGACTCAGGACTCGAATCACATTTTCGGGATTCGGGATTTGGGATTCGGGACTCGAATCACATTTTTGGGATTCGGGATTCTTGATTCGGGCCTCGAATCACATTTTCGGGATTCGGGATTCGGGACTGGGATGGTCCCATCCTCAACTTCGGGATTCGGGATTCGGGGTTTTTGATTCGGGATTCGGGACTCGAATCACATTTTCGGGATTCGGCATTCGGGATTCGGGATTCGGGACTGGGATGGCCCCATCCTCAGATCGGGATTCGGGATTCGGGATCTGGCATTCGGGATTCGGGACGGGGAAGGCCCCATCCTCAGACTCGGGATTCGGGATTCGGGATTCGGGACGGGATACGGGACTGGGATGGCCCCATCCTCAGATTCGGGATTGGGGATTCGGGATCTGGCATTCGGGATTCGGGACGGGGAAGGCCCCATCCTCAGACTCGGGATTCGGGATTCGGGATTCGGGATTCGGGGCTGGGAAGGCACCATCCTCGAACCCGGGATTCGGGATTCGGGATTCGGGATTCGGGATTCGGGCGCGAATCACATTCTCGACCAGCTTCTCCGGATCACGTCTCTGGGAAAGGCACCCTTTGTAAAGTAGCCGCTGCCGCTTTCTGTTAGTAGAGTCGGGTGTTCCTAAGGGTTTTTGTGAAACCATTGGAGGATCCCACTGTTGTGCCGCCACGTGGTCTCCTCCCGCCATTCCTGCAAACACATCACCCCCAGCTTGCAGCCAGACAAGCCGTTAAAACCAACAAGCTAAGAAAGGCGGTTGCAATACAGACTCTTGGTGTCCACCATGCCCAAAAAATGACCAGGGAGTCCGTCTGTTTCCCCAGCCAGGTTGTCCAGCTAGGTGCCCTTTTACCGTTTCTTTTTTGGTTGGGAGGCTTCCACTAAGATAGACAAACAAAAAGAGATCGGGTACCAGCTTATTCTAACCTCTGAAACCTGGAGGACCCGAACGCCAGAACGCCAACCCTTGAGCCCAGCGCACGGCGCTCGCTCGGCAGGTGGCGCAGCTCCAAGGCGCCCTGGACGAGCGAGACGTGGAGCTGGCCACACGGCCCAGCCACCGCCTCACGCAGATGCTGAGAAACCGAGTGCTGGAGCTGGAGAGGGAGCCCAAGGACCGTCCGTTTCTGAGCATGTGTCATATGACTTGGTCCCAATGCGTGTGTCCATATCTTGAGGTCACATGGTCGAAACCTGTTTGGTTCGTTTGTATTTACAGGTGCAGCGTTTCTTGGATGGCGCCACCATCCACAACCCCTTTTTCCCATTTTTGTGGGGAAGGGTTCCCCTTTGAACTCAACCAGACAAAAAAGGATGCCGTTTTCTCATGGGGGGTTGTGACAAAAGCCATATTTCATGATAGAGGCCTAAGCCTCAAGTCTTGGAGGTAAACTAGGAAGTGCTTTGCCCCCGGTTACCTGAATGCGAGAGCCTAGTGTCCGCCAATTGCCTCTGAATGTTTGAAGATCACTTTTGTGTGGCCAGTTCTAAATGAGCTTCCTTTTGGGTTGAACCTTAGAGGAGGAGGTGAGCACGTTTACCACTCACGGCACCTCTTCTAGAGGGTTCGCGGGGGCAAGGGGTCACTGGGTGTCTCACTTGTTTTTGTTTTTCTGTTTTAAGGATGGGATGAACCTTTTGCCTGGCACCTAAGATGCCGAGTTAATTGATTGTTGGATGCGTTTGCCCTATCCAAACGGAAACCAAGTGCTGGCACGCATCTATGAGGGGGCGCGGCAAGCAGCCAAGAGGAAAGTAGCTACACGGATGCAATCCTGAATCGTGCAACTGCCTTTGAAGCAGCTTGTGGCAGACGGCTGCCTTGAACCCAGAACCACGTTAGCCATGGCTCAGCAATTTGTCAGCCATCCACATGATTTTGGGAGGGCCATCCAATTTTCTGCTCGTGACGCTGCCTTGGGTCATGGCATGATTTGTGTGACGCCAAGTGCTCGCATGCCGGAAGCTCATGAGCTTCCCCAAGCTGCTGTCTGGGGGCTGCATACGCGGAAGGACACCCGGAGCCTCATGCGAGAAGATCGGCGCAAGTCGCCGGGCAAAACTTCAACATGTCCAGCTTTTGGCTGTGCAGACAACGGCATGCCCATGTGCTTTCTGGTTCGGTTTTGGAAAGTGGCACTGGCTTCAATTTGGTTCTGATCTACCAGTGCCATGTATTTGTTTTGGGGGGGGCAGCGACTTGCAAACGAATGAGTGTCGAGGTACACTGAGCTCTTGCGGGCGCAATGGGAGGAACAGCTTTCAGCTTTGAGCAAGGCCGGGGTGCGGTGGGTACGGCATCCCCGACAAGGGAATAGGGCCATTTGAAGTGGTTGAATTGCGACTTTTGGGTAGGTTTGGTTTCTTGGAGGGAATAGCATCCCTCCGCGCAGGCCCGTGATAAATAAAGCGCTGAAATTTCAAAGGAGAAAGGAAGAGGAACCAGAGGACCAGTTGCCCTATGGGCGAGGTGCAATCTCGAAGGCTCCCTCGAGCAATTTGCAGAAGCAAATCGTGGTGGTTGGACACCCTGGTCCGTTATGTAGGCGTTCTGTCCTGCATTTTGCTGACTTGGCGACTCGCCGGAATGGAATTCGACAAATGCCCGGCCGAAAAGCGCAAGAGTCCCCATTCGCGGCCCTCGCCAATTGGGCGGCTTGCGACGAGACTTGATCCAGTTCAGTGGGTTTCGGCGGAGGCCCCGAAGGCAACTCGAGTTGACGCCAGGAAGCCTTACGGAGGTGCTGGGAGCATTCGCTCTCAAATCCGACACTGCGAATCCAGAGCTTCATGAATCTAGGTTCCCATGACCCACCTCAGAATGTGTGAAATGCCTCTAAGGGAGCTACAAAACCATGGGTTTATTCAAATTCCCTGAAACATCAACGGCATATATTCCCCTGTTTTTCTCGGGGTTCTCGCCACCTAAAGTGCTCAACCCAAACAAAAAAGCCACGGGTCGCGCAGTCGGGCCGCGGTTTGGCAGGGCGAGCTGGTGGAGAAGCTGGTGAGGCTCTTCGCTTCGTCCAACGCCTGGGGCTTCCAGGCGCGCCTTAGTTTGGGTGTGGTGGATCGCGGCGCATGGGTGTGGGTCAAAAATAGGTTAACCCCAAAATGGAACCCTGGTAAATGGAAACAAAGACAAAAACCTGCGGTTCCCTGGTGGTTAATTTTGATCCATACCCTCATGTATGTCTTCGCGACCATCCTTCTTTTCTCCAAAAACTGGAGCCGTTTTCGAAAGCTGGGTTTCCGGAGGATGGCTGGAAAGAATGAGAAAGGTAGCCATAAAAGGATACCTTTCTGAAGCTGGTCTTTGGATGTGTGGCTTCGGATTGCTATTGCTTGGAAACCGCCTCCTTAGGGCTGCGAACCGAAAATACGCGTGTTTGAATTTTGCCACCACGCCAAGGCGTGGGAAGGTTTGGGCCAGTCAAAAAGTCACCCCACTGCCAGCTGATTTAGAGGTTGCGAGTCCTTGTGAAGCAGGTGGTTTTGGATGCATCCGTCAAACCCAGATTGCTAAGTTCAGGTTTCAATAATGTTCAATGTGGGCTGGGGTGAAAAGGAGAAGCAAACGCGCGGGGGATTGATTTGCTTTGCCATGCGCAAGCCTCCCGACCTCCCAAAGGAAACTGGCTCCGCGCCCCAAACCTATGCGCAATGGGCATTCCCTGGCTTGGGTTCCAACCCGGAAATTGGCTTGCAGCGGGTCCCGCGTTTCCTTTGGCCCCGTATACGGCCCTTCGCTTTTTTCGGTCCATCGGGAAAGAAGCCCGCTGTTTCCTCCAATCACTTGCCCCCTGTGCGTCCTCGACCATACTTTTATGTGTCTAGGCCATAAACTGCGGAAACCACCTGCTGGTTATGTCCCTCGACCATAAAAAGGAAAGAGGGTCGCAGGCATCATTTGACTGGCCGAGTATGAGTTGCTTTGGATCTGTTTTTTTGGGGATGTGATTGCGCCGTTGTTTTGACTGAATCGCAACGCTCAATACATCGTATTTCAATCGGCGTACATGTCTGATCGTTTGCGCTCGGGTTTGACACAAACGAAATACTTTGAGCCTTGTAGAGCCATACTAGCTGCATTCGCTTTGGTAAGGCAAAGTAGTTTCAAGCGAAGATCACAGGAATGTTTGAACACCACGCGCCGGGCCCCGGCTACTTTATGCGGATGATTTGGACTTTCTTGGAACCGAGTTCTGCAGAACCTGCTGGTGCGTCCAAGCCCCGTTTTGCTGGCTGGATAGTGTGCGCACGTTGTCATTGTGTTATATTGTGTTGCTCGCTTTTTCTTTGCCTTCACTCATCAAGTCACAGGCTGCATGAACCCGGCGCAAGCATTGCGATGAAAACAGTGTTTTCTTTGAAGAACATGTAGCGTGGACAAACCATGGACAAATCGTGGAACGACCATAAAAAGGCGTGGAACGACCACAAAAAGGCGTGGAACGACCATAAAAAGGCGTGGACAAATCCCTAAAACGGCATGGACAACTCCCTTTTGGACAGGCCCTGGTTGCGGGCAAACAATTCCCAGGCAAAACAATTCATCCGATATTTTGCCTTCGACAAAGCCAAGTGCGGACACCCCCCAACCTCACCCCGTGTTTTGTTTTTGTGTTATTTTTTCTGGGAAAACACTTGCAACGCATTGGACCTTCAAACTCCGCTGTCTAAAGCTTATGAGCACAAAAGACTAAAGCACCCAATTTTCATATGTTCATTGAACATTGGGAGTCTAGCAAGTTCGAGCGCGTAAGAAAAATGCTAGAACTAGCTGAGGAGTAAGCACAGCCGGTTTGATCAGCTTGCTTGTCATAATGATAGTCTGGCCGACAAAATTTATCGGCAAAGCAGGCATACAATCCTGGCAATCACCCGCACTCAAATGTAGTCTTATGTGACATTCTTAGGCGCTTGGCTGGTTGACTTCTCAACCTGCTTGCCTTACCGATAGGACCAAAAAAGCCAACTGTGTACAATCCCCGTTTATAGCCTCCATTTATACGTCTTTACCCATTTTATGGTCTCTGCTTCTCGCCCATACTTTTAATGGTCTTTGGAAGCATAGGGTGCCAGGAGCTCGAGGAGCAGCTGAAGGGTCCCCGAACAGCAACACCCCGGCGGAACGCGGGCCTTCAGGGTGCCCCGCGCACCTGCACAAGGCGACGGGGCGGGCGGGGGGATGGGTCAGGCGTCAAAGGCTTGCCCCAGAAGGTTTTAGGCCCTCTGGCTAGGGCCTTCCCTTTACACTCGACTGCCCAGGGCTGCCTTGTTTTCCCATACTGGAGGCCTGGGTCCAGTGAACTGAAGGTGAAGGCCTACAACTACAGTGTTAGAAGGCATTTCCTTGGAAATGATTTTCTTGGACTTGAAGGCAAAGAAAAATTAGCCCAGCTACGGGACGAGTTTATTCCCCACAAAAGCAACGAGCGCTCAGATGGCCAGAAGTCTTCACATGGCCTGAACTGATGACTTGAAACGAAGTCACTGACTAACAAGTAGTTGACCCACACCTTGAAGCAAACGTCGCACCGTATCCGAGGTGCGGCACGCGCGCGCTGGACGACGCCAACTTCTGCCGCCACTGCGGCCAGAAGTTCGGCGAGCGCCTCGGCGGTTTTGGTGCATGGAGGGGTTCGCTGGCAGCTTTCCCGAACTCAGGCTCCCGGTGGCCGTGTGTGGGTGTGTGGGTGTGTGGGTGTGTAGGTGTGTGGGTGTGTAGGTGTGTGGGTGTGCGGGTGTGTGTGTGTGTGCGCATGTTTCTGTGTATCTGTGTTTCTCCGTGTGTATGTTGGGCTCTTGGAAGTCTTGCAGTTGGTGTGCCATGGTCTTGTCAGAGGAGCCGTCTGCGGCAAGCTTTAAGAGCATGCCGCAAGACATGTTGGAAATGCCTATCTTAGCTTGACACGTCAAAGTTGAATAGAATCTGCGACTCTTGTGGCGAACTTGTTTGCATTATCTTCCATCAAGCCTCTCTCGTTCCAACCAATGGCGACACTTTGCCTTTGTTTTAAATCGCCAAGCATGACTTGTATCACTGTTATGTCGGCAATGGCCGGCATTGGGAAGGGAACCCCTAGCTTGCAGTCTGCTGCGGGCCCAACTGTACCTCCAGTGTTGCTACGTGCGGAAGTCCTTGCAGAGGGTAGCTTCCAATCCTTCCCGGATGCCTGCTTGTGAAGTGGGTGTGCGTCAAAATACGGGCACTTTCCCACATAATGCTGGTTTTCTTTGGGTCCTTGAATAACAAAAGACACACACACACACACACAAGTGCTACTGCTCCTTGATATTCTTTGCGACCGCCCGTGTCTTGCATAAACTGGGTCACGCCACTTGCGGAATTCGGACCTCCAAAAGAGTCTAACTCGCTGATTTGAGGGTCATGCCACTCAATTCCGCTGATTCTCACATGTGGCTTTTTGAAGTATCATTAGGCGCCCATCTGTGGATCTGTTGGGCAATGTCCTTGCGAGCGGAGTTTCTTCAGGCTGGGGAGCACTTTGCAAATAGACACGTGCGACGGACATCTACCACCTCCGCTAATGGCAGCTAATGTGGACCCTGACGGAAGGTTCCTGGAAGACAAGTTTCGTCTGAATGTATTCTGAGGTGGGCTCCTTATTTTGTGGATGGGGGATGAAAGACTAGGAGTGGAATACACGCACACACACACACACACACTCTCACCAGGATAGGCCAACCCTCCACCCTGAGTGAGAAACAAACACTGCCCACTGGAGTGTGTTTTCCCCCAGGTGATTATTCAGTGGCAGCTTCCTCTCTTTTCGTTTGGCTTCGCCCAAAAACTGGTCAAGATTGAAAAATCACAGGTTAGCCTTTTTGAACGCATCACAACCTGACCAAGTTTCTGGATTTAATCTGGTAGAAAGGCAAACGGGGGCTGAACAGAGCTCATTCCCTGAACTCTAGAACTAGAATCCCCAAATTGTCCTGAGCCTTTCGTGTCACTGATTTTTTTCTCCTCGGCTTCGATCCCGAGCGCTCGCGGAGGCCGCTGGCGGCGGACCTGGCGCTGCGCCAGCGCCTGGGCCGCGCGCTGGGCTGCGCGCAGCAGGCCCCCAGCGAGCAGCAGCTGGTGGCCCGGGCCAAGTCCATGGCGGAGGCGGGGGGCCGAGGGTCGGGGGGGCGGCGTGTGAGTGGGGAGGGGTTTCTACCAACAGGAAACCAGGCCGATGGTTTGGTTTGGGGTTGAAGGTGCCGTGAAATGACTGCGGAGGGGACAGGGTTGCCATTAAAGGAGGATATATATATATATATATACATGGATTATATATATATGTACATATCTATGCACAATATAGTATCATCTCGGGACAACATTTGACCAAAGCACAAGATAGAGTCATGTAGGATTGCTCTTTAGACTGGCGTTATTTTTGCTGAGAATTGAGGCAGTATCTTTGCCTCATGCCCAAACCCCTAACATAGAACCGCAATTTGAGTTACAGGCGGCAGCTGTCTCCAGCCTCAAGCACTGTTGTCTCGCGCCAAGGGTGTGCAAACAGATTTCCTTGCAAAGGCTGCCTTGCAGAAATTAATGTTCGGCCCCAGCCACACAAAGATTGCTCTTGGGGGTATGCCGAGCTTGTCCCACAACAGGTGGCAACATGAGCGCGGAAGCAATATGATATGTGCAAGTTCTATGGACCCTGATGGCCACTCCCAGCCATTGACACAAGGCCGGTGGCGCTTTTTGGCATTTGAGGGCTTCCGCCTTCTGCACCCGGGCTCAAGTGGCTGTGCCCAGAGCAGGAAGAAACCTCGGCCTGGCCACATGCAAGCTGCGTGGCAAGGTTCGGTCGGCCACATGGTGCCGCGGCCGGCGGCAGCTTTCACCGCCCTGCGGCGCATTTCCGCCCAGAGAGTCAGCACGCGGGTGCCGCGGGGTCTGGCGGCCGGGTCCGCCGTTTTGGCCGTCGCCGCCAGCAGGTGGCCCAAGCGGGCTGGAGAGCGGCGCTCGGTTGTTACAGCTGCGGGGCCAGCTGCCTCTCCCAGGCTGGGGAAACAGCTGTCATGGTGCCTGGCTCGCTGTTTTGCGAGGCTGTCCTTCTAGAGCAACATTATTAACATTGGAGCTTGAGCTACCTGTCATGGAGGTGGCAAAAACGCCGTCAAATGTGGGTATGCGCCGCACCCAAAATGCTCTCATTCCGTTCATGTTTTCCATGCAAATCGGCCCAAAAAAAGGGTACCGAGCCTCAAAAAGCGCAAAACCACCCATGTCACCAACCACGTGCTGAGCTGAAAGCTGTGGCAGGGAGACTTTACGGAAGGACTACGCTCCTCCAAAGCACTGGATCCGCGAGGTGGAGCTGGAGGTCCGGATCTTCGAGGGCCGCACCCAGGTGCTCACCCGCATGCGGCTGGAGCGAAACACAGGTGGGCAGCGCCTAAAACCCTGATGAAAGGAGTTAATCCTAACTAGGTCCCCCAGTAGTATCAGTAGTGCCCTTTTCCTTTTTTTGGGGGAGGGTTTCCCTACTAAAATAGACTACAGAAAACAGGGTACCCTTATTCTAACCTCTCTACTAAAGGACCTAGCTAACGAATTCCTCGTGAAAGCTAAGCCGCAGGGCGCGAAAGCCCCTCAAAAGCTTGCGGCGATGGTGAAGAAGAGCCCGCCGCAAAAGCGCCGCGGAAGTGCATGTGTGCACTTTCTGTGTTGCCCGCGACAGCTCCGCGAAAGTGATCATTACAAGCACATGCCCGAAAAAGTGAAACGTGCGGCCGCGAAAGCATCCCGAAAGGGTCCGCGAAGGTGGTTTGTTAGTAGCGGGTTTTATACACCCTATTTTCGGCACCCTGGGTGCATTCGAACGACCTGTCTTGCAACCCCTTGGGTTGACCAAGTTTTGCTTCGGGCACCCCCTGGTCCAATTCCCTTAAAGGGGAGCCCATATTTGAATAATGTTCCCCAAGAGGAAACCAGGGATTCAGCCCTGGTATTCAACACCCAACCAAGGTAAGGTGGTTTCAAGCCATGGCTCTTGCCCGCAAAAAGGTGGAGACCTGCAGCTGGACGGAGAGGGCCTCAAGCTGAAGAAGCTGAAAGTGGGCAAAGAGCTGAGGGAAGGACCGGTAACGCGAGAAAACCCGAAACGAGCTGGACCACCCTTGCCCCAAATCCACAAAAGCGCTGGAACACTGAGGTTGATTGGGTTTTGTGGCCCAAATCTGACAAACCGCAAAGTATGCTCCAAAAGTGAGTCGCGCGGATGTGCAGCAATGCTTACCAGTTCTGAGGAGAAGGCTACTCCCTGGAAAAGGACAAGCTTGTCATTTTTTCACACGCTTTGAACTCAGACTGGGTCGAAACGGAGGTGGAGATTGAGCCAGAGAAGAATACACAGCTATCTGGTCTGTACCACAGCGGGAGCATGTACTGCACCCAGATGGAGGCGGAAGGCTTCCGGCGATTCACCTATTTCTTGGACCGGCCTGACAACATGGCCGTGTTCTCGGTGCGGTTGGAGGCAGACGCGTCCAAGTGCCCCGTCCTCTTGAGCAATGGCAACCTGGTCAAGTCTGGCAAACTTGATGGAGGACAACTCTGACCACATATTTGGGAGGGGGGGGGGCGGGTTCGATTGCGAAGACCCCTCCTTTACTCAATCCACGCGCAATTGGGGCCTTGAGACTTGAAGCTTCTTCAGTGGCCTTTGCATCCAAGCCGAACAAACTGATCAACACCGATATATCTTCTTGCGATGGTCGACGCTTGAGAGTCGGAGGCTTGTCCGTGTGTGCATGTGTGTGTGTGTGGGTCGTGAAAAAAATCATGTGCCCTTGCAGGCACCACAAATGCGCGACTGGGCCCTAAAACAACACCATGTTGGATCAGTTTCCCTATTTTGCTTGCGAGCTTCTCAAACTGGCGGACCCCTCTTTGCTTGACGTATGTTCTTTTTTGGGACCTTTCAAAACACAGCAACCATAGGGGACCGATCCCTGCCAGGACGTCATTTTGCGGTTTGGTCGGATCCCTTCGCCAAGCCCTCGTACCTCTTCGCCATCGTGGCAGGGGACTTGGCGTCCATCCAGGATGGCTTCGTGACCTCGTCGGGCCGAAACGTGCACTTGGAGGTGTTCGCCGCGGAGGACGGGCCGTCGCGTGAGGGGTAGAACCTTCTGCTTGGGGTGCTGAAGCAAAGAAAGGGAGCAGCACAAAGGAAACAGCCCAACAACAAGGGGCTTGCCCCTTTTGAGACACGTCCAGTGTCGGGATTAGGGTTGTCCGGGGAGAAAAGGGGGCTGGTTAGGGCCGGCCGCTTTCTTTCCTTTCAAACGCCTGAAGCAAAAGATGAAATGTGATGGAGCAGGTGGTGTTCCACAACTCTGCCTGATTTGCAAGGAAGCCTCTCCTTGTCCGTGTGTCTTTTGGGGCTTCGGTTCAGGCCGTGGAAGGACTTGGTCCTGTCAGGTAAGGTCCGGTCATTTTGGGGAGCCACGCGCACCTCTGCGAAAAGGGAACCTTAGACAGATGCTGTGCTCAAGCAAATGAGTGTCTGCGCGGCGCAAACAGCCCCAGCAATGCGTACCAGCTTGGGTTCAAATTTCATGGGAGCTGGCAGCAACATCCCACGGCAGCCTTCGTTCGCGTCTTCCGCTGGCTGGGCCGGCTGCACGTGCAGGAGGACAAGGACCAACTGTGGCATGCCATGCGGTCCCTGCAGAAGGCCATGAAGTGGGACGAGGAGCAGGGCGAACATACATTGCAAAGCACAGCATTGGAACTAATTATATAATGGTGACCCCAGATTAACAACCCCCTGCTTATTAATATGGGGGTGTTCCCCTCCAACAGTGATGAACCCCCACTAAGACCAGGGGCACCCCCATATAAATGAACCTGGGGTTGATTAATCCGGGGTCACCATCATTTGAAAGGGCCCTTCCATACAGTTGCTCAAGCGCGTGGCAGGAGCGCTTCGGCCTGGAGTACGACCTGGACATCTACAACATCGTGGCGGTGAAGGATTTCAACATGGGCGCTATGGAGAACAAGAGCTTGAGCCTCCGCTCGGCAGAGCGGGCTTTTGCTGGTGCACTGTGGTTGGTTTGTTGGTTCTCCCCCCAACCCAAAAAGGAAACCGCATATAACGGGACCTGAATGAACCCGAGCAGGCCATTTGCCTTAAAGGGGTCCTCTGGTTGGTTCTGGTTGAGGGTACCCCTACCATTTGCCATTTGGGGGGGAGGTTCGGGAATGTACCCCTGTTGAAAGGACCTGTTCCATCACGCGCCCTGCAAATGACCACTAAGCACGCAGATGTAGATGCAGGTGTTGATGAAACTCGCACGGGGAGGCAGCCTGGTAGGTGGGATGTTTTTATGCTTTTGCTGTCATCCATGAAAAAGTGGGCACGGCGCGTCAGGAACGTCTTCAATACCTCCCTTACCTTGGCCCGGGAAGACACGGCCACGGACGACGACTACGAACGCATCCAGGGAGTGATTGGCCACGAATATTTCCACAACTGGACGGGCAACCGGGTGACATGTCGAGATTGGTTCCAACTCACCCTGCACCCCGGCAGCTACCGCCGGTCGCGAGTCGCGGGTCCGTCCGGGCATCAAGCATAGGTTCAGGGTAAAGATCAAGTTCTTTGCCACACTTGGAAGAAGTTCACTGTGGTGACAGTTGGCCAGATCTTCAGGCCAAAAATATGGAAACTCGCCTGACTCGCTGCTTCCATTCCTGCACGAAAGGAGGTTGAGAGTTGTCTACCGGGGCACCTGCTTTTCGTTTCTGAGCAGCGTACATTTCCAACCGCCCCAACCTGCTCTAGAAAAGGGACGGCCGGCCGTTTGTTTTGATTTCCCGTTGTTGTGTTACTCTTTTATCAGCTGACAGTGGTTTTGCTGGCTGTTGGTCGCTCCGGCGGCTTTTGTGGCTTCAGTGGCTTTGGTTTATGTTTGGCTTTGGTGGCTTTCGGCTTTTTGTAGCTTGGTGATTTTGGGGCATCATTTCATACCACCCGCATCTCCGGCAACATCCCCCGCAACACCCCTAGCATCGCCGGCATTGGCTTGACCTTGATTTGCGGCGGCAGCCTGCCAGGATGCCGGTCGCAATGCGCCGCAAAACTTAGTCCACTGGTGCCTTTCTTATAGGGCTTTGTTTTTCTTGGGCGTTCAACGATTTGAGGCCCGACGTTCGGCTGCCTTGTTTCCATGAGCCACCTGGTACCTCCCATGCCCCGCAGAACCCACCCCAAGCCGGTACAAACTTGCTCCAAACTGCTGCAGGCGAATCTCAAGCCAACAGCTTGCTGGTGATGTTGGTGTGTTGCGGGATGTCAGCATGACTTGCCACAAATGCCTGTCGAAAAATACAATCCAGCATGTTGGCTTCCAACGGGGACAACGACCATGAAAAAGAACAGAACAGAAAACCTGGCTGGTCTTGCACTAAGGGGGAATTGCTTGCCGAGCTGCCAACAGCACAGACAGTGACACACAGCTTTTGCAAACCCACAAAAGCAACATCTAGCCTTTGGCATGGCGACTCTTTGCCCCACCTTGAGACCAAACACCTTGGAACACTATTCCTCGGGGGGTGTTTGGTACGCGGTGGGTTCCATCCGAGGAAGGAAGGGCTCACGGTGTACCGGGACCAGGAGTTCTCCTCCACCGTCGGCTCAAGGGCGCGAAAGCGCATCGAGGACGTGCGCCTGCTGCGGGCGGCCCAGTTCCCCGAGGACGCCTCACCCCTGGCGCACCCCATCCGCCCTGAGACTTGGACGTCGCGAGGGGGCGATGGGGTCTCCGAAGCCATGTGGCGTCTTAGGGTGCGCGAACCATGAAACAGACTCCGATGCATGTTCGTAGATGGCCGCAGTTTGCGGAAATAGCAGCCGCAAGTGAGTCACTTAGTACGTTCATTTGGCGGTTGCTTGCAGGGCTTCCTGTGAATCCTGGGACTCTTGAGCCGGAAGGCTCCAGAGAGAGCTCCGTGCTTAGGATTTCTTGATGTAATGATTTTTGTAAGTCAGTGCTAGATACACGAATTTCTTCGCCCGGCTTCAACTCAGTTTCTGTATAGAAGCGCTGCCAAGAGTCCTCACGAACTTCCGCGATGGGCGCTCCAAGTGTTCATAGGCCTGCTGCTGAAAATGCACCTATCGCTCTCTGCATTTTTATCCTCCACTCTGACTCACACCAAGTGATGAATCCTCAATTTGATCCTAAATGCCTGTTTGCACGAACCCGCTAAAAGTAGTTTGAGGACTCATCAGCACGTTCACTTTGAGGATTGGTGTGGTTGCGTTTGTCATGTTCCCTTCATAGAATGGCTCCAACAAGAAGTGGGAGTGAAACAACGCACTTAGTAGTCTCTTAGGTGCGTTGTCCTCTGAGGGGACTTATCGACTAGGCTAATCAAGCACGGGATGGTTGCCCCAAGACAAACCAGAAGAAGAGCCCCTTTTCAAGCGCTGGATTTTTGGAGCCCTTCTCCTTGCAAAAGAACTCCCGATGTCCGGTGAGAGTGTTTGCCCTTGCGAAATCATTTGGTGCTCGATCAGAGGGACCTATGAGCCACGCTTCTCTTTGGTTGAGCGGGGGTACACCCAGTGAAAGCAGGGTGTTGAATTCACACGCTCAACTCACTGCACGCAGCCAATGTTTGCGCAGAGGGAAATGGAGCCTAGTTGAGGCTGAACTGGTTAACCGAATTGAAGAGCAACGTTGTCAGATTCATTGCATGGCTGGTTTTGGTGTGACCGAATCGCCCCTTAGACCTTTTGCTTGAATCTTAGGGGGAATCATTTGGAAAGCTCCAGCAACTCAAACAGTTCCAGCTATTTCAGCTCAGGAGAGGTATGCTGCGGTGGACAACTTCTACACCTCGACGGTCTACAGGCTTGGGGCATGGGTGCAGTGGCATGGCGGATGTGGCCAGCTTTCCAACCAACAACAATCGAAGACCGTGCTCAATCAGTGGCCTTGATTTTGTGTTTGCAATGACGTCGAACATGAGCTCACACTGCTGTGAATTCGGGTGTTCCTTTTTGATTCTGCTTAGCCAACCTTTTTCGGGGTTGGTTTAAAGGGGCCCCCCCATATTTCCGGACGCTGTCCGTTCCTTCCCGCAGACGGGCGCTTGCCAGGAAGGGCGCAGAGGTGATCCGCATGTATGAGACACTGCTGGGGCGCGAAGGCTTTCGCAAAGGAAGCTCGGCCCAACTCAGGACTCCTTGGTTTGACCTTCATTTGTGAACCCCCACACCCCGAATGGATGCGAATGGATGCCATGGGTCTAGAGTTGTGGAAGATGTCAGCCTCACCCCTGATAGATCTGGTAGATGCCAGTTTGGGAAGAACTGCGCAATCCAACTCAGAAGCACGATTTCGCTGCTAGCTCCGGGCACTTGGTTCGCAGTAGGGCAAACAATGTTGAAACCAAGAAACATGGCGCCCTTTGAAGGAAAACCCGCAGGAGGTCGTTCAGTTTCAATATGCTTAAACGAGGCGATCGGCCCCGCGGTTGCGGAAAATAGGGGGGGTTGGGGCCAGCTTTTATGTGAAAGCAAGGGGGGGCAGCTAGTCATGGGAATCAAGGCATGGACCTCTACTTCAAACGTCACGATGGCTGTGCTGTGACCTGCGATGACTTTCGGGCCGCCATGCAAGATGCTGCCTGGCAGGGGGGGGGGGGGGCTTGGCAAATGGTTATGGGTATGGGTCAAGTTTTAAGCGGCAGGCGACAGCAGGTTTTAGTCCTTGGTTCAATTTACCAGGGTTCCAGTTGCGGACCCATTTTTGACCCACAGCCAAATGTCATCCAGTAAAGGTGGAGAAGCTTCTTTCTCACAAACATGGCTTCCCCTCCCTCAGCGATGGATGCTATGGATGTGTCACCTTGTTTCCACAGAGCTCCTTAAAAGATACATTTTGCAACCATTTGAAACATGTTGCTTTTTCAACACCAAAAAAAAAGGAAACCACCATTTACAAGGCAATGTTCAGGTGTATAATGTAAGGATCCCTGTTGGTTCGCAGATCCAAGGCCAACGGCCGGGACTTGAGTCAGTTCGAGCGGTGGTATTTGCAAGCTGGGACCCCGGTGGTCACGGCCACCGACGACTGGGATGGGGAGAAGAAGACGTACACGCTGAAGCTCACGCAATCTATGCCGGCCACGCCGGGCCAGGAGGAGTTGGCTTCGCTCCTCTAGGGTTGGTTGCCTATTCAGATGTGAGGGTTGATCAATCTGCCTGGCCCCAAAATGACAATGGGGAACTTTTCCCATTTAGTGGGAATGATCATGATTTGTGTGGCTGCCCTATTGATTGCTCATCCAATGTAAAGGACCTTGTGATCCACCCCCCCCCCCCATAGGACCTTGTGATCAACCCCCCATATTTTGTGTTTGGTCCCGCTTGCAAAGTTGAGTCGGTTGATTTCTGCTGATCCGCTAAGATTGGCAAAGTTCACTTCTGGATGTGCCCCCTGGATGACTCAAGGAGTTGCCTGACGGGGAAACGTGCGTTGCCTGCTGGACCGGGTAACCCTTCCAAAGAGCACCCTAACTCTTTAGAAAGGCCCTCAAGACTTCCATCCCGATGTTAGGTTTTGGTGTCATTCCTGCGTTCCCTCAACAGGAAGGAGTGTTCGCTCCAGGACAAGTTGCCCATGCACATTCCGGTGCGCGTGGGGCTGCTGGACCGTGAGACGGGCAAGGAGCTCTTGCCCGATACGGTCCTGGAGCTCACCGAGGGATTCTTAGCTCGGTTCTTGGAAGGGGGTGGAACCATCCCAAGGGGCGAAGTGGATTCTGTGGCCAGCTGTGTATTTGTGCCAGGGACCAGGGAACAAATTATTGAGCATGTTGCAGACCTCGGGCTGTGAAGGGAGCGCCGGAGTTGCATGTTCTACCCTCCCACTAACATGGAACCCACCAGAGGGTCCATTCTACGAGTATATTTGTCCAGCCCGCGGGTGGTGGGAGGGTTTTCTAGCAGCTGAATGACTCCAAAGTCGCTGAGGATCTCAAAGCTTCGAGCTGAAGGTAGAGGCGGACACCAAGCCGTTGCCCTCATTGCTACGGGGGTTCTCAGCTCCCGTGACTCAGCTGGGCTTGGACACTCTAGACGGGCAGGGTTTCGTTTGACAAAGCCCCTACACCAGTTAATGTTGCCTAAGTCTCAAGTGAAGCGACCTTTTGACCTTTTGGTTTCCACCGTTCGGGCCATTACATGTGCTTTGCAAGCTTCAGAGACGAGTTGGAACCATTCTGAGCCCAAAGCTCGGGCCCCAAAGCGTGCTAGAGCTGGGTAAACCATGCCACCGCGCATATTAGTGGCAGTCTATGGTTGATTTGAGGAAACATGTTCTCAGTGTCCTTTGGCTCCTTCCAAAACAAGGGGAACCATGAGTAGACAACATCCGTCAATGCAAACCACTGATTGAAACAATCTGGCTAATTTTGATCGGGGTGATAACTTTTGGGCCCAACCCCCCTTATGAATAGGACGGCTTTGTGCACGGGATTTCTCAAGAATCATGAGCCCCCCGTCATCCCAAACCAACCCCCCTCCCCTCCACCTAAGGGCTCCCCAAACCACCCCCCCCCATCACCCCACCACACGCCACCGGAGAGGTGACCTTGGAGTACGACTACACGGCCGCGGACTTGTCGCAGCTGGCGGCCTCCGACTCCGACGCCTTCGTCCGCTGGGAGGCGCTGCAGCGCCTCGGCGTCGAGGCGGTGCTGGGCGCCTATGGAGACCACGCGGCGCTTGGCGGCTTTCAGCGACTCGGCTTTGACCAAACCACACTGAGGAATGGCTTTTGCGCGGCCATTGCTTGTTCCGCTCTTTCCCCTGAAATCTATTTTGCCGTTGACTTAGGCATTTTTGAACCGTTTGGCGACCTGTCGTTTGCCCAAGTGGCTTGAACACGCAATCAGGCCGTCGGCTTCGTTCGTGGAAGCAGTGCGACGAATCGTGGAGGATCGCGAGACGGATTTGTCGCTGCTGGCCTACGGCCTAATTCTGCCCACAGAGGCAACTCTGATGCAGGTGGCCAAGCCTCCCATGGACCCCACTCGCCTGCATGCGGCGCGGAACCGCGTCAGGGAGGCAGCGGCATATGCCAAAGTACGAGAGAGACGAGTGCCGTTGTCCTAGATGTTCATCAGTTCGTTTGTCACTGGGTTGAAATTATCGTTTGCCACGCAGTGAATACACAAAATATTGAAAGTTGGGAAGGACACACCCTAGACCACCCCTTAAGATTAGCCCTGACACTCGAATGATTCAACATGATTTCGGGCAACTCCCGTGTTTGGCTTGGAGGTTTCCTCGGATTTCCCAGACTTGTCGCCTAGCGTGTCCAATAGCAATCCATTTCTCGGGCGTGAGCTTGACGCTAGGTCATCGCCACCGAGCTGCGTGCAGAGATGAAGAAGAGATACGATGAGTTGACCCCCTCTGATGACGAGCCCTATGTGGTTGACGGGCCAAGTGCCAGCAGGACACCCCTGCCAATCAACATGGAGCCCCGAAAGCAATCGCGTTTAGAGCAATTTGTTCGGGGGACCCTGTTTTTGGGGTCGTTAGTTTCTTGGAGAGCTCACCTTTGTGTTGGTTGGGTCATTCTCCTTCTGGACTGTTTCTTGGTTTCGCGGCGCAAAGTTCAGACGAGGAGACGTTTGCGCAACGTGCTTTTGAGCTACCTCTCAACTTCCAAAGACGCTGAAGCTGCCGCTTTGTGCAGCAGGCACTTTAGAAGAGCTAAGGGGATGACTGACAAACTGGCCGCCTTTGGGTGCTTGTGCTCCATGCCAGACACGGACGAGGCCAAAGAAGCAGTGGAGACATTCTTAGCAGATGCCAAGGGCGATGCCAATGTCATTGACAAGTGGTTTTCCTCCCAGGCGCGAGCGGATGTGGACAACCTGTTGCCCCGGGTCAAGAAGCTTATGGAGCATCCCCAGTTTTCGCTGAAGAACCCGAACCGCCTGCGCTCTGTGATCAGCGTATTCATCATGTCGCCCCAGTTCCACCTGCCTGACGGCTCAGGATATGACTTCCTCACGGCGCCTTGTCTGCTAAATTGGCAATGCGTTGGTATGCACAGTGTCCTTTGGCGACTCCAGCCTGCACTGATGAAACTAAAACATGCATGTTCACCGGGCACAGAAGACCAGCCCAAAACGGCCGCCGTTTGTGGCGTAGAGCCCAGCTGTACATGTCAGACTCGAAGGACAAGGGGGGACCGCCTGTTTCAGGCCGTTGCTTTGGGACCTTCCAGGCCAGAAGGTGTCCGAACTTGGGAGTTTTGGGGTGGCTTCATTAAAGGGTTTTGCGGAGACTCCAAAGTCAAGCTACCTGTCTCAGGAGCCTCTATGTTCCAAAGCAGTCAACTGCCAGGTTTGTCGGGCTTGCCGCCCCTACCAGGTAGAGGGCCGACACGTGCTTTTCTTTTCCGACGGAACCATAAAAACAGTGGAGTTTCCTTTCGGCTTCGTTCCCCCCCCCCCCACAAAAACAAGAAAAGTATCATCAAACTATGAAGGCAACCCCCAAAACGGGCATCAACAAAAAATCAAACGTACACAATGCTTTCTAGCCCTGTTGACAGCTTGAAAGTCTATGAGTTTAGTGGATGCGACGTGGCTTCAACACCATTTCCAGCTTGTTAAAGGCAACATGGATTCCGGGGTCCCTGCATGTTCACCTTGATGGCGATTGGGTTGGATCTTGAGGCTTTAACTTCTGGGAAATTAATAGTTGTTCCATTGAACCCACAAGTCAAACTTTTGCAGAGGGGTCAACAGCAACAAAGAATCGCTCAGAGCCAGTTTCAAAATGACTTTAGGACCAAGTTTGGGTGGAGCTGTTGGCTGTGAAGTTCGCTGGGTTCCTGCTTTCGGGTTTACAGACGCTCGACCGTACGGGTTGAGAGTTAAGGACAGGGCTGCGGGTAATGGTGGCGAGTCTTTGGGTAAGTTGCTTCTTAGTGGCCTAAGCTGAAAAGCACGCTTGGACAGTCAACCTTTTGCAGGTCAAGGAGCCCGAACGCGAAGCCAATGCAGCCTCTTGCGATGGGGTTCTGCCTACCTCAGTCGTTTCAACCATTTGCTTTTGCTTTGTGGCTTACTTCTAGGGCCTCTAGGGATGAACCTATGTTGATGCTTCTTTGGGCAGGTGAGAATTTGTCCACACGGAAACTCAAAGGGCAGGAAGCAGTCCTCTCATTTCAGCCCTTGTATTTGGCACCCAGGTTTCCTTCCGCACCGCAAAGGACACACGGGTGTTCTCTGAAGAACTCGCATTCGCAGGGCAATGTTTTTTTTTTTAAAGCTTAGCCCCGCAACAAGAGGCACAGCCGCCCACGGCTCCCATAATAGTCACAAGCTGGCAATGAGAAAATATACCAGCAATTATACTTGCCACGCGAGTACGCAGTGTGGCAAACTCATCTACACACATCTTGTCCAAGGCACAAGTCGCGATACTGTAACACTGTACGCCCACTGGCCTGTGCCGAGCCTGCCGGCTGAGAATGTCGGAGCCAGCTTGTTTGCTTCCTGCTGGTTGTCCAATATTTGTGAAATGCCTCCTGGCAAGCAAACAGAAACAAGCTTGCTTTGGGCCACCTTTCAGCCGCGCGGCTTTCCAACGCGCGGCCGCGTTGTTGTAAGTCACGCGCTTGGGCTCTTGTGTGTAGGCGGGCGCACCGCGCGCGTTTTTCACGCAAAGCCCGCTTCGTGAGTTGCTCCACGTGAGCAGTGGCTTTCTCAGACGCGGAAGGGTAGAACACGCCCACATATAGGCAAGGCGAAAAAGGATAAGGCTTGGCTTCCTCTCATAAGAGTGGCGCAGCAACTCGCGGGCTCAATGCTCTGACCGAGTCAATCGGATCGCTGCGTATCTGGGCCACAGCTGGATTTCCAATACGCGGCGCGATTCCTTCCTCTTTGCGCAGCAGTCACCTACTTGCCGATGTACAAGTGGTTGCACGTTTGCTGTCACACTGGCGTATAACACGTGGGCATTTCGGATGTGGTCGCGGGGGGGCATGACCCTTCGTACAGGTTCGCAAACCTGTTCGGGATGCGGCTCAAAGTTCGCAATGCCTGGCCGGTTTCGCAAACCCACAATGGGGTTTGCAAACCTTTATTAGGAAATCAAAAGTTTCGCGAACCCAGGGTTCGTGCCGAGGGGGGGCGCCGGCCTGGCGCAGGCCTGGCCAAGTTGTGGCAGCCTAGCGAAGCCCCGGCATTCGCGCATGGCATCGCCAATTCGCAAAGCCCCGCCGCGTTCGCAAAATAGAATCGGGTTTGCAAACGTTCGCTTAGGTACTTTGGGTTCGCATAGGTTCGCTAAGATTTTGCCTGCCCCCCAAACTGGTGACCAGATCTTGTCTGCCCTTATTGTAAGGCATTGAAATGCGTGGACGCTTTCCGGGATAAAGCGTTTAAAGATAAATGCTGAAGGGCTGGGTGTGTATATTCGGGACTCCGCCAAAACATTGGTCACCGGACGCCAAGGCACCATATCGTTTATTTGCTCCAACTAGCTCCGATCTAGTCCGGTCTCTCAAGAACAACCAGGTCCTCAGCATAGGACCCCATAGCTGCATGCTAATTGGGGAACGATGCTGTTCATTCACATATTGGGACAGTTTAGGGTGTTGCTCAAAAGCGAAATGCACGGCGCCTGTTATTAAAACTTCAGACCCAGGAGGTCATCCCAAAGGTGGATGCCCTCAACGGCCGCGTGGCCGCGCGCTTGTGCAACGGTTTCCGGTCCTGGCGGCTCTTGGATGACCAGCGCCAGGCCTTGCCGCCTGGTTGGGCAAGACACCATGGCTATTCAGCCACTGTGGGTGATGAATGGCAACCATGACTTTGAACTTACCACATGGAAAACAAAGCGGTTTTCGCAGGCCTGTTTTGAGCACCCAACATGGTTTAAAACCACCGTCTTCTTGAAAGGCAGCCCACGCCGAAATGAGATTAAACACATTGTTTTTTGTTCAGCAATCGTTGTGTTGGTTTCTGTTTGGTTTCCCTTGCCAGCCTAAAAAGGACAGCCCCAACAAAAACACGGACACATGTCCAATGTGTAACTTGAACAGCTACTATTGTTTGAAGGAGCCGTGTGTAGACGTGATGGGGCCATTCAACAGCCTCTTGCTGCTTTCCCTTTAAATGGCGCCAAATGGGGACCATCTGAAACATGCCACCAACCCTGGCAGGCCCTGATCTTAGAACGCCTGGCGCGGCTACGCGGCCTTAAGCTCTCAAAGGATGCCAGCGCCTCGCCAAACGGGGGGGACCAGGGTTTGGCCAAATGGGCGTGTTTGTGTGGCCTTCCCAGTTTGGACACGTGCGCAAATGTGGTTGAAGAACCTACCTCGCTTGCTTCACCGAAAGGCCATGCTTTGAACAATAGTGTTTTGTAAACAAGCCGGCCCAGCCCTGGTTTGGACCCCTGCAAAAAGCGGGGTTGGACACAAGCAAAGGGTGTTGGGTTCTTTTACTTTCTCCAAATCAAAACAACTAGCCCTGTGCCCATAGGCGTCCTTGTAGATCAGATTTGGTTGGACATGGATTGCGCTGGTGTCAGTGTGGTGTTTTTTTTGCTAGTGCCATGAGTTTTTTTGGGGTAGGCCCTTGTACCTGTATTTGTTTTGCGGCCACCCCCCCAGCTCACGCCGGCCAGTCTTTGCTTGTTCCGGCCGGGCCCAGGTGAGGTGGTGGCCAAGATGCAGGTCTAGAAATCCTGGGCCGAGGTCGAAGGACAAAAGGCGACCTGAAAAGAGGTGTTGCCACCTCCGGCGACAGAGATTGCCCATTCGACTCGTTTCTGGCAAAGCTCCAGGGACAGGCCTCATGCGAAAAGTGCAGCCAGCGGTGCTCCTTGCCGAAGCACGAACCGTGAAACCTGGCTGTTGGGATGGGCCGTGTGTGTGTTTCTTGCGTGTGACCGCGCGAAATCTGCGTGGACGCAGAAGGAAGCAACCACTCGTCAGTTGACAGGGCTTTCGATTTCAGCTTCGGCGCACAAATCTGAGATCATCGTTTTGACTCTCGCGGCAGCGTTTCAGCAGCTGAGCCTCCGCGCGTGATGCCAGCGTTTGATGGAACCTTGCAGGAACACGTGTCATTCATGATCCGTTGCGTGTATTGTTTTGAATCGAGCTTTGCTGCAATTAATGGCCATCTTGATGGTAGCACCAGGGCGGGAAGGAAACGCCGGCATACCCTTTCAGCAAGTCGAGAACCAGCATACGCGCTAGGTCCCAAAGTGTAAGTTGAAGCTTCAACAAAAATGATTTGCAAGGCGGGTGGCCACAATACACAAGGCATGGTGAACCTAACGGAGGACACGGAGCGCTAGGACCCATGATGTAGGTTCTATGTAACCCAAGAGTCTGGAGTTGGCAAACTGAGCTCTTTTACACAGGTGGAGCCGCAAGACCTTGAGTCGACCTTGTCCACATGTTGTGTTGCCCGGATTTGGCTCCCATGTCTGGCAGGCAAGCCGCTGCCGCTCTGCCAAAGCCGAGCGGGAGCTGAGAAGCGGGCGCTCGCCACAGCTTTGCGCCTGTGGATGCGAGGGTTGGAAGGAAGTTTGTTGCGGTTTTACTTGGCGCGCTCAAAGCTCAAAGCTCACCTTGAAACAAGTGCATGAGCAAGCTGATTGTAGAGGATGTGGGGTTTGGCTGCTTAGAACCCCGTGTTTGGGTACTAAGCGCCACCCTTATGGGGTGGAAGACAAGAAGAAGTTGGAGAAAAGGCGTAGAGCCCACCCTGCGGGTTTGCGCAAGACCTCAAACATCCTGCCTCACCCTCTATGGTCGGAACTTGGGGAAAGAAAGCGCGGCCTCCAGAGCGTTCCAGGTAGCTGATTCAACCCGGCCACAAGTTCAAACCCTGGCTGGAGAAACGTCATGAGGGGAAGGTGCGAGCCAAATGAAACGAGCCCCCCACAGACCATCCTTTCAGGCGGGTGTTAAGTTTTGTTATGCGCCCTCACTTGGGATTCCTGACCAGGCTCATCAGTAGCTCAACTTGTGATAGCATATATGAGCAATGCACGCAAATAGGCTCGCGCCTCTTTTTCCCGACATGGCTGATAGACGGGAACGTTTCCACACAAGGAGCAGCAAGACGTGCACCAGGACCAAGCAGGCCTTCACCCTAAGGTCTTGTTTCGCATCAAATATGCTAAGCCACTAAGAACTTTGAGCATGCGTTTGGCGATGAGTGGCCTCAATTATTTTTTCGCATGGTTGGCAGGAACACTGCGAGTTCTTCGCTGTATCCTTGGGCTTATGTGTTTTCTGTTAGTCTCAGTTGCTTATGGGCCCATTACCGCTGCTTCGTGTGGCAGCACATGCCGTGTACATGTAACTCCTTGCAAATATAAGCACGGTATGTGCTTATGTGCCCTCAGTCCCTAGGTGCTACCTTGAGCCACTTCATGCAGTTGTTCGACGTGAAGGATGTTGATGGATGCATCCCTGCCATGAACGAGCTCTTCAACCGTTTCTTGAAACATTTGAGGTGGCAAAGTCTGTGTTTTGCTTCAATGTCTAGCCCGGAAAAGCGGACAGTTTGTTGTATGCCTTTGTTGCAAGGCTTTGGTGAGCTGAACATGCTCCACAAGATCGTTCGCGACCATCTAGGTCTCCCGAGCAGTGGGGTGGTGACTGTGACCGACACCGTCCGCGCGATGGAGGGCGGCTTTGGGGCCGATTGGGGCAATGACTTCTAATGACGCGAGCCGCGAAATCTGTGGCCTTCAGTCGTGCCATTGTGTTTGCCTTTTCGTTGGATTCAAGGAACTTCGCTTAAAGTTCGTGCGACTCAAGGGCTCAGATTGGCCGCCAAGCGTGCGCATCTCACAGGCCAATGTTGTTGCAAAAGCGCAAAAGAGCGGCGCCTGGGGTCTGGGGGAAGTGCAATTTGGAGTCACTGCGTTCTTTGGTTTTTTGCTCCTCACCCTGAGGCAAAGGCAGGGGTCCAAGGGCATTCGAGTTGGGCTCTGTTGGGAGTCTATGTTGGAGATGTTGGAGTGTAGCCGGAGCATTTAGTGCAGCCACACCCAAGATTCAACGCAGTCAGAATTCCAGTATTAGAATAGTGGATCACTGAATGTATCGTTTTGTTTTGGTGTCCCTTCAAACCAGCCTGAGGGGTTCCCTCAAGAACGGCAAATGACAGCAAGGGCAAGATGATGCAAGATGGCCTGCTTTGGGACATCTCTCCTGCGCTTCTTGAGGGTTGGTAGGAGGGGTAGTGCTGCTCTCACCCCCAATGCGCTTTTACTGCAAGATGCCCTAGTGTGTTCGGTGAGCGTGCGTCAATCGACGCAGAAAGATCCTTTTGCTGTAAGCTCCCAGTCGCGTCCTAAAGTACTTTATATGGCTTCACGATTTGCTTTCGGGCGGCATATGGCATGGGATCAACGTGTTGTTTTCTCTGCATCTGGGTGAATTATAGCGACCTCACACGACCACCCCAAATGGTGGTTTATGTGGGGAATAGCCCCCCAACCGCCTTTTTTCAGGTTGGTGACACAGTTGGTGAAATATTGTAATTCACCAAGATGCATCACGTCCATCCACCCCAGCCCAAGGCCCACGTTCGCTCCACAGCTGCCGTGGCCCGCTTCGGCGGAAGTCGGCGCCTGGGACTATCCCCGACCACAGCTGCGCAGGAAGACGCGGTGGGCGTTGCTGTCGCCTGGCGCAAGGGTGGGGCGGCCATCCAGTCCAAATCGTTTGAGGTTTTTGCTCCATGGCAACCCCGGATTAAACAAGATTATCAATATGGGGATGTCCCTGGTTTTAGCGGTGATTCACACATTTGGAGGAGGACACCCACCTATTAATAACCTGGGGTTGATTAATATGAGTCATATGAGGGTCAACATGATGCTGCACGAACCAAAGGCCAAACAGAGATGCATGAATAAGAAGTGGCCCAGAGGAGACGCGTAAAGCTGGCGTTCCTGGCTTCGGTCCAGCTTGCTTCACTGCTTACAGTTGTTTGTGAATGGGTGTGCCTATCCAAAGCAAATGCGTTTGCTCTGCCTTTTGGCCATGAAGTAGGTAGTCAGGGCTGGTATGAAGCAATATCACATGTTGCTGTCTTGTTGGACCACATGAAGAAGGACTGAGACATGCTGTTTGCTCCGGACCACTAAAGTAGCGATGTCCAACAGAAGCCTGGCAAGCATTCAAGGATGCTCGGATCAAGAGTCATGCGTGTCGCCTTCATTTTGAAGCTTGCAATGACGATAGCGACGCAGAGGAATTCGCAATTGTTCGATGTGTTCAGCGTCATGGCTGAGCTTGTGCGACACGCCTTCGAAGGGACGCCGGGCGGGGGTAGTTGGGGTAGAATAGCCTTCCTCGCGGGCTTCCATTGTGCAAACATTGCTTCACTAGCAGCGGGTCGCGTGCAGAACGCATCGCAAGCAGCACACACGCTCTCTGCAATCGCCCTTTCTTTTCATGACCAGGTCACGTTAGCGCAGCTGTGCCTCTTTACCGCGCATTCTTGTTTCGGCTAGTGGGGTTTCGCGCTTATGCGTCCTCTGCAAGCTTTAAAAGGCGTTATTTTGGGCGAACTAGGATCGCGATTTTGCGCTGCACCATCATTATGACTTCTATTGACTTCTCCTTTCCGCACACGGCTCGCAAACAGACGGTGCCGTAGGCTCGTCGCGTTCAGCTCTCTGCGGTCGAGCTTTCTTGTCGTGTTGATCACAGCGCAGCCGTGCTTCTTTGTCCCATCCCGGACTGGCTTGCTGAACCCTTGTGTCTGGGAATGCGCATGTTATGAGTACCGCTGGAATGTGGGTGCATATTTGTGGCTGAAAGTGCCGGGCGCGAAACCTTGTTCTTGTTTGATGGGTTTTCGTCCTACATTTCCAGTGTTCCCCATAAACTGCTCTTCCCACCGGTGCGCAGGACGTGTCAGCTAACCCAATTCAGCTTGTTGCGGTCGGTATGTCACATTAGCTTGATGTCATGTGTGCGTCTTGCAAAGCTACTCGCACGATCCGCCAGATGGGTTGACCGTCTCATTTGGCGTTCTGGGGCGAATGCATCCTGCACTAATTAGTTGATGCAGGGGAGCTTTTGTTCTGGGTTGGGAAAGTGGAGCAGCAACAAAGAGCTGGTTGCCGGGTGAGGCTGGAACTGGCCCTGTTTGAGCCACTGTGTATCTAATCCAAGCATTTCCGTACACCTACCTTATTCAAGTTGTCCAGGAAGATGAGCAGTTCCATAAACCAGCGCTTACATTTCGTGTTGTCCTGCTATGCCAGGAAAACCAGGCCACGAAGAGAACGTTTTGTAGAATTCATGAACTGCATGGTTTCAACACGCATGGCACGGCCCACGATTCAATCACTGGACCCCGGACCGAGGGATGGACAGTGGGACGTTCACATCACCCGCGGGCGTTCGCGAACTTCTCCTCCGGCGGCCTTTGGGGATGGGACCTTGGAGGCCCGCGGAGCCAAAGGCCGTGAAGGCCACCCATTGGATTAAACATGTAGCCACTGGTTATGATTCTTCCCTTGAGGTGGTGTTGAAATCATATTTCGCCCTACACAGTCCCTAGGGCATTGAAGACTGAGGAGGCTCACCTCTGCCAGAAAAAAACACGCCAGGGGCAACATGGTTCGACTTGGGGGAGCATCCCAAACTTGACCGCTAGTGGGTTGGATCTTTAGACTTCAACTTTTTGGTTGAAATCAATGGGGCTTCCCACTAAACCCGCAAAAAGTGAACATTTTTTTGCAGAGGGGCCAACACATGGTTGTTGTTTGGACATATTTTACATTGTTGCTTATCGTGGTTTAGTGTAAAACATGATTGCTTGCTCCCCTTCCAACGTCAACCAAGAACAGCAACCCAGCAAAACGGATCCACGCCACCGCCCCATTCCGCGATTACGGCAGGTGCCCTTCCCCGCCGAGTCGCAGCAGGGCGGCTTGGCGCGGCGGATCTCGGAGCACGAGCTGCGGCTCGGCCGGGTTCACGGCAGCGCGCGCTCGCACGAGACAATAGTTACAGTTGTTCAGTGGCACCAATTATTTTCCATTTTTTTGTTTTTCCAGTGGCTGCCCCACTAAACATGGTCTTCCGCAAGAAGGCCTTTTTTCCAGGGTCACTGAACAACTGAGATGCATAGAATTAAAGAAATCGGCCGAACTTTCTGCAGGGTTCCGTTTTTGTGACTACCTTGGGGTGGACCTAAACCCAGGGGTGTACCTTTTGGAACCCATGTCTGGGTTTAAGTCTGCCTTGGGGAAGTTTCTCAGGGGTCATTATTTTGGTTCGGTTTCTGACACTTTCGGGGGTGACTTTGACCATGGTAAAATAATGAGGTCAGTTTCTGCTGTTTTGCAAAACGGGGCGCGCCCTTTTGCCCGAGAACGGTAAAAGTTTGGCCGCCGGAGGTTCCAGGTATCGGAAAGTGATGCAGTGGGTTCCACACTGTTTCCCTTTGGTTAGGTGATGAGTGGGTTGCCCTCTAAAAGAATGTCAACCCTGAGTGGTTCCCCGTTTGGGGTTTCCATTTTAGAAGCAGCTTCAAAGTTGAGACTTGCTTGGGCCAATCCACTCATGCAGTACCAATAAGAGCGACATGCAGTGGGAGTTCCGACCACGCCCCATGCAATGAGCTCCGTACGTGTCAATGTCAATAGGATATGTTTCTGCCCCCCTCCACGTGGAGAACATGCATTCTACTTCCTTTGCTTTGGCTGAAAAGCGAACACGGACTCAGAAACATAGGGGAATGGGGCTGATTGACTCCCAGTTCTGTCAGAGGAGCCTGCTTTTGGGGAATCTTGTGTGGCGAGCATTGGTCGGTTTGATGGTGCCCACGCAGTTTGCGTGGAGCTTTTGCGGCATCGAAGCCTGGAGAACCGGATCGCCGAGATCCATACAGTTCTTGTGCCCATCGGATGGCTCAAACCGCTTCTCTTCCTTGCCCCTGCCAATTTACATACGCCCAGTACTGAGGCTTTCGCACTGAAAGACTTATCTTGTCAGGGCCGGTGACAGAAGGGTGACTCGTTGGATGTCGATGATACCGTGCCCATGTCTGAACTTTGATGTGACCCCTGTGCGGCCAAAACCAAAATAGGTGCAGCAATAGTTTTCACAGCTACGTTTTTGTGGTGGACACCCACTCGTTGTGCTGTGTTTGCCCTCCGGTCTTACGGCCAAGTCTAGAACCAGCCATAGCTTGATTATTGACGCCATCGGGTTCTCAGTGAAGCTGTGTCTCCTCTCGGCCTCTCGGCCTAGGCTTTGGCTCCGGCGGAAGGTTCTCGTGCCCGGCTGGTCACGGGTGCTCCTGCACCTCCAGGGGTGCTGCTAGCCAGAGTTGGATGTCAAGTGCGGGGCATTTCCAGGTACCTTCCTGTAAACCTTGCCATGGAACCAGACAGGTCCTAGGCGCTATTTTCCTTGGGCCCTGCGGGTTCCATGGCAACGTGGGAAGAGTTCTGAGGCCTTCAAAAGGGCAAAGCTGAGGTAACAAAGTCATGAGTTTCGCCGGGTGTGCGTTCTGGAGCTGTGGGGGTCACACACCACTTGTACAAAGAGAGCTTGAAGTGTGGCGCGGCAAGGCTTCCACGTGTTCAAAAGCTTTTTCTTGGAAGGTTCTTATTCTCTCTTTCTTCTGTGTGGCTCAAACATCACGCTCTCCGGCCACCTTTGATGCCGTTCCCCGATTGGCTGGATGCCTAGGAGCTGCTGAACACCAGGTAGAACATGCCACTTGTTGCAGCTGAGAAAGCTAATGCCTGTAGGAGCCTTGAAGCTCAGTTGCCCAAAGCGAATCAACCTTCTGACCTTTTGGTTTCTCCTTTTTGGTCTAGTTTTAGTCATGGACCCAAAAGGTTAACCTTTTATTTCTGGGTCCTTTGGGCAAGTGAGGAAGGTGTTTCCAAAGATCCAAATCACCAAACCAAACCAGAAATTGGCGGGGGAAGGTGTATTGAACAATTCGACCAGGTGGGGGGGGGGATCGTGTTTCTGCTCAAAGTCCGCCTATTGGACCACCCCCTTGGAATCAATGTTCGAGCCACCCTGTTGGACCAACGTGATTTGGACATGTCTTTTTTGGCGGACTCTTCAAAATGGTGGTTTTCCATTTGGCCCGCCTTCAAAACTAGGTCCCCCAGTGGTGCCCCGTTACCAACGGAAAAATGGGTACCCTTATTCTAATCTCTCTGCTGGAGGACCCAGGAAAGCACAAACAAGTGGCGTGGGTATCCCGAAAAAAGGAAACCGCCCATTTCGTTTGACCTGCATGGCTTCTGGCGCGCCAGCTGCGACTGGGAGTGCGGGGTCTTTGTGGACGGCAAGCTGCTGGGGGAGCACCGTGGCGCCTACGAGCCCTTCAGCTTCGAGCTGCCAACAGGGGCAGCTTGGGTGCGACTGGGTGGGCTGGACGGGTTTTCGTGGGTGATGTTGGGGGAAACGAATTGAGGAAAGTGGCGAAATGTTGGTAGTGGGGGGAGGGGGGGGCGTTTCGGCTCTTTTTGTTACTAGCCAGGGAATTTTGAGTCAAGGGGGTTGGATTTTGAGTGGCCGAACTTTGATTCCGCTTTCCGGACAGCTGCATGATTTTCGGTTTGCCAAATGCATGGCAAGTAAGTTGGAAGCTGCAAGGGGCTTGCTTCAAGATGCAGGGCTGTTAGGTCGCATGCTGTTCGGTGCATCAGGCCGAAGTGGAGATTGTCATCCGGGTCTGGGACCCCTCTGATAGCGGCTGCGACCCTTGGCCCAGCTGATCTCGCTCGTCACGCCGTGGTTTTTGAGCTGTTGGTGTTTGTTTCTTGCAAGGGTTCTGCTTGAAAGTCGCCATCCTTGGTGTGTTTTTGGGCCAGGCTTGTGCATGTTCATCGCGATAAATCGCGATGTTTGCACTGCCCACGCTGAGCTGTTGCTGAGGAATATATGGTGGATTCCCCTGCCCGCTGCGACCGCTGTTGCCGCAGTGGCTGGCAGCCCAGGGGCAAGCAGGCGCTGCAGCCGGGGTTCATCATGTACTCTGCAGCGACAGGCTGGAGGGTCGTGAGCCAATCATGCCTCAAGCGATCTCTGGATTCAGTTGGGAGTTGGCCTATCAAAAGTAGGACGTGTCACGTGCGAAAAGTTGCGAGTTATCAACCGGTCTGATTCAGAAGTTGCGGCTGCAGACCCTCAAAGCAAAAGGGTAAATTGAAGGCTCCCTTTTCGGCATTTGTGTTTTTTCTTTGCTTGGGTTATCTTTGGAGGCCAAATGCCTAATTCCACTCGGAGAAGTCTTCTCCAAGTGGAAATAATTATTTGCTGAAAATGGTACCACCCGATCAACACACACACACACATAGTGCACTCAAAGAATAGATCTCTGATCGTTTTAGCAGTCATGGAAGTGCACGTGTGTCACATGTGCTTGTTGAATCTTAGTTACAAAGGCCTCCTGATGGTGGTGAAGAAAGGGTATACACACGTCCCAGCATTGCAAACGTGCTGCAGTGTCCGCATTGGTTGCCACCAAATCCCACGTTGTTATATCAACTGTGCACAACTACGCCATGTGCAACTCAAGGGGAACACAATCGTTGTGCTTGTGTGACGCAAAACCGGGATATCATCGACCGTGAGATGGAGCTAGCATAGCTAGCCAAAAAACCAAGGGAGTGGCAATGCGAGCGCCAGCCTCGAGAGGCCCTTGGCAGAGTATATGGCTAGAGGACGGGCTGAGAGTCGGGGGAAGTGCCACGGCGTGAGAGTTGGGAGGTGCAGATGGCCAATCGAAATTGTCATCGAATCATCAAAAATGGTGGCTTGCGCGAAGATGTTTGTTGCTCAAGTATGGCACGAGAGGTCTGAAGGCTGGGACTCTTGATTCGGTGGCTTTGGAGGTGCGAGCTGGTGAGAGGCTGGCCACGGCCGCATGGCCGGCTTCAACGCGCGGGCTATGAGTCTGTCAGTTTGTTAGTGAATTACCTGATGCCTAGCAGAAGCTAGAATGAAGAAGCAGGTCAACGGCCAGAGCCCAACCCTCCAGAAGTCAGAGCCGGAGCCAGACACCGATCGGCGTAAGCAAACCAAGGTGGCCCAAAGGGTGATTTGTTCGAAACCACTCCAGAGGGAAATGCAGGGAGCCCTTTTACATGGCCCCTCGGACTCGCCAGGAAGTTGCCAGCAGCTGCGTCCTGCAGGCAGCTGATGCCCAGCTCATGGGCAGCAAGGCCTTGCGCATTCAGGCAGGCGCTTTGGATCAGGCGGTCAGACGCTTGGGGCCTGCCCGGTCAGCACGTTTCAACCACCATCTCCCTCCCTGATGTCCTGGTAATAAACAAAAAATCAGATCACTTCGGCCCATCCACTCAGGAAGCAAGCCATTCTTTCGACAGCATGCATGATCGCTTCTTTTTTTGGGACTCAAAAGGGGTCAAAAAGTGGCATGATGTTCGCTTCTCTGAGACTCAGAAAGGGAGTCAGGAAGTGGTTGTTGAAGCAGCTCTCTGCCCAACTCTGGGCACCAGGCGCTTGCACTGTGGAAATGGCATCCCCCGCATTGGGCCCAGTGCGGCGGCTTTTCAGCCGATGATTTTCCGCATGTCCCGCTCGATCAGACCGGAAGTGTGCCGAGCGAAATGTGAAGAGGCCTTGCGATGGCCATCGAAGGGAACAACATGTGTATTGCATGCAGGGTTTCTCAGCCATCTTGTCCAATATACTTGAGCTTCAACTTCTTGCCTCCAAATATATCCACATGAGGGATTGCACCTTCCAAATTGCCGCAACCAAGCCGCGAAAGAGCGGTGCCCTCAGCGACCGGGGCCTGTTTCCTCGCCCTTTGCAAGGCGCAGCTCGCCGGCGATTGCCAGGCGGCCACGCTTGCGGCGACCCTGTTCCTCAGAGGCCGGCCTGGGGCCGCGTCTAAAATGCAGAGACCACTGCAGGGGTCCGTTTTGTGGCCCCAAAGAGCTTAAACCCAAAATTGGAAAGAGCTACACGCACGTTTTCTTTTGTGTTGGGCAGATCCAACGCATGAACCCTTGGACCTGCATGACGCTAGCAGCTAGCATTTGCAAGAGGTCCTCTAAGGTGTCCGGCGTGATCATGCTTAGAGAGTGCGGTGTTTGGCTGCTGTGGGGACCCGTAGGGCACTTACGTGGAAGACATGTTCTTTGAATCTCAAAGAGGCTCGTAGTTGTGCAGTTTGTCGGTGCATCAGCCTGAGATGGTTCGTACAACAAGTCGTCGGAGCGCAATCAAGCTTCCTCCTCGAACAGCTTTAATCTACAACACGCAAGAGGGCCAAAGAGCTATAGAGCACTAGTATGGTGAATGCTCGTTTCCAAGAGCCAATGAACCATGCCCATGTTCTCAAGTCAAAACCACCAAAATCACCTAGCTGATTCAGATTGTGTTTCTAGTTGATTCAGGTTCATCTTTGCTATCTGATGCAGGTTGTTGGACTTTTTTCCAGGACTGGGGTTCAACTCCCAAACCACCAATGCAAACCACCGATTAAGGGGAAGCTCAGCCATCCCTTTAGCTTTTTAGTATTTGGTGGTAATATCCAAATGTTTGACCCACTCAAAGTGAAGCTTTTGGCAGGGGATCTGACAGCCCAGTTAACCTTGGTGCATTTTGCCAAGGGATGTTAGGACTTTAACTTTTTGCCAAATGGGTTTTCCGTAGTAAGCCACTCAAAGTTCAACTTTTAGCAGGGGAGCAGATTTCGCAACCGAGTTAAGGAACTCTGTCATTGAGTGTCCAGAAGGCGAGGCTCTGGCGAAAGCCACGGGCAGCAGCTTCGTGGATCTGGCGGCCGACATTGAGCTCTGGAGCCCCCAGCAGCCCACGCGTGGGGCCCAGGAGGATGCGGCATGGAGGATGGGTCAATGGAACTTGGCGAGTTTTGGGAATTTCATGGGTTGGAAGTGAGTGGGTAGAATGGGAGCGGGAAAATTGTGAAGGGAGTTCCTTGGACCCTCGGCAGATTTGAACAAGGGCCGTCCTGGGGAGATTTGGTGTGGTGCGCTGCTCTGCGCTGTCAGTGCCGGTCCAGCCGTTGCCAGTTGGCTCGGAGTTTCTAAGCCCAAGTTACTAGGCCCCACGCACATGATCCGTGCGTTCCTTCTTTTGGCATGGCCCCTGGCCAGCTCCATTCGATTAGATGAAGAGGTTTGGCCGCGCTTGAAGCTGGTCATCAACTCAAATAGTCGCTCGGCTTGAATGAGTCACGTCATTTCTGGGTTGCCTGGCCTCGTGAAGCAGTCTCGCGTAGCGTCTAGGTAGTTGCGATACGATGTCCGTGTTGAGCTCAGGAAAGTATGAGATTCCTTTGCGCACGCTAATGGACACCATGAAATCCTCTGGATTCCAGAACTGGACGGACGTTATTGTGGTGATCGGCGGAGCTGAAGACAACAGAATTTATCAGAAGGGGGACCTGACCTATATGGAGACAAAGCGTCTCGGCGCACAACAAGGAACCATCGTGGCGTCCCCTTGCTCTCCACTGCCTCACACCTAGCCCACCCTTTGCTGAATCCAGGTGTGCAATAGACTTCTCCTCTCGAGTTCAACTCGAAAGGGAAGACTTTTTGGGGGGAAAGAGGGCTTTTGTGACAGAGATCTTCCCGGAATGACGGTTTCGTCACTTTTGGACCTTCCAGTGGCAACAAGGTGGTGTGTCCTTCTCCGGTATTACCCTTGTTTTGGGGATGGTGTTCAAGGGAAAGCGTTGTTTGTAAACTTGGTCCCCATATTTGTTTGACACGAGTTTTACCTATTTTTTAGGCTCATGAACTTTGACCTCACTGGCCTAGCCATGCTGAACCGGCACCGGGACCACCCTCTCATCCGCGCGGAAGCCTACATGTACATGCTAGACACCAGCACCGTGGGTGCTGGCTTCCCCTTCAAGTTCACGGCCATGGCGAGGACTGAGCACAAGGAGCCCCTAGGCAAAATCCGTCCGCGCGGGGCGACGTTTGGATGCGCTTTCCTTTTGGCAGGCCGAGGTTGTGCCATTAGTACAGGTCAGGTGGCACATGGTTGCCTGGATAACTGATGTGTGCATATGTTCTTTGGAATTGACTCAGCCCCTTCCTCAAAGGTTGAGCCAGAAAACTGACGCATGTTGCCATTTCCGGCAGGGGGAGGACTTGGCTCGCCGCTTGGCCCTTCTACCTCATGTGGGCCTGCACCATTTTCCTGTACCAACAAAACATTGGATTTGCGTGCAGCAGTCCGGTCACCCATGCCCGTTACTACTATATGATACTATACGGTTCAGAATGCTCATAGTGCGATGCTGCTCATAGCGCGATGCCCCGAAGCACCGGGAAAGCTGCTACAATGCCTCAGCGTTTGTATGTTGCCGTTCTTGACCTAAGCAGATCCGGGGCCCCCTCCCTCCCCCTCCCCCAACCCCCCCCCCAACCCCCCAACCCAACCCCGGCGCCGCAGCTCGAGCCTTTGGCCCAGGTTCCGGAGCTCCCCTCGCCCGGCCTCCAACGTGGGGGTCTTTGGGCGGGGGGTGGTGGAGGCCTACGGCAGGAACTTTGACACCGCGCTCACGAAGCAGGAGACGGGGCGGGCCAGAAATGGGCATTTACCAGTCATGAACGGACATGGTGATCCACCTGGTAGGATCCTTACTCATTGTAATGATTAAGGAAGCATAAGGAAACCATGGCCATAGGCCAAGCAATCGGAGTTTTTGAGCATGGCTCATGTGAGGCTTTGGGGTGCCATGTGCCTGTCTGGCCACGGCTTGCCAACTTGGAGGGGGTCTCTTTGGTCCCTGAAGCACGGTAAGAGGTTCTTTAGCATCTTGTGCCCATGCGCCTCAACGAGCAGAGGTCTATGCCCCCTCACGTCAGTTCTGACTGAAGGCCCGGCCATGCCTCAAGCGGGGCAGAGGCCGCTAGGTGGTTAGGCCAGGAAGGCTCCAGCACCATCCGTTCCAATCCATGTCACGCATCGCAGTCACCATGGATCGCTTGTACAGATGGAGGATCAACGAGGACTCTTCATATCTTCGCCACATCTTTGGGTCGAAAGGGGTTAAACCCAGGATGGCCTGGAGTTCGAGTACGGCCACAACCCCCACGGTGTGCACCAGCTCGAGGAATTTGCGGAGAAGGTAACGCAGATGCAACCCAGAGTCGAGCACGGGGATGCGATCGACATTTACCACACGGGCTACCCCAGACGTGTCTTCTGGTACCCAGACCTAGACGTCTTCAAGTATATCCTTTGGGACGCCCAGCCGTGGTTCAGTCTGAGCAGATTTGGACTATTTTGGCACGTCTTTTTGACACCCGTGTTGGGCCTTTTTGAACAAGGCAATTTAAGAGGAAACCTACATTACATGTGGCCTCTCTTGTTTGTGTGTTTGTTGTCTCTTTCTTACGCGGGGGGGGGGGACTTCCGTTTACTTTTACTTGGTCTAGGGAAACTCCAAGGGCCCAACACAAACCAAGGGAGTCATAAAACCGTGTTCCGCCCTCTTGAGACCCACAGGGAAACCGGGCCCCTTGAACCACCGGGGCCCGCGAGGAACACACCGGGGACATCGAGGGCAACGTCCACCGTCTGCAGAACCTGGGAGACTCGGAGACCAAGGCCTACTGGTGGCACCTCTGGAAGTTCCTCACCGGCTGGAAGGGAAATTGAGAGGCTGAGATTCAGTCGAGAAGCCAAGGCCAGGGGGTGGTTTTCAAGTTGGAAAGCCCCTTGGCGGTGAGGGAACGAGCTTGAGATTCGGCCCTTTATGGTAAAAAAATATGTGAAGCGGCAGCTGGAATGGGGGGTACAAGGCTCCCGTTGCTGACGCTCTCCCGGGGCCCAGATGCATTCAGACAATCCCTGAGGTCAAAGATGACGGGGAAGTGCCCTGTCCGACTCCATGGCCATTGCCACGACTTAGCTCGTGGGAGTTGGGGTTGCCCTTTTGCATCCAATGGCCTTCCAATGGCCGCCGTTTCACCGAATTGTTGCTCGCAGAAAGGCAAATGTCGCTGGCGGGCTGAGCGCGTTGCAGTTTGCAGTTGCCACCTCACCTTGTCCCACACCGTTGTGTGATCTGTGGCTGTGCTTGGTTCACATGATTGTTTTGTTTCACTGGCCTATTGCACGCACACGTATACATACATACATGCATGCATTATATATATATATATGCGAGACTTGTCCGAAAGGTCCTTGTATTGAGCTATGAAGGGAAGACCTTTTGGTCTTAGCGTTGGCCTCCGCGAAGTTTTGTGTAAGCGTGGCTTGCAAACAGGAAGTTGGAGTGATGAACCATGTGTATTAGCGCGCAGAATGTTCGCAGACTAAAGTTGGACGGGGAATGCGTGGCCTGAGGGTCGCCGCAAGAACACGCCGCTGCAAAAGCAACACCCACCCGAAACCAGCTTGTGGGAGTTTTGAAGTTTTCGGACCAAGTTGAGTGCAACTTTCCAGCCGGATTTTCGCGAATGTTTGGCGTGAGATGCGCGAAAGTTTCACGAAAGTCAACAGACCTCCCTGCCAGTTTCGGGACACGGGTCTTCTCGTGTGCTGCCGCACGGCTTGTGAGCTGGAGCTGTGGAAGCGCGCTTCGCGTGCTACTCTGGAACTGAAAGGTTGCGACTTTCGAGCTGGGGCTGAGGAAGTTCACTTTGTGTACTACTTTCGTATCGAAAAGTTGCGGCTTTCAAGCTGGGGCTGCGGAAGTTTACTTTGCGTACTAGGTTCATATTGAAAAGTTTTGTTGACTTTCGAGGTTGCGGAAGATTAGTTTGTGTACTACTTTCGTATTGAAAAGTTGCAACATTCAGAACTTCACTTTTCGTTTTACTTTCGTATTGAATAGCTGCGACTTTCGAGCTGCGGCTGCGAAACAGTTCTTGTACTACTTTTGTAGTGAATGCTCTAAAAACAGCCCTGCAAAAGTTCCGCGATGGGGTCCGTGAAAGTTAATTGTTTTCTCGCGAAGATGGCGGTTTCCGGAAAAAGGAGTTTCAGACAACCGTCAAAAAAAAAATATATATATATATATATATCAAAAAACCTACCTGGGTCCTCCATTTGGGCTCAGGGCAGTTTGTTTTGCTCGTTTCAGGTTTTGAGCGGAAAAAGCAAAAAGATGAGCGGAAACCTTGATTTTGCATGGTTTGGCAAGTTTTCTCCCGGAAAATGAGCGGAACTCGGCGGGAAATGAGCGGAAATCGGCGGGAACTTAGCGACACACACTAGAACCATTTTCCAATTGAGCGATTCGGTCGAATTGAGCGTTTTTGGATGAAATGAGCTTGATTTTTGCTCGAAACAGAAACATCCATAAAAATGCCCAGGGAAGACCTAGGTATATATATATATATATGTATCTATTATGTGCGCATGTGTATTTATAGGCGCGGCTCTCGATCCGGGGGCGTGTCTAACACATGCACATCGCTGAATCTGGCTCTTCCTTGGCCGGGTTCACACGGACAGTCATCCAGTCCTTTCTTGCAGTTGTTGGCGCAGCCCTTGGTAGATCACCTTTAGGCTGTAGAGGCACTCAGGGTGTGATGGCGAGTTGCCAGTGGCACCCACGCTGGCTTTGTGCCATCATGATTCGCTACCCACATTTGTTTGATGTGTTTGTCTTGGGATTCATGTGTCAAGTTAGCTTAGCTGTCGAACAATCGGGGAACGCACATGATCTCAAATTTGCATCATTCTGGCGCAGCCAGCCGGTATTTCTTTTCATGTTGTGGCTTCAATGCATGTTTCATGCCAGCTCTGGTTCATGAGTGTTCTCTTTAGGCTAGTTTGATTAGAAAGTAGACGGGTTCCACTAGTTTAGATGGGGTTTTACAACCCATATGCCAGGGAAGCCCGTGGATTTTTTTGGTCTAAAACTGCCTATTGTCAGGTTGCCGTTGGGGCCTCCGATTCGCCCAGGCTCTACGTGGCGGAGCTGGCCTTGTGTCGGCGGTCTGCCTGCGATGAGGCGAAAGCGGGCGAGGGCTGATCCAATTCTAAGGGGCCCAGGTCACGGAGGATCCCTGGCTTGCGGTTTGCCACGGAAACCAAGGAGAACCAGAGCCATTTGGGGGGGGTCCCTAGTTTAAGAGTCCAGTTTTGGGTTTTCAACACCCCTTGAGTCTGCACAAGTAAGGGCGGGCTCTGGGGCAATTCGGAGATTCGCCGCGGAGGTTCGTGGGGAATTCAAGCCAAGCTGAAGCTTGGCAGCTTTCGCAGATACTCGTAGAACCTGCCTCATGGGGAAAGTGTCAAACCCCTGTTCGTATTTAGCTCTTGAAAATGCATGGGATGCTTTTTTCAGCACCACGTTTTCACACCGAGCAGTTTTGAAGGGACGGCCTTTATGAAAGCCGAGCAACAGCTGCATCAAGCTGCAACGAGGCAACCTTTCGCTTTGGCCTACGCTGGCTTTCGAAGTCCCACGGCCAAGGGCAGGAGATGGGTTGGGCCAGAGCTGGAGTGCAACCTTGCTGCGTTCTTTGTGCTGGATGGGGCTCCTTTGAGCTGACACGTGCCAACTTCGTGTGCGATGTTGATAAGCACTCTAGTGACTTGGGACGTAATTAATTTCACTCGAACCAAAGTCTTTAGACATGTTGGATGTCACAGACTTCCACACTGAGCTTGGTTGACTGAAACATGAACCTGGAGAACCAAATTCTATACCTTGTTGTGGTTGTTCACCACAACAAGTTGGAGCTGTGGCAGTTTTGTGGCAATGACTTGGCACACTTTGGAGGCCAGGTATGCCGAGGCAGTACAAACTGAGCCCAGGGTGGCTGTGCCGCGGCATGGCTTTGTAGGCAGGTTCTTTGAACTGGGACTCCATGCCCTGAGCCATGATGGGATCTGTGCCTTATTTGGAGGTTCCAAAAACTAAGTTAGATCAGGACTCAGCCATCCTGGCCAGTGCCAAATCTGGTGTTCAACACTTCCTTACGAAGGAGGAAGTGGCATTGCTGCTGAACGGGGAGGCGCTGCTGCAGAATGGTGCATCTTGGCAGAGGGGACAAGTGCGATGCAGGGGCCGCCACCAATGTTTGTAGCATGGAACCACATGTCGATTGCGACGCCACTGGATAGGAATGTGTTTTGGCACCCAGTTGCAGCAAACCAGCAAGAACAGCCTGTGTCTACCGAATGTTGTTGGATGGACTGGTGGTACATGCGTTATTGGTGGCTCATGCAGGTTGCGAATTTCCGGCAGACGGGTAGAGCTTAATGAGATCTTTGCCCAAGAATGTCTGCCGCTATCTGAGCCATTCGTGTGGTGCCAGCTTCAGCAGACCTGAGCCGTGCTCAGCCAAGGTTCTGTATCAGGGCTACTGGCCACAGTCACTAATTGCGCCTCCTGGACCCGAGGACGGACCGGGTTAGTGGGGAAACAACCCTCAAGGCGAAGTGTCTGAAATCATCATCAACATGCAAGTACAAAACAAGTCAATTTTGCCTCTTGCTGCAAATCAAAACTTCAAGACACGCGAAGCAAGTGCCACAGTCAGTCTGACGTTGCTCGGCAATGCTGCGAGAACTTTTTTGAGGGGAAAGAAGCTGGGTGCCAAGTGAGGGACCGTCAATGAGGTGCCAGGAAGTTGGTAGTAAGACACACTTGAGAGGAACCAGGACTGAAAAGCGGGACCTTTTGGTGAAGCAGGTTGAAAAAGAAATGTCATAGCATCCAAAGTAGGTGGATCGAATCCAATCTGCCTCGACTTGCGCACAGAGCTCATGTCGGACTCCACGCGCCAGGCACTGCGGTCCGAGCTTAAGGAGATCAAGAGGCAGCTGAGGGGAGCGCAGAGCGCAAAACCTACTGTTGGACGAAATCCGTTCGCGCCGCTTTGAATGCATGGGAAACCCTTCATTGGTATTTACAGGAAAATAGTCAGAAACCGGGGTTTCTTAGGTGGTGCGAAATGGATTTCGTCCATCCACATGGCAAAGCTGCGGTTAAGTTTATTGTCTTTGTGGTCCGCCGCGCGCGATTGGGCATTGGGCTCCTTAGCGTCGAGCCATCAAGTCTGCACCCTTGAGGCTCCGATCCAATGGGGGTTGCCGGCCTGCCTGAGCGATATTCCCATTCATGTCCAATCTGTTTGGGCAAAAAAGGGGAATCGTTTCCGAATGAGAACTTCCCTCAATCCCTGAATCCCTGACATACTCTGACCTTGCGTGCTTAGGCGATATTGGTCGCCCTGGTCGCTTGAGCTGTGGCCACGCTTGCGACAGGTTGGGCTTCAACCTGGTCCGTGTACACGCCACAGAGCCTCGGCCAATGTAGTATGGAGCGCGAGCGGGGTTGGCTCCATCGGGAAGTTTCCACAGTGCCTAGATTGCCCCTTTGGAAGGAGAAGGTTTTAATTGAACCAAACAACATTGTGCGCTCAGCAGTTAGTATGGGTCCCAATTCTTATGGGTTGTGGAGGGTGGGGGTTGATGCTGCAAGCCAAAACCACCGAAGAAGCAAGGGACGAATTCGGACGCTTGAACTCATGGAGTTGGACTGCTCAGGTCTTGCCGGCGCTTTTCTACTACATTTGTGACGAAGAGGCGCGGGAAATGGCACTTCCCGCGCAGGTTTCACGGCCAGATGGCAATCGCAGCTCTAGGACATCGCCAGGGTGTCTGTTGTGTCAACCCTGTGATTGCGTGCCTAGCCTATCTGGCCCACGTGAAACTCGGCTCAGCTGTTCAGGATTGTGGATTAGGCTTGGCCTGCCTGCCTGCCTGCCCGCCCGCCTGCCTGCCTGCCTGGCCTTCTGCTATAAATGTACCACTGAAACGCGGCTCGCCGTTGTATGTAGCGATGGGGGGTTCCCAAGATAAGGGGCTCTCCGAGAATTCTATGGCCACAGCTTCGTAGAACGCAAAGCATCCCATTCCAAACAAGACTGGCCCGGGTTTTGTAATCGTCTCGCATTTTCCAAGGAAGCTTCCTCAAGGCAAGAAGATTTGGAAGAGCATCAGCCCGTTCTGACTTTCATGACATACCTTGTGGCCGATGTCAACCCGTACCAGTTTGTTCAGCCACCAATCCCAGTGTCATTCCTCCGCTCTTGTGCAACCCCGACGCCGAAAGCACCAAGGGCCCACCCCACCCCTACCCAAGCCCCACATTGCTGGTCCAGCGATGCAGGGCCTGCTGGTTTGGCAAGACTTCCCCGCTGGGGATGGCCGGGCATTGCCCCTCTGGGACTCTGCCCGGGGCATGGAACAGAGCCTAGGCTATGTGAAGCCTAGTCACATCACATCAGTCTTCCACTTGAGCGCTTCTCGAAAAAGAGGGGTCCCTAAAATGGATGAAAATGGTCGGTCTCGCGGTTTCTTGTTAGCTCCCTGCAAGTACCAACCAAAAGGGGTCCACCATTTTGAGAAACATCAATTTACTTGAACCGTTGGCTGCTGATTTGTTGACTGACTGATTAGTTGCTAGGTCGATTGATTCCCAGGAGTGAGTCGCCAGCTCTGACTGCCAGCCGTGCAGAGCCAGCTATGTCCTGGGAGCTTCTGAGTAAGTGTGGCAATGGTTCCTTGCTTGCTTGCTGACTTGGCTTGCCTGGCAGGCAGATTGGTTCTGCCTGCTGGCTTGCTGGCTGGCTGGCTGGCTTGCTTCCTTGTTTGCTGGCTTGCTTGCTTTCTTGCTTGCTTCCTTGGTGGCTAGGTTGGTTGGTTCCTTGCCTGTTTGTTTGACCTAGCTATCCAGGCTTATGGTTTGATAGTTTGTTTGTGTTGATGCGAGTCGCTGTTAGCTGCTTCAGATGCAAATCACTACGAAGTACTGGATGGCTCGACAACTTACATCATGTTTGTCTGGCATCACTTGCGGCTTGACGGCCAGTAGCGAGTAATGGTGTTAAGAGGCTTGGGTTAACATGGCTGAGCTCATCGTATTGGCCTTTGTTTTAATGGGTTGACTGCTTACACGCATTCTCTATCAGGCTGGCACCATGTTTGGATCCTTGCTTTGCAACCGGTTTTTTGTTTTTCACGCAGCGGGGTATTGCATTGGATGAATGCGCTCCATCCTTGCCTTTGGGCCCGAGGCCACTTTCACCTAGGCAAGCGGACTTCTTTGGGCAAGGGGCCATGTGACTTGTTTGGACTTCCCGATGTCCAAATGTGCTGTGCGCATCGGGTCCAAAGTGGGTACATGTTTCAATAGCTGAGCACAAACACGAAGGAGTTCTCAAACGCGGTTCGTCGGTTGCCAGATTGTTTGTGTGACGAGTGGGCTCGGAACGTAAGCTCACCTCAGACTCCCTCACGGAAAGTCAAGCTGTGTTCATCCGCAATCCGCACGGAAGGTCAAGAGCTAGGCGCAGGGCGTGTCGTCAGGCACGTGTCAGGGCAAGTCCAGCAATCCAAAGGCGATGGTAAGTTCTTGATTGCCTCTTTCACTCAGCTCCTTGCTGCGAGTGACAAGTGGAAAAAGACCTGGTGCAGCATCCTCCGCCCCCATTTTGACCAAACGTAGGGAGGAGCTCCAGAAATGTCTAGGGATTGATTCCCCATTCTTTCAACCATCGTTCTTTTCAGAAACCGGCTGTTTCCCCAGGGTGGTGGTTTTGTAGAAAGAAGGATGCCTGGAAAGAATTCAATTGGAAGGTACCCCTAGGAAATGCAAAATCACCGCGTTGAGCGGGTGTGCTGCGTGCCGGCCTCAGGACTGCCAGCCCGCTCGAGCTGGATGAGATCCAGCGCACGCCTGAGTCGGCCGAGAATTTCTGGCAGGACTGGCCGACGCTTGGCCGAGGGCAGAGCAATGTACACCAGGCCCCATCCCGTCCATGAGTCCACTGTGGACTCAGAAGAGCCACGCTCCACGAACATTCAGAAGCCATGGTGAGGTTTAGATCCCGTCCATGAGCACACTGTGGACTCTTAGAGCCGCGGTCCACGAACATTCAGAAGCGATGGGTTAATCTTTGGGGTATTTGTTCTTTCCTGCAGTCTTTGTGCTGTCTCTGATTGGTTTCGATCGCTGGGGCTTGGGAAATTGGCCTTTCTGTCGCAGGAGCTCCAGGCCACGATCTCGTGGCTCAAAAGCTTCGCCTGCATCGTGTGTGGCCTGGCCAGGCAACTTGGGGGCAGGCTTCTATCATTTGGGTGTTTGTTTGAGGGCAACCTTGTAGGGACACCAACATGCAAACCACCTGGGGTCCCCCTATTTAACACGTGTTAATTTGAAGTTATTTGTGTACATGTTGGAGCACAGTTGGTGGTTTGGATCCCTTCGAAGGACATGTGGCCTGAAGCCTCCCCTGAGGGTAGACCCAGGCAATGTTGGTTTGGTTTTCCTGTCATCCAGGCAAAGCAAACAACATCCAGGGGCCACAGCTGTTGAGTCCGACCGATTTTGACCACCCTTCTGACCATGGTACATATGCTCTCAAGGCGCTCAATGCACAGAAGGTCACAGAGCGTCTCAACCTGTTTGTTCGCCACATGAGGTGTGCTTGCAGAAAGTACACCCGGTGACTTGTACCCCTCATGCATGGCTCAAGGGCTGCCCCGTGACTTGGCCTTTTTGTTGTCTGAGCCCTCTCTCCTTTCCTACCTTTGAGTTCCGATCTGTTGCCCAAGTATGTGGCTGTGGGTCAAAACCCTGTACCCCTAGGTGGCACATCGGTGTTCATCCGCCCCAAAATGGGGGCCCATGGCCATGTTTCATTCTTAAATTCAGTCTACCCTAACACCAAAACATCGCTTCGGAGGCGCCGTCCTTTTGTTGGTTGGGTTTTTTATCCTGGTACTCAAGCTACACAAGTTTGAGCTTTTTCGACCAGTCAACTCGGCAGGTCAGCTACGTCAGCCTGGGCACGCACATGATTCTGGGATGTTATTTTTGTTTTTTCAGCGAACCCATTTTTTGTGGTTTGAAAGGCAAACCAAAAGGAAAGCCCATTTTGGGGTTCCTTAATTGTAAGACAAAATCATTTGTGCTCGATGCATTTCTGCCAGCTTTGCGTTGGCCTCGCTGCCAAGGCTGGATTCCTTTCAATGAAGGCTGGGGCCAGTTCCGATCAATGTGACTCGGCACGAAAGAGGCTTGGGTTGAGGGCAGGTTTGTTGAAATGTGCCGGCCAGGTTCTTAATGTGCAAGGTTCCAAACGAACATCAGTTGAGCAGGGCACTTGCGGCAAGGGAACTGCTTGGCAACCCAGGCTGGCCCAGAACAACCTCAACTGTTCCCGCGCATTGACTCTTTTTGCTGACCTTACATCCATCGCTGGCTGAGGGAATCAGTGCAGTGGCTGCGACAATTCGGGGGCGACCGCCCTCTGGCTTTGAAGCGGGACAGGAGAACGGGGGGACGGGGGTTGATTTGCAGATCAAACGAAGCCTAGCACAAAGGCTTGCTTCTCTGAAACCCGTGCTTGTTCCCGAGGCCATTTGAAGCCCAAGCTTTACCTCGCGCAAGATTTGCAAAGAGGAACAATGAGGCTACCCATCATGGAGTCAGATGGCACCCATTGGGGAGACTGGCGTGTGGCCTCTGCTTGGCCTTCAACGCGGTTTCGCAGCACCCAACGCGTGCACAATAGCTCTGGGGGTGCCCAGGTTGGATCAACATGGCCAGCGGCTGGAATGACGTTGCGGACCTCTTTCCAGGAATGGACGGCGGCGACATCGTGGATGCCCACAACTACGAGGTTCCACCGCGGCCTGGCAGTTGGGGGGGGGGGGGGGTTCGGGGTTCCATCGAGCGCAAGCCGTGGGGCGTCGAGTGCAGTTGAGGCGGCCAGCGTTCCGCAAACGCACAGAGGACTCGTCCAGAATCAAAGTTTCAAGCTGTTGGGAGGTGTCTGTTGAATTGTCTTCAGGCCTTGGACCTTGAACATGCACCAGGCAAGTCACTGCAATCGCTACGATCAGCTGGCTTACGTTAGCAAAGCCAATGCTCCTCGATTGACACGCTCATGGTGCTGATCCCAGCTGAATTCCGTATTGGTAGATGCCCACTCCTTTCTGGAGAGAGGCTGAGAATCTGTATGCCTCGCAACAGTCAAGTGAGCTTGGCCACTGAATTGCTTGCCATGCACTGGGGGAAGCTGCCAATCCAAATGTCCAAGAGCGCGTCAGGTTCTACCCGCGCTTCCCGCTGACATGTTGCTTCCTTCGGATGGGTAGGGCTCTGGGAACAATCAGACTTGATCGCTCTTTTGGGTTGTAATCAACCCTTTTTCGTTTTTTGGAGGCCTTGCCTCTCAAAAATCGCCAACCCACAGAGCCAAATCCCATAGGGCCACTGGCAAACGGGGATTCGCCCGAGGTATGATGGCTTGCCGCTGGGCTGTGAGCTGGAGATGGGACCCATGGGCTCTATTCAGGCTTTGCTTGATTGGCTGGATGCCTTTTAGAGGTGTTTGGGTAGTGGGCGCAAGTTCCTGTGCCATTCTTCGAGGCAAGTGTACTTCGAATCTGATTGCTGCCCCATGCTGGGCACGTAAACCCCTCGCAAAGAATTTGTTTTGTGTTCCGATGTTTGTCTTCTGTAGCTTCTAGCATGCCAATTGACGCCATTCGTGGTAGACATCCGGCATATTCAGGGGCGCTCAGCGCTCTTCTTGTGTCCAAAAAGGAAGGTTACTTGAGGTGAACAGGGGTAGAGGCAGGGGTGGGCATCAAGTTGTTGGGCGCAAGCAGTCAAAACCAGCCCTCTCGTTTGCGAGAAGAGTCGGGTCCCATTGCGCGAGGGAGGTCCCAGTGCAGGAATTATCCGAAGCTTCTAAACCCCTTCGAACGGTTGAAGCACATTTATGATTTCGCACAATGCCCACCCCACTATGCCAATATGCCTGCCGGCACAGATTGGCAAGTACCCCTGAATTGTGTCTGGGCTTGAGCATCATGGAGAAACAGATAGAAATAGAATAAGCTAGTGGAAACAGGCACATGCCTGGTGGGAAGCAAAGACAGCAGTTAGGCAGCCATTCAGCCAACGGCCCTGAATCTTGGGCAAAGGCTTCAGCTTTGTGACTGAGATCCATTCATAGTGCAGCCAAAAGGGTTGCCTCAAACAAAGTTCTGCGGGAGGAGACGCTGTGACCTCCGTAGAGCCCGGGTGGGGGGGGGGGTCAAGGGAAAGTCAAGGTTATCAGCAGCAGACTTCAGCACTAACAAAGGCAAGGCCGCCTGATTTGTGTTTGCCCCTGAAATCTTTACCTTTGAGGCTTGAGATGCTCGATTTCAGGTGGGTGGGCGGGCGGGTGGGCGGGTGGGTGGGTGGGTCCACGCCTGCCATTGCGTCAAAGGTCCCAATCCGACCCGAGGCGCAGCACCTTCACCCAGTGGCCGCTGCCTTTGGCGGGCCGCGCCCTTGCGCTGGGCGAATATGGTGGCCTCGGCTTCCCCCTGGAGGCACGAAAGCTTCCCTTGGGTTTTACTCACAGTTCTTGGCGCGCTTTTTTTTTTTGTTGTTGTTTGGTTCTGTTCATTCTTAGTAGGGGGCTGCAAGAAACAAAGTTGTTTGCTACCATACAAAGGGTTGTGAAGTTTACTCACTGATGCACTTTGAGGTCAAGGTTTGAAGAGACCTTGTGATTCCTTGCTGAGAGGGCTTTTTCCGGTAAGGGCTTATGTGCAAAAAGGCCTGGCGCATGTGTGGCGGACAGCCTGAGCGTTTGCCAAGAGCCCCCTTCTCTAGATTGCCATTTCAATATTTGGGTGTTGAGTTCTTGTCACCTGGCTGGGGCCTCGCACCTTGGCAGCTTTGCAAGCTGTCAGGAGGGGTCAGCGCTCAGAGGTTTTTGTGGCCACACGTTGCGCACTGCTTACTTGAACGTCCTGGCACCTTCCCGATGTTGCAAGGTGCTTGGCCAAGCATGAACAGCACGAGTTCCACGAATGAATGGCAGACAGGGCGCCGCTATTAAACCAATGTTTTTTTGTTTTTTTCCGCAGCAATGTGCTGCGAAGAAGAGCGCGAACGGAAGGCACACATACGCGATGCAATGGAACAAGCATGCACCGAATCTAAGTGCCAAATGGAACCGCCTGTCAGATGCTTTCCGCTTTCAGATGACAGCACCGCCAGGGCCATGAGTGGTTGCCAGAGACATCGTGGGCATACGGGCAGCTTGGATGCTTGGTGATGTCAGCCAAGACGTCAACAAAGACTTGCATGGAAGCCTTACCGTCCGGGTGCGATTCTCCGTAAGCAGTGCATTGGTAGGTCCTTTCTTGTGTCCCCTTGCCACTCGGAGTCTGGGTGCATGGCAATATTTTTCCAATGACCCTTCATCTTGTCGGGCAAAGCGAGCCGAACTTTCAAGGATTTGTCGCCTCAAGACTTGGAGCAGGGCGGGTTTCGGAACCTTGCATTGGGGTGGCTCGCTTGCTCGGAATTAACCGCATGACCAGTTGAAAGGTTGCTTCAACACCGTTGGCACAAAGCAGTTGCAGAGTTGCTTTCAGGAACGTCAGCTTGACAGCCGAGGACCTGAGGGGTTTCTGCGCAAGGGGAGTACTGGAACAAGCTTCGCCTAGCTGAGCCCTTAATAGATCCCAAATGCAGAGCCACCTATTCGCTCATGCCCGCGCCGCACGCACACACACACACACACACCCGCTCACACCCGCTCACACCCGCACACACCCCACACGTTCGCCCAAGCAATCACACGCACCCACGCAGCCTCAACTGCAACTCCAACCTCAACCTCGGCCTTATCTTCAACCACTACAGGCACGACAACCAACATCACAGCCAGGTTCATAACCAGAGATCGACCGCCAGAAGCAAAGGCCTGTCACTGATCATCGAGTAGCCCATGTCCTGGGTGTTTGTATTGTTTCTCGCTTTGAACGACTCAGCCAGTGGCTTTTTGAGAACAATCAGGCTGACTGGGCAATCACAGCTCAGGTGTATACCCTCAAGCCGTCGATTTGGTACACGGATCTTTGTACTTGAGGCTTTTGGTTGAGCCAGCTCGGATTTTCTGGATTCTCTCGAATAGTGAAACAATGCAATGCAGTGGGGGTCGTCACAGCAACTTGCCCAACAAGGAGCCAAAGAAAAAGCTCCCTCCAACGGAGCCCCAAAGCACCGGTGGACCGCCGGGCCTGGACTGGACCATACTGGACCCCTGGAAAACCACGCGCCGGGCGTGGTCATCGCGTCGTCGCGTGGCTCGTTTCGTAGGACTTCGGGCGGCAGCTGCTGGCCTTGGGCTCTCGCCTCGCGGAGCTGCTGTGCGAGAGCCGGATCTCCACGCTGGCGGGGGTGGGGTGGAGGGCGGGGAGGGCGGGGAGGCGGTGTGTCAGAATGCCTGCATGCCACCTGATCTCAACCGCGCGCTCCGGGAATGGAAGCCGCTGGAATGCAACGCCCGTGTGTTTTTGCGACGGTATCTTGGCTGGGTCCTCCAGTAGAGAGGTTAGAATAAGGGTACTTTTTTCTTCTTCTTTTTTTGGTGTAGTCTATTCTAGTAGGGGCTTGCCCTCCCAACCAAAAAAGTTGGTAAAAGGGGCCGGGTGGGGTGGGGGGGAGTGGGGGGGGTGTTGGGCGGGCCGGGTGGGGTAGGTGGGGATGTCGTACTCCCCAGCGCAGGTTTACACACAGTGGAATGACATCGAGGAGGAGGTGAACGGCCTCGTGACCTACGACCGCGTGGCAAAGTTGCCGCGGAACCCCGACTGCAAACAATGAGGCGAGAGGCGCAGTTCGGAATGCTTTGTGACTCTGTCAAGCGATTCGAATCGTTTCTGTCGGAATGTAAAGGAGGCAACCTGATGGAGTATGGACCCATTTGGGCCAATTACTACCCTTACCCTTACGGGCTAAACACTGGCCGGGGTTTTAGGTGCTTTTGAGAGAAACCAGGGAAGAAAGCATTGTGAAGTTGACGATTTTTGATTCCTTACGGTCATTTTGCCCACTTCACAACAACAAAAGACATAAGTTACTCAGTCAGGGGTAGGACTCTTTGACAGCAACCATCACGATGTTCCATATAAGTTTGACCCATCACTTCTGGAGTTTCGGGTCGAAGCTGTTCTTTGCTGGGGCTGGTTCAGCATTTTTTGGTGCTTTGTATGCTGGAGCCACTGCTGAGGAGCACGATCCTGGAGTTTAACAGCAGGCTGAACGAGGCATGACCGGACTGGCGCGTCTCTCATGTCCCTCCCCAGCTTGAGTGAGGGCTTCAAGGTAGGGCATGACGCAAATCAATCGCAAGAACCCTATTTAAGAAAGCTCTCAGAGAGCACAACGAGGTGCAGACGATTTCGAGATGCCGCTTTCCGGTGCCAGGTGCATGCTCGGTGCACAGGGTCGCAAAAAATGGCGCTGAGTTTGTTTCGAGGTTTGTTTTGGGCGTTGGGAAGCATGGAGGCCTATTGGGATGGAGGCCGGTATCCAGGTCAGGGTTTAGAAGACTTTCTGGGGCCGATCAGATGTTGGCAAGAGTGTTCGGGGAGGCCACATGCAAAGACCATAATTTCTCAAATGACTCAAATGGGCTTTCTGCAGCAACTCACAGGCGACTTTTCCCTACGGTTTGCAGGCGATTTTGTCCATCCGCATGGGCATTTGTTTACGTGAAAGTAGCAACATGCGTTCGCAGAGGGGACACACAGATGAACGCAACGCATCATGACGCCTTTGTGGCAACGGGCAGCCGGTTCAAAAGACATGACAGGTGAGAGCTCTGCCGATCTAGCAATCCAACTGCCCATGGTGTACGGCCAGGCGGCCTTGGGATTTCTCGTCCCGGTGTATTTGTTGCTAAAGTGGACCAAGCCTCGGCGCTGCTCTTGCCGGACACGCATGAGCAAACAGCTTACCACAAACAACCCAAAGCAACCGCAGAAAGAGAGAGAGAGAGAGAGAACACAATGCTGGTCACGATAGACTGCATGCTTGGTTGCAGGGGCTCCTCGGATAGAATGGCGGTTTGCACGCATAGTTGCAGACATAGCAGGCGTACTGCCAAAGCAAGCAACAGGTGTCAGCTTCCTAGCCATGCTTGCTGGGCGCAGCTGGCCCAAGGCGGCTAGGCGCTATGCTTGGACGCGCGGAGGCGAGTTCATTTTTGCCCTCGCAGCTTTTCGCAAACCCTTGGGCGAAATTGACTTGCTTGCAGGCTGAAGATGCTATGGGGGCGGCATTTGGGAGGCTATGAAGGCAAAATCGTGCATTTGGTTAGTTGATGTTTTTTTTTTGGGGGGGGCAACAGGGCAGGAGAGGCCAACATCAGAGATGGCAATGCGTTTTTACTAGTATTTGCACTGAACAATTCGAAAAGTGCGGGCCCACGTTGGGCTGTGTTTACTGCCACCCTTGCATTCTGCATGCTCAGGTGTTGCAAGGAAGGCTGCAAGCGCAGCTATGCGTTTCGCAGGGATTGGCTCAAGAGGGCAGTAGCTGGCTGCTATGACATCATTGGTGAACTTTGATGAGCCTTAGCTGCTTTGTTTTTGTCCAGTGGGATGGACGTCAGCTTCTTCATGAGATGTTTGGAAACGTTGAGGGTATGCGCCATTCCGTGGAGCCCCAATGTCCCAATGGCCCACACGATGGCAGAAACAGCCCGCCCGTTTGTTTGGCTCCTGCTTGTCGGTTCTGCTTGTCCAGGTTTGGATGTGGGGCGGCGCAGAGCTTGTGAATGCTTGTGGGGCATTCTATGCCACTGAGCACGTGTGTCAAGAAAAATGGACATGTTTTTGCGGGAATTGTCCCAGCTAGCAACCATCATGTCAACATGGAAAGTCGGATCGGACACAACGAGCCTTCCATTTTCAAGAGCCCTTGCTCCAGGGTTGTTAACCCACTAAGAACCTGTTCTGAGCTCCTTCTGCTAGTTAGGGGATCAACCAAGAGGGATGGGTTAGGTTCACCAACCCTCAATATCGCAATTTGGAGCATCCCAAAGCTCCAACCCCTTAGTGGTTGTCCAAGAGGGATGGACAATCGGATTGACCCAGCCTCAATTTTGATCAGCCCTGTTTGGATTCATAAACTAGTTGATGGTTCGGAAGGGGTGCAGATTGAAGCAGGAACCCAGCCCAACACCACAGACACATTGCCAAAGACAATCCAAGAGCATCCCAGATCCTGAGTCTTTCATCCAGGACAGCCACAAAAACAACCAAAGACTCTTCAACGCACAGAACAGCCCCAACCACCCCCCAAGCACCCCAAAGAGTCAAAAGACATCTCATCCCCCCTCCCGTCATTGAACCTAAAGTTCCGTACACCATTGGCGAAGGAACACCTCGTTGCTTGAATAAATCCACAGAAAAGAGGGAGGGAGCCGCTGTTGAAAGGAGTAGGAGCAACCCAGCCCACCTCACCCACTCAAACTTGCAGAGAGGCGCAAAGTGACTCTGCACCCGTCTCAGGCCATTGTGTCAAGCTACTAACATCTGAACAAGCTCAGAGTTCTGTAGCACCTTCACTGCGTCCATGTGGTCCACTCGCATTTGCCGCACTCTAGAGGCATAGGTGTCCTTTCTGGTTGCTTTGCTTTACATAAAAGGGAACCCTGGTTTGGATGGGGTTTATGCTCCATTTACCAGGGAAACCCATCTACTTTTTCCAAAAGGACACCTATGTCTCGTGAGATCTGGCTCAAATCTCAGGAAGAGAACGCGAAGGCTGTGATCACCTCCCCGCGGTCCCTGCAGGCATGCAAGCTCCCCGCCTGGGTGGCGGTTTTGCCACGGCTTCTGTTGGCTTTAGTGGGACTTGGAAGTAGATATGGGTGTGGGTCAAAATATGTGCCCAAAATCGAACACTGGTAATTGGACACATGGACAAACACCTGCGGACTCCTGGTGACTTAAGTTTGACCCATAGCCATATATGTCACGCGTCCGATCCCCCCAGGTTTTGTTTCCCCCTTTTTGTGACCTTGGCCCTCCCGCGAGTTTTGGAGTTGTCATGTTGGCTTTCCCACAGGCGGGATTTGTTTCCATCCACTTCCACCCTGGTGCTGATTTATGGAGGAAGTGTTGAGAGAAAGGGTGGCGGGCTTGGCAGAAAAATGGCCGCTAGCTGCACTTGGGTTTAGGATGTTTGGGCGGAGCTCTGGGTACCATGTAGTGTCAGATGTTGGCCATGTCATTGAATTTGTCTTTGTTTTAGTTGTCTCCAGTTGGTTCTCCAGCCGCAATGGCAGAGGAAGAGAACGCTTACAGTTTTTCACAATGGGCGTGCAGCTTGCTGATTTGTTTAGAGGATCCCTCGTCAAGGCAGACAAGCCTTGGAGCTTCTCCACCTGCCTGTTTTCGCCCCACACAGCGGGGGGGGGAATTAGATTCCTATCCAGGCTGTTTGGGGGTGGTTTACCCGCAGAAGTGAAGTTACTCGCCGTGACGCAACGCCGTGTGGCGCTGTTTCAGGTGGCGTGTGGTGTGTCAACTGCAAATGTTTGCAATGCAGCATCAAGGTTGTTTTTTTTTCCAGCTGGGATTTTAGCAGCCGTGGAGAGTTCATCGTTTGCAAGGGCGGCATCTCACTTTTGGACCTCCCTTTGCATGCAAGTTTGATGCTCGTTTGATCAGTCATTGCATGTAACCGCTAGCCGACGCTGACTCTAATTCATGAAGGTGCTGAACAAGGCTCTTGGTGACCAAGCCCAGGCAATCTGACAAGCGCAGTACTGGCAAGTGGCCTCCCGCGTCATTCTGTTACCGCTACCGTAGCTGGGAATCGGATTTCGCTAAGGCCCTATGCAATCAAGCCGTTTCGACATGGCTTTGTTTCAAAAAAAGAAAGCATGGCAGCCCTAAACGTGCGGTGCTTTCTTTTGGTTTTCCTTTGAAACGCCGAGAAGCGCTGCCTTAGAGAAAGACCCGGGTGATCCTGCGAGTGCCGGCTTACCAAGGCAGGAGGGCATCTTGCCGGAGGAGCTGATCTACAAGCCAGTCGCTTGGCGTAGCCGAGAACTCCAGCAGGTGGCAGAGGTGGAAGCCAAAAGGAAAGCCAAAAGACAACCTACCATTTGGGGGGCCACAAAAAGGGAGACACCCCCAACTGCCTGATGCGTTTCTATAGTGCCTCGGGATTCCTTCTGCCTGACTCTGCTCCAAAACACCTCCCCGAATTGACTGAGCGCAAGTTGGTTTACGTGTGTATCTTTCCGATCTCTTGATACTTCCTAGCACCCAAGATGTTTCAAGGGAGGCTGCGGGGTGCAGGGGCATGTCTCAAAACCCGGAGTTCGACGGGGAATTTGGACCCGGAATTTGGCGAATTTCATGCGACATGCAGATCTCATTGACCCTTAGGTGGAGGCCTTCCAGGACAAGAACCTCTCACCCCGCTTGGTGAAGCTGAGGCGCGGGAGCGGCGAAACGGTGTCCGGGATTTGTGTTCGGGCTTTGGGAGCCATTCGGAGTCCTTTGGCATCTGAGCGCATGGAAATCATACACAAGATGTGCGCTTGTGCACTTGTATGACGCTGGTTGCGGCTTGACTGGGCGCATCTCTGAGCACTGGATCCATGCAGATCCCCAGGCAAGTACGGTTGAAGCAGTGTATGTGATGCAAGCTAGGGCCAGAGCTCAAACATGTCCACAAAATCATCGATAGGCCTTTCCAAGCATGGGACCCCCCAAATGGTTGGGTGTCTGTTGTCTTGCCTGGAGCCCCCAACAGCACCCTCAAAACAGGCATCAGTATAACTCCATTTGCGGCGGGCCCAGGGATTAAACCTCTCTTGGGGTAGTCCTAAGGCAATACTCTGGCTTCATCCCCGCAGATGGCTGTCACCCCCAAATCGCTGCAAGGGGAAATATTTTAAATGGACAGGAGCCAGCAAACTACCACATGCATTTTACACACCATGAACCTTACGCGAGACGCGTTGTCTTTGCATTTCAACGAAGGTGAAACATTTCCCATTGGATCCCAGTTACCACTACAGCTAAGCATTTCCCTTTGTATGTCTAAAGGATAGCGCTTGCCCCAGGTTACCCACAAAATCCAAGGATGGCAAGCCCTCCCTTTACCCACAAGAACCGGGTAGATGGACCCCACTGGGTTCGGCCGCCTCGCGACTGCCAAACGGCGGCGAGTCGAGGTATGACTTCTTCGAGGCGAAGCGCCGGGACCTGCTCGCGGCGGCGCGCCAGGCGCGGGAGGTGCTGCTGGCGGACTGGGAGAAGGAGGGCTCCGACTCGCAGCTGCAGATGGCACCGCGGCCTCTGGGGGATGGATGGCTTTTCTGGGAGGCTAACAACAACAAAACACATCTCTGGGGAGTTGTTTTTTTTTTTCTTTGGGGGGGGGGAGGGTAACAAACTTCAAAAGTGATTCAAGGTTGGTTCCAAGTCTAAAGACAAACAAACTTGATGGGCATGTGTACCCGAAAGAATGGGAGGGTAAAAGCTCCCCCAAAGGGCTCCCAGACCGGTCCAAGACTTGGAAACGCGCTTTGGTTTGAGGGAATTGAACTTCGCAATTTCGGGGCCCACAAGAAGACCCTCCAAAACTTGAGATGGAAGAACAGTTGGAGGCCTACTATTGGGATGGTTTTGGGGTGGAACCAACACATATGGAACCCCAAAAATAGGGAGGCTTACCAAATGTGGAAAAAGATGGGATGGTTTTGGGGTTCCATATGTCTTCATGTGGGGATCGTTTTTTTTTTTTTCCCCCTTCAGCTTCTGTGAGAAGGCCGAGAATGGCCCACCGTATCAGAGAAAATGTGTTTTTGCACAACCATGATCCCACACAATCCATGTAGGCAACATCATCTATACCAACATTTGACCCATTCGAGGGGACCGACCCCCTATGCGTTGTTTCCTTGTGGCTGCCCTTCAAGACAATCGAAATGTTGAAAAAAGCGACCCCCAACCCCCAAACATGTAGGAAACTTGCAGTTGTTCCCGTACACAAGCGGGGTTTGGCAAGGTTTGTTCAACCAGACCATGGTTCTTTTCAATTGCCGGCCTATTTCAAAGGGGGGTTGATGATTTTCTGCATGGAAAGAAAGGTGGAGATATACAGAGAAAAACACAGATTCGTCAAAACGAAAGCGCAGCCCTTTGGGGCGGTTTCAAAGTGAAGCCAAAAGGACAACGAGGTAAGTACTACCCTGCAACTTCTGCTAAAATGTTGGAATACCCTTTCGGACGTTGAAGGGGGACTACATTGAGAAACGCATGCCCAAAGGAATTGGCATGCGATCCGCAGCAGGCTTCCTTTTTGGGACCACTGCTTTGTGCGTACGACGTGTTGCCGGTTACTTGCCCATTGCTATTTGAACCTTGGTGCGCGCATGGCCGAAGACCAACCAGAACCAAGGCCATGGAACCGATGGGAGCCTTTGGGGTTCGGTGGGATCTAGGTTTGGTTGAACTCCCATTCTATCTGGGGATGGCAAGCGCCGCCTGCGCTGGAGCTCACCAGGGGCGTACCTTGAGCAGGTTTGTGAGGATTTAATTGAGAGGATGTTCTCAGGACCTCTGCGGGGCAATCTGTTGATCCACGATGATCCATGGAACACGCTGCCCCTCGAGGGGACCTTGCTGATGTCTAGTTTCACGCTCAATTTGAAGGAACCGAACTCAATGCACATGTCTCCAAAAGCGCGGCTTTGGCGCGCTTTTGCGTTCCAACATGTTGGTGAATCTGCAGGCGCCGAAGGAACCGAAGAAACATGATGACACGGCAAGCTCGTTGTTTCCGCGCTGGAAACTTATGTACCAGCCGCTTTGACTCCTTGCCCAGGTTGCCCAGGAGAGCGGCCTCAGCAAAGGCAGGATCGGGAAGCTCGCCGTTTTGGTTTCCATGGCAGGGCCTCCCATGCTGGGTGACATATGTGTCCCCAGAATAAATAGGGTTCAGACTGGACCATGAAGTATTTTGACATGTTTGGTAGCCTTGATTCGTGCAGTCAGACACGACAGCCTGGCTAACAGCTTGCAAGCCTGCAGCGTTTGTGAACTGAGAGAACGGACGCAATACAACCTTGCCGAGGGAAACAGGACGGGCATTCTGCAGCGCACCCCGGACGTGCTTCTTGATGGGAGTGCGTGTGGCTTGAACACCGGGAAGTCAGCTTCCTTGCTGACAAACTGCAGTTCCTGCCCACCTGCTCCTCTGATCCCAAACGTTAACCCCCGAAGCGTGCCAGCAAAGGAGAGTCTAGTCCAGAGTTTGGTTAGGGTTTCCTTTTTTCTTTAAAAAAAGGTTTGTTCGAGGATAAGGATTAATGGAACGAAACGCCAAGAAGAAAATCTTTGCACCCCTGGGCACGTCGCGCGTCGAAGCTTGCTCGTTTAGGGGCCATCCTGGCGCTAAACAGCGACACCTTGAAGCTGGAGCGCCAAAAGCTGCTCAAGGCCCAGGAGATCGAGCGCGCCTTGGCGCCGGGCTTTTAGTATAGGGGCGTGACTCCCGATTCCATTCAACCATACTTCTTTTCAAGAGCCGGCTGTTTTTTTGTGGGGTTTGTGATGGTTTCCTGAAAATTGCGGATCCCTGGAAAAATGGGGAAGGTACCCCCAGAAGTATGTTTTACTTGTGTTTGTAACCCGGGCAGCTACGACCGGATTCCTGAAACACCTCAAGATGTTCACTTCTGTCAGGCGAGTTCGGAGGAATTCCGGTTAAGGGGGTGGATGTTTGCATGTTCCGTGAAGGAACCTGAGGAACCAAATGTCCAATGAGTCTGGGGAGGGGCTTCATACGAGGGAGGGGGCCCTATACGACAAGCTACAAACAACAAGCAATCGAAAACGGCATACCTCGCTGGAAGATAGCTGAACCGGTTTTTTGAGAGGGTGAACTCCCTGGCTGAATTGAATGCAGCCTCGAAGACTCTCTTTCATGTAAGAAATCGTATCGAAAGGTGATTATTTTGATAGGACAAGGGCAACTGGACCTACTGTTTTGGAGAGATATTGGGAACGTGAGCATTTCCATACCCTGTGAAACAAACTTCCCTTGGGATGGTCGGGCTCCCCCAGATCATTGTGACCAAGTGCAAAGCCAGATCTGTGTTTGGCAGGCGTAGCGTCGACCCCCAAGCAGTTCTGTTGATCATCGAACGCCGCAAATGGACCAAGGTCGCATTGTAACATACCTTTGGTGCATTTTTTGCTTAGATCTTAGGACTTTAACCTTTTGCCAACTAATGGGCGTTCCATTAAACCACTAGAAGTTAAACTTGTAGCAGAGCAGAAAGCAACTGTGGGTCCTCCAAGGCCACTCCAACCGTTCAGCATCCCCAACCCTCCCGTGGCTTCTTGCTTGCCTATTCAGGGCTTCGACCATGCAACTGCATAGGCTCCACAGGCCCCTCCATCGGGACCCTGATGTTCCCCTTTTGGGCCTTCAACCTGCACAAACATAATCTTGAAAGTCGTCATGGAGAGGACAATCAAAACGAAGATTGGGTTTGAGGCACCTTGGCTGCTCTTGGGACCTTCCTGGCTTCTTCTCTGAACATCGATGTTGACCCTCTGACCTGTCGTGTTCATCTTCTTTATTTTCCAGTCACGAAGTTTCGGCTGTTTTTTTTGGGCGGGGGAGAGGCCCCCGCCAGGTCCAATTGGGATGTTCCAAATCTTGAACCGACTGCGGTTTCCCTTGTCGCTTTGCCGGCGAATCGCATTTCCTTGAAAAGGGTGCGGGTACAAGGAGCGCAATAAACTTGAGGTAAGCAACAAGGCAGCAACCCCCATATGTTGAAGGAAAACCACCCGAACATGTCTCAAGAAACCCGAAGCCCCGTTTTTGTTGAGGGAGGCCGGGGCAAGTCATCTTCCCTTCCCCTCAGTTTCCGCCCCCGCCCGGCTAGCGGCTAGGGAAGTGGCTGAGCCAAGCCTTGGACTGCGAGCTGAAGCAGCTCAAGGCCCTGGAGTCGGCCAACGAGTTCCTGGACTCCGCCGCCAAGGACCAGCAGGCGGAAGCTTCGGGGCCGCTGAAGGGGCGGCGGAAGAGGGTCATGAGGCCTGAGTTTGGATGGACACTGCGAAGAAAACCCCAAAGGAAAGGCACGCACCTGGAAGGGAGGGCCTATTTTTGAGAAAGCAATCAGTGGTCGATTTTTGTGGGGCGGAGTGGAAATCAACTGGGCGGCACCCTTTGAACCTTAGGGCCAAGAGCAGGTTTCCTCGCAAGAGGCCAAAAGTTGGGAGGCTCACGAATTGGATCGCGGAACGTAAGCCGCTTCTAAGATGTCGTACGCAATATTCATAGTTCTTCTCGAGCTCACCCGGAACCAGCATGAGATCACTATGAGACATGTCCTCTACTTGGAGGTCATTTAGTTCAGGCTTTCACTTCGTGTAGTATAAAATTCGCACACACATGTTTAATATGTATATCTTATGTATGGTGTGTGCATACATTCATATAGATATACTGCAGTTTGGTTTGTATTGATAACTGCATCAAGTCCAAAATGTCCAAAGATGTACTTTGGTCAGCCAGGTCAACCAGAAGGAATGTGTCCGGTTCGGGCTCTCTTGGTTCAATCACGTGCCGACGGATCACGTTTGGATGGCCCCTCCCTGCCTTCGAGGGAAGCTTCGCTGGACGTCCTCAAACCCCGCATTGGCCAAGACGAAGGGAGATCTCCGTCGAAACAATCACGACATGCAAACAAGAATGCATGTGTATACAAAAAATAACTATAGAAAGTCGAGCCAAATGTTTAAGTCACTGCCAGGGCTCTCCAGCCTCGGCAGGTCGTGTGAGAGTGCTCTGCGTGTCGCTGGTGAATTGTAAGTTTGGACCTCGACCTTTTTACACCATGATGTGTGTGTGTGTGTGTGCGTGTGCGCGTTTCAAACTTCGGAGGCAACGCCTGAACGCAGTAGCTACTTGCTAATGCAATGCTTTGGCGATCCTGGCACCAACTCGTTGTAACATGACAGTCCGTTGAGCTTCCGCCAGCTTTCCAAACACCGTCTCGGAAATCACCCTGTGGTCCCGCAAAAGCGCGCAGAGGATCCTTCCATTTGCTTAAGCATATTGTTTGATTTCCCCCTGTTGGTTTTGAACGGATTTTATCCCTACTGGTAATTTGTTTGTTTGTTCCAGGGGTCTCAACCCAATGGAAGGATCCGTCTTCTTGGACCCACTCCCCGGGTTTCTTTTGGTCAGAGGCGCTGATGCGGGAGCAGAGCCGCAAGATGAAGGAGATGAACGACCGCCGGGCCGCCGAGGAGGAGCGGAAGCAGCTGGAGATGGAGGCCCGCGCCAAGCTGGAGAAGCAGCTGGCCAAGGCCGGGGAGCCGGGGAGCCGTGAGCCGAAGGGTCGGGAGTTGGGAGGGGTCGGGAGGTGGGGGGGGGGGGTGGGAAAAAGGGTTTTCCTAAGGACGCATATGCACACATATGCATATACATATATATATATAAAAGTCAGAGGGCGGGCCGAGGCTGACATTGGAGGTAGCGCATGGTTGCTTGTTTACAGTGTTTGGCTGTTGTTTAGCATAGGCTTGGGCCGGGCCAGTCAGCTTCGGAGTTGGTAAACCGATTTGTTGAGGCGTTAGATTTGTTCTCTGCTGTATGCAGATGGGAAATACATAGGAACATGATGTTCGCTAGGGGCTACTTTGAAGGCAATCCTGCGACAAAAGCCACATGGAGCACAGAAACGCCAGGCCTACACTTCAAAGGGAACATCGGAAGAAATCCTTTCTGGCAGTTTCAGTCTCCCGCAATTTATCGAGTGAACGGCCCAGCCATTCCGGGAAAGTGCAGGACAGAGCATTTTTACCCGCGTTAAAACTGACTTGAGTCTGCCCTTTGGCTGTATTTGTCACGCGCCCCCAGCCCTGAACAGCAGCTGATCATGAGAAATGTGCGTGACGGCCTGGGACAGGCATGGCTTGGACCACGCACATTGGCACTGCCTAAGGCGTGCTCGCTTGGAACCATGATGATTCTTCGCCTTTAGTTATCCTTGCTTCAGGTTTTAGAACCATTGTAGAATTTGCAGATTGGAGCGGCACCTAAGGAGTGCCATGTGAATGGCAATCTTCCTGGCGATTGGCTTCCCATGTCTTTCCCGCGGTGTCTAGCTGGAGTCTCGAAAAGTTGATCTCATGTGTGGTGCCGGTTCCTCCGTTACTTTAGAAAGCTGCAGCCCCGGCATTGCCAGACTTACACGTTAACATGGCTGCCCCTTGGCCTTTTTGCGTTTGATTCATCCCCCCTACCAGCAAGTTGGCATTTGGGGGTCTAAGTCTGAATCCAAGTCACTAAGAGTTCTCCCATTACTCTTCCCACGCAGGAAGAGTTTCACAAGCAGCAGCTGGAGATGCAGCACAAGAGGACGGCTGGGTGTCCGATGCCGTGACTGGTGACCTGCACAGCATCGGAGAGTGAAATCGCCAAATGCATGCCCCTGGTTTGAACCCCTTCAAAGGGCATGGATGGTGCGGTCGCTTAGTATGACATATTATGACCCATGCTGCGCCAGGAACTTGCATAGTCGCTAGTCTCATGGCAGTGGTCATGGGCATCAAGATGGCCAGGTTGATGACAGTGAAGACCATTGCATGTCCGTGCAATTTTGGTGATAGTGATGATTGTAGCCGGCCCCCTCGCTTGGGGGCTTCAGACCGTTGATCTCTTGCAGCAAGACACCAACTGAGCATCGATTGCAACCGGCTGGCCATTATCCTTTTGCATGCGGCCAGGGTGTTCTTCTTGGTTCACACCAACAGGCACTGCCCTTGCTTTGACAAGGGGCGAGTCTTTGGTGCAGGCAGCGACGAAATGGACACACCTTCAACCACTACATGAAATATTGGATTGGTTCAAAACCTTTGGAATAGAAACCGCATTTGCCAAATGCAGAGGGTTTACAGAAGGAAGGCTCGTGAGCGATTGGAGAAGCCAAGCGCGAGGGAGGATATAGTGATTCTTTGGCAGTGGTCCAAGATAAGAGTGCTCACATCTACGCTAAGAGGACTCACGCTGCTTCTTGTCGGCCTTTATTTTAGCGTGTAAAGTATCTTCTCAGGTCACTAGCGAGCTTTCTCAGCAACCTCCAACCCGTTGATTCCAAAGAGTGCTCACTAAGATTCCAGCATTATTTCTTCTGATGATATTTGAGGATCCTGCTCTTTAACCTGGTCTTGAATGCAAGGTGAGCGAAAAGCTAACCACCCACTTAGGATCACTTAGGGCCTTCCTGCATTCCCCACTCTTAAAAACAAACCACATTGACCTTAAGCTTGGTTTCTCGATGTGGGATATTTGGAGAACCTGGATTGACATCTTCGGATTGCATCGCTCGCCAGGAAGTTGGAGGCACAGAGAGCGAAGGAGCTCCATGATCGGCAGATGAAGGAGGCGGAGAGGAAACGCGAGCTGGAGAGGGAGAAGGAGAGGAAGCGCGAGCAGGAGCCCGAAAAACTTGGGGAAGGGAAACCTGGGCTTAAACATTCCCGGAATGTGTCTGAGGGGAGGGCCTGCTAATCTCATTTTTTGTTTTAGGCCCGGAATTGCTGGAATGGGAAGCCTGAGGGACGTGTTTCCAACTCCGAGGCTGTGTCCTCTCGTGGTTGTTGAATACTGAGTATGAATCGCACCTGGTTCCTTGTTGCTCATCATTTTGCAACGCCATTCATTTGTCTATTTAAAGGGCACCTGGGATTTTGGGTGGTGAAAGGTGGCTTGGTTTCGGCGGCGGTGCAGGTGAAGTGGTGGGGTTGTCCAAAGGTGTCGTTAGCTTGGACTGCCTGTCTAATGTTGCCTCACTTCCTGAGTTTCTGGTCTTTGCACTTGGGAAGATGGGAGGTCCATTTTAGTGGCACAGGTTTAGAATTTTGGTTTGCCAAGCCACTCAGCAAGTGAGTTGCTGACACCATGTTGGGGTTGCCAGGAACCGGAGCTCCGGTTTTCAGGAGGGTTAGATCTGGGCAGCTCTCAGCCCAGAGAGCTCACTGAACGGCATCTCAGCGCAACGAGTTTGCAGCCCGAGTTCTGAAAGTGGTTCCTCCTGTTCATACACACGAGCTTCGGTGGCCTGATCTTTTTTGCTCCCTGTCCAGCAGGTCCCTTCCCCGCCAAGACTTAACACTTTGTTGCATGCCATAGGCTTAGAAGCTAGAGATAGCGCAAGCAATAGGACAACATGGCATGTTGGCCACTGCTTATCCATCCCAAATGGGGAGAGAACAAGTCCATGCGCAAAGAAGGGTCTAATATACATCTCCTCATCTCCTCTCTGGGGCATGCTTACGTTTGTTCAGGGTCCCTTCAAGGATACACCCAAAATCACCCACGGAGTCCCAAAATGGGTGGTATCCATGTGTTTTCCATATGCCCCCCCAAGGCTACCACAGGAAAGGGACTCCAAGAGGAAAACCGACATCCAATTTGGGAACAACACACCCGAATGAACTTGGTCCAAAAGTAAAGATCTCCAAAAAACCGGCACGCCCATGTGTCCTTCGTTCGCTCGAAAGGAGGCGAGGGAGCTCCAGGCGCGGAAGGACGAGATGAAAGCGCAGGACCAGAGGAGGACCGAAGCCACGTGGCGCGGCGTGTTTTTCCTTTTTGCACACTTCCACATCAAGGATTTGCTTAGGGGACAGATCCCTTTTTTTAAGGGGAGGATTTGCTCATTTTTTTGGTAGGGGTTCCAAAACTTGGTTCCTTTTTCATTGAGGGGGTGTCCATCAACCAACGATTTGATGATTTGGCTGGTCAAAAGCAGGGGCAACCCCAAAATAGGTTGCCGATCGGTAAATGGAATAAAGGACGAAAACCTGCGGTCCAACTCCTGGTGTTTAGTTTTGACCCATGCCCATCTATTTCGGGGGCGGGGATCCCTTCAAAATGAACAAACGTGTTTTCTTTTTTGAGGGGGTCTAGCCTTTTTTGGTGGCTTGCTTCGTGTTTACCTTCAAGATGAAGGTCTAACCAAAAGTGGCAACCTTCAGTTTCCCAAAACAATCCGCAGGATCGATTTGATGAACCAGAAGCAGGAGGCCTTCCAGGACGGGCAATCGATTCCCCCGATAGCGATTTCGAGTCACTCCCGGCCAGGCACGCATTGGTGTTCCAAGCTGGGCAAGTTGTGGCTTGACCTTGGTTGCAACATGTGTGTCAAGACGGGGCTTGCCTTTGCAACATTGCTTTGTAGTTCAGCGTCAGAAGTACCGGGGCGATTCCGCCTTGCACACCTTTGCTCTTGGAGCTTTGCTGTGACGAACCAAACAGCCTTTACTTGAGCACCAACAAACACAAGCAAACAGACTGAGAAACAGACATTCAGACATATAAATATAGACATACAGACGAACGAACAAGCAAGCACAGCAAGCCAGCGCGCAAGCAAGCAAGCAAGTATAGACACACGGGGAGAATTGGCCAGACTTGCACAGACTCGCACGGAATTACGTGGACCTCACCGACTTGCACAGACTGGCACACACTTTCCCAGACTTGCGCGGGCCATGAAGCTTGTTACTTACACGCATGGACACGTGCACGTAACTATGCGTGCGTATGCAATTCCATGCGCATGCTTGTCACGCGCGCACGCATGGTTGGGCGCCAGCTTATCCTAGCAAAGCTTTTTTGGCGCTGGGAAAGCAGAAAACAGAGCGGAAGCCCCCTCATCATTTGTTAGAACCCATTTGGGGTCACCCAATTAGCTGACAGGAGCTGATGAGGGAACGAAAGGAGGCCAGAGACATGAAGATCTGCAAGAGCATCCTGCAGTGCACCCGGCCTGTTTGGAGCTTCAGGATTACGTCGCCCCTTTTTCAGCATCACCCCACCAAAGGGGAACTCAAGCATTGGCCCAAAACGAGAAAAGAGATCTAAGGACCCCTACTACTAGCTGCAGAGTTACTTGTAATTCAGCTCCCATCCACTGCCTCTTCGAAAAAGTTTTCCTTGATGGAATTGGGGACCGGGATCTCCTTTCAGGCCCATGGATCCAACGGGACTGGATTCGGAACGAGACATCCGGCACAGGAATCAGTCCATCGAGCGGAAGCGCAGGGAGGACTTTGAGAAGAAGCAGCAGGAGGCGAAGTTCTTAAGAACCTGTTGGAATTGATTGCTGGGTTGGATATGTTGGATCTTTAAACTTTAACTTTTTGGGGAAATCTAACGTTTGCCGTTGAACCCACTGAAATTTGATTTCCTTTTGCAGAGGGTTTGACAGCAACCAAGCTTCCGATGTGGATGTTGGACTTGTTTCGGCCTTTTATGCGCTGCGTGGCATGCCCCTGAGCGAGAAGTGGCAGGGTACCAATTGCGGTTCATACGAAAAACCAGGAAGCCTACGGAATGTGGTGTTTGTAGGCAAGCTGTCGGCGGTGTTTAACCAAATTTGAGCCCTGCCCAGTTCAGTTGCAGCAAGTGAAAATGTATCGCTGTTCGCCTCGCAGGAAGCCAACAGAGAGGAAAGGCTCATGCAAGCCATGGCCGAGAAGCAGGAGGAGAACGCCAAGAAATCCTTCCAGACTATGCGCCCCGCTGCACATTGGGTTGAAGGGATGCATAGAAAAGGCCGGGCGTGAGTCCCTGCGTGCTGGATTCGTCAACCACTACTGTACTACTTCTTGCTGAATTGCGGACAGCCTGCCATTGTTTACTCAACATGTCCAGCAGGGCTTCCCACATGAGCCTGCGATGAGCTGACACCTTGTGAGCGGCAACCTCTCCTTGAAGAGATGGCCGGGTTGCTTTGTTCAAGCACCAAATGTGACTGCCTCAGATTCTTTATTTCACTTGGAGCTTTGGTGGAGTCTCAACGAAATCCTCGCACAGCTTTTGGAGTTCACGGAACTCGAGACCCCAAGTGCTGCCCATAGGCGCTGAATCCTAGCCTCGCGCCAGAAGCACAGGGGGTTTTAAAAGCAGGTGGCTGTAACGTTCCTTTCCGCGGCTTGGTCGTATTTGGGCTTCTCTTTTCAAGCAACCATCCCCAGAAAGTGGCACCAACTCCAACCAAAGCCGGTTCTGCCCTTGGGTTGTTTCCATTTTCCAGTATGGCTCTTGTCTCCGAATACCCCTTTCTTGATGGCTCTTAACTTTGAAACTCACTCCCCGAGTTCATGGACATGAAGCTGTTCAGGAGGACCCGCAACCAGCGGCAAGCAAATGACAATTTCTGGTCAATCCACGGAAGTGAGACCCAGACCCGCGATTTCCTGTTTGTGACTTTTCCTTTGGGGATTCTTCCTTTGCAAGCGCCTTTCAAAAGCGGGGCACCTATTTTTTCGGCCGCGCCAAAGCCGGGCCTCCGTTTTTTTTCTTCTTTCCGCCTTCGCGCTCGGCGCGTTCGGATCGAAATCGAGGATGCGGCGGCGGATCATCGCGGACGAGGCCTCGCGGAAGGCGGAGGAGCGGCGCAACTCGATTTTGGACCAGCAGGCCATCGGGGCGAATCGGGGGGGGGGAGTCTTGGCCCCGGGATGGGGGGCCAAGACTCGGAAAGGACTACGGGAATGCTTCAATCAAGTGCTGTTTAAGCATGTTCAAACATGTTGCTAACGAGGGCTTCCTTATGGTGGTGCCAGACTTGTGCAAAGTTGGTCCCCTTCAAAAGAGGAACCAAAAGGGAGGAGGTTTGCTGTAAGCATACACAAGCTGGTGGGACAAAGTGGCAGATGTCACATCTCACATGGGATGGATCAATGGATGGATGGATGGATGGATGCATGGATGGATGGATGGACGGATGGATGGATGGATGGACGGATGCATGGATGGATGGATGGATGGATGGATGCATGGATGGATGGATGGATGCATGGATGGATGGACGGATGGATGGATGGACGGATGCATGGATGGATGGATGCATGGATGGATGGATGGATGGCTGGACGGACGGATGCATGGATGCATGCATGCATGGATGCATGGATTGTAATGGCCTTTTTGCCTTGTTCCTCCTTGGTGAAACTTCTGCTGGCACTCCCGAAGCAAGCCGTGGTATCAATAGTCAGCAGGCCTCAGCTTCCACCAGCGATTTCCCTGAGGCGACCACACAAGACTTGCCGGATTGGGCCTTCCAGCGGGAAGCATGCTCGGAATGACTTCTCAAAACCAGGTGGACGTTCAATCAACTTACTCAGCAAGTTCTGGCCACGTACGGGGACTAACCCCAGTTACAGGAGTCATGACCATGGTTCCAGGTTGAACATCCCAGCAGGTTTCTGTGAGGTGCTGCTGTAGGGCCACCAGCCAGTAGCACCGCCCACAGAAACACGACGTGCACCAAAACCGGTGCTGGAAGAAATGGCGCATTTGGTTTGCGGTGCGAATCCCGTCCTCCAAGAACTCCCGAATCTTGAGCCGCCTGAACCTGCAAGCTAGGGAAAGCTCACCCAACGAATCCAATTGGAGAAATGCGTTGTGGGCGCAGAAGGGAGGATCACCTCCTTTGAAAGTGGCCTCTTTGGGAAAATCACCGGTTTCCATTTTTGGAGCTCAAGCCATGCAGATGGTACTTGACGGATGCTGCCCAGGCATTTCATTTGCGGTTTCATTGCCGAGCTGAAGCGACATTTCAGTCCTCACTGCTGCTCCATCTGGGGGAATAATGTGGTTGAGGGCGTTGGTCTCAACATTCACTCCAGGGCAAGCAGTGGAATGCCCCTCTTCCCGTTCAGGAAGAGACTGAGTACCGGCTCATGGAGCACGATGCCAAGAAGGACCCCCTTCTTCCCGGCTTTGCCAAAGCCCAGTGCATAGCCGTGTCCCTCACTTCAAACAGGGACGTGCGTGCCTTTTTGCTTCCATTGGCTGGTGCGTGGGGGAGGGGTCAGCTTCTCTGACCCCGCAAAGAATCGGGAGATCATTTGTTGCGGTTTAGTCGGCCGCTTTGCTTCCTCCTAAATGCCGGGCCCTGTTTCACCAGAAGATGTCGACGGATACGCTGTCCCCGTCTCATTGCAAGATGACATCCGGTTTACACCCAAAAAGGTACCCTCGAAAAAGCGACACCAACGTGTTGCATCGTGTTGCCGATTTCCAGGAGCGCTACTTGGATTTCAAGCGAGAGCTGGACGGCCTCCGCGCCAAGAACAAGGCGACGGGGAACCGAAGCTTGAGGGCATGTTGGGCATTCGGACGGACGCGCTGCAGGTCAAAAGATAAATAAAGCCCAGGGAGCATGGACAGGGGTCCTGTGATCAGCTACAAGAAAGCCGAGGAATGGACATGCTGGTTGCCAGTGCTTTTGCTCTGTTTCCTTCAAGGTCTGGCGCTCGTGTGGATTCGTGCTTGTCACATTGTCCGGTTGTAACGTGGCCTCAACTTGCAGCAAGTCGACGTAAATGAAACATCTAATGACCTCGGGAGCCTCGGGCAGATGGCTTGAGACCTAGTTTTTGAAGCAAAGACCTAATCCGAAGAGGCACAAAAACGCGTTTTGGGCGAGTATCTCGAGGCTCAGGCGTGCTCAAGCCGCAGGTCTTGCTTGTGGGATCGCTGCTTGGGTCCAACACCCCGTACTCTCATCGAACCTGCTCCAAGCGGCTAAGAACCGCCTGACAACTCTATACGGCCCAGTGGCATGCTCATCAAAAGGGCAAATGATTCGGATGGTCCAGGCAACCCACACTGGCACGCAATGTGCAAGAACCAGTGCGATTCTAGCAGGTTGCTGAGGTTACAAAACACTTTCTTTCTAGTGTTTTCATGCCAGCCCTCCAGAACGAGGGATCTGAAACACGTGGAGTGCGCGGCTCCTTCTCCGCTCGCTTGAATTAGCTGGCAGGATATCAACGTGGAGCGGCAAAGGCGCCGAGAGCAGGCGGAGAGGGAGGCCATCGCCGAGGCGGTGAAGAAGAAGGCGCCGGGTAACGGATGGAGTGGCCAGGGGGGGATGTCCGTGGGGGGCCAAGCCAATGCTGGTTTCCCTCTCCTCCAAGTACCTCCTGAGGATGGCTTTTGGGGGGAAAAAAAGGGTCCTTAGGTACTTGGACCCTCTGGGTCTGGGGTGATGTTCAAAGGGGGAATGCAGCGGGGATTGGGGCGGGATGGGTCACGTTGGGGTAAGCTACAGAGTACATGTGCTAGTGTGGTTGTTCAAGATCAATCCGTGGCTCTTGTGCCTGGAGGTAGTGATTTCCCTCGTTGTGGCTGGTGGGTCAGGAAAATCGGGGTCCTTGGAGTAAAGCAAGCTACACTAAAAGCAAAACCTGTCCCACAGGGTGGGATCCCCTGGCCCTTCCACATTCCACATATGTCCTGCTCATACGCCGGATTTGTGCGTTGAGGGTTTTACATGCAGCAGCGATTCATTTGCTTCCATGTCCCCGCCCCTAAGAAATGTACGGATGGGAGAGGGCCCAGTACATGACCCTTCCATTGATATCCCTCTTGTGGATGCAATGGGCAAAATTGGTGCAAAATGAGCACCCCCGCAGTTTTCCCAGGGGATTCGCAGGATGAGAAGATCGACCACCTGAATGTGGAGCGGCATCGCATGTGGGAGCTCAGAAGGGCCGCGCAGGCAGAGGCATACAAAGCGAGGGAGCTTGTGAAGGACGAGATCTTGAAGCAGCGTCACCTGACTGTTGGATTTATCGACGAATCAAAGGGGCCAAAACCACAATTTTGGGTCCCCAAAGAAGACACCCCCAGTTCATGCATCGGGGAAGCCAGACATCCCGAAAAGCCGGCTCGATTAAGCTTTGCTTCAGATTTGTCTCTGAGAAAGGGGGGCACAGAAGGGCCTCACGCGCTGGTGTTCAGTAGGTCAACGGGTACATTTCGCAGAATTTGAAAATGGCAGGAGGCTCGATTCCCATTTCACCTAGACTGTCCTAGACTGTCTTGCTGTCACACATTGCCTGGACACAGTCTTTGCTTTTTTTTTTTTCCGACTTGCCATTTCGACGTGCTTGGTTTGTCTGGCTGGGCGGGTTTGCCACCCGCTGTTTTTTCATTTTCCCGGCATTTTCTGCTTTCCCGGCTCCAGCGGGGCGGCCCGTTTGCGAGGTATTGAGTCCAAGTTTGACTCCAAGCGCTTGGAGAACAAGCTCCTTGGACTTGAGGATCCTTCATTGGGCCTGCCAGCTGTTCAACTTTGGGGAATAATAGGTAGCTAAGGGCAAAGAACGGTCTGTTTTTTGTTTCTAGTTCCAGGCTTTTTCATGGCTCTGTCAGTTTTGGACGGCTTTCAAATTGGAAACAGGAGGTCGTTGCCAGCATGGCATGCGCCAACAGTGTGGACCTTGCAAAGTGGCTGCTAGAAGCTCTGCGGCTTGGCACGGCGCGTGTGGGTTTGTCTCTAAAGCCGTAAGGGCAATGGTTTTCCTTGTTGTTGGCATTTCAACCCAACAGAGAGCGAACATGAGGAACAGACAGGCAGGCAGGCTGGCACAGGCTGGGCTCCTTGATGCAGAGCGACCTCTTCAGTGCCAAGATCTTGCAGAGCAGCTCGCTGCCCTCGCTACACTGAGCCTATCCGATGGGCGCCGACATCCCCACTTTCAAACTGGGCGGAGGGGAGTTGAAACCCTGGAATGCTGTCTGGGGTATATAAAGCAAGCTTATGGTGGCCTACTTGGGGACCCCTTCAGTCAGTTTCGGACAATTCTCTGATACAGCCCTGTTTTGAGCATTCCAAATTCGGCTCCAAGGCCCCTAGGTGAGATCCGCTTTTAGACGCTTGACCCTTTACCCCCTGCCTCCTTTTGATCTGGGGGATTGCGCAAAGCATGTGGGAAGTGAGGAGGGGCCTGCACCAGCTGGGTGGTTTGGTGGGCTGTTGAACTTCAGGGGGATTCCCTTGATTGACCAGCAAAAGCAGCCGTGCACTCAAAAGCCAACACATTCCAGACATCTCAAGAAGTTCCCGCGTCTCCCACCCAGCAGCTGGCTGCTGTCCTCGGTGGTAGCTAGGTCCCGTTTCCTCCTGGCAAAGCGCGCGGCTGGCACCTGGGGCGTGGTTTACACCGTTGTTTGGCGAATCTCATCTTGGGACCCTGCGTCATTCGGTGTTAGCTTGAAACTTGCCAAGTGGGCGCCCATGCCAGAAACGGGAAGTCCCGGAACCCAATTGCTGTTTTGACAGCTGGCGCATTTCTGGGAAGCAATGCCGGAAGCGGAGACATCACAACAAGTGGATGTCTCCGCATGCATGCTGTCAAAGGTTTCCAGGGGCCAAGGATATGCCCATCGCCGAACTCGGATGGGCAGTCAAGACCTTCAGGAGCTTTGACACCTTAAGCTGTGAGCCTCAAAGTTAGGCACCCCAGGCCAAAGATTGCGTCTCGGGCTTTCCAGCCAACGTCACTGCCCAGTCGCGACTCGTGGCTCTCGTTCGCGAGTCTGGGGTTGGCACACGCTGAAGGGATGAGTGTGAAGCGAATTTGGATGCAAGGATCGTTGTGTCTTGGATTGTGGCCCACTATGCCAACTGCATGCTAACCACAATGGGTTGCATGAGTTATCATGGTTTGGTAATCCAGGGTGCTCGCCAGCCCTCAGGGCTGCATGAATTCGCAGCTGGGACACAAGGAGGCCAAACCATTGGCTTGCAATGCCCACTGCATGTAAGCATGAAGCATGGGGAGGGTGACCTTGTACAGAGTCGGCCGAGCTGGCGAGTGGCCTCATCGTTTCGTGATGCGGCTTGAGGCGGCGCTATTTGTTGGCGTCCCTTGGCATTTGGGGACTGCCAGGCCTCAGAAGATGAAATTTGGCACCTCGATCCTAGGCCGGCGAGGCATCCTCAAGCGAGCGGTGCGGGATGGCAGTTTCAACTGCTGCCGTGCGACTGGCATATCCAAATCCTGTGCAGAACTGCCCGTCTTTCTTGCTGCTTTTCGTCTTCAGAACGCTCTTGGTTCGGGCAAATCCAAGCTGCCAGCGTGGGACCATCGCGAGGACAAGGGCAGGCGCATGCCGGGCCCAGAGAAGCAAGTTCGTAGGCCTATGTCAGCTTGCTGAATAGATTCACGTGGGCATAGACCAAGCTTACTTTCAATGCCGCGCAGAACGGCCCACCTTGCGAATTAGTTGTTGGAGCTTATAATGTTTCGATATGCGATGTCAGAGCATGCGCAAAGCCTGCAAAGGAGGTTTAATGCTGTCCCACTTGTCTTTCTTTGTGCTTGGTTGCCTCGCGCTGTCGCGACAACTCGGTATCCTTTGAACTTTGAAATCATGCCGACCGCGGCTTTGCAAAAGAAGGGGACCTTTTCCTTTTGCCTGGAGTTTCAGATGTTTGTTTGCTTATTTGAATTAGTTCGCGGACACTGTGCAGCGGAGCTGAATCCAATGCGACCAGAACCCCAAGCTGCATTTCTGGTGTTTCTCATTCCCAAAATGGTTTCCCATTCAGGGACACACCGTGGCAGACCGTATGATACCCATGTCCCAAGCGGACTTTGGTACTTCTGCGTGCCAGAAGCGATGCCTGTCCCATGCAGGAGCCGTAGGTAGGAACATCACATGCCAGCCTGACTGTTTCACCTCGTTGCCAAAATCAATTCGGCGCCCAGCAAATTTCGAGCTTGGGCGTGGTCAAAACGTGCGAGCTGCGGGGCAAATCTTTCTAGTCGATCTATACACACATACATACATACATACATACATACATACATACATACATACATACATACATATATATATATATACATGAGTATATATATATATGTATATATATATATATATATATGTACATATACGCGCTATTTTGAACTGACCACGTCGAGGATTAGCCGTTTGCTTGGCCCAGGGCTTGAATTACCCAGCATGATGCCGCATTGCGCAGCTCTGCTCAAGCACCAGGGCTTTTGCCAGTGATACTTTGTTGTGACCTCTTTCAGGTGCGGCTGAGGGGCCATAGGAACAAGGGTATCAGCCTGTCGGCTGCAATGGCTTTCCAGATGGCTTGGTGAGAAGTGGTTGAGGATTCACTGCTTGAAACTGGTGTTGACGTCAGCTTCTGTCCTCGAATGGTAGGAGGTTGTACGCTTCCTTGCGCTCCTAAGCAGCCACCCCGACAGTTCCTTCAGTCACCCGCTTCATGTCAGACCGGCCCGGCCAGGCCAGCGAAGCCCCTGCCGTGCTGGGAACGCGCGTTCGGATGAAAATGAGGGGCTGGGTGGATAAGATATGGCATGCACCGGACGAACAAGGTTTATTGTGGGTGGGAAAACCTAGGGTTGAGCAGAGCCACTGAGTTCCCAATGGCCTAGTTTCCCGACGTGGCCGCAGTTATCGCAGTTGTCCAAACTGGCGTCCTTTGTGCCAATCTACCGGGTAATGGCAACAAGGCCGCAAGCTTTCCTAGTGGAAATGAGGAGGAAGACTTGTCATTCTTAGGAATTTCTTGCTTGCTTGACTGAGGTCAGGCATGTGTCCCCCGGCACTGGCGAAAATGGCCGTGCAGCCTGTTTTAGACTGCATGTTCCCTCAGATTCGAGATTTAGTCGCACTCAAAAGCACAATTTATAATGGCGGCTGTTCAATGCTCGAAATCAGGAGTTTGATCTGCTGGTGGGTGAAGTATTGCAAGTGGGTGTACTCATGCTCCACATTATTGCCACACTCGTGGATCATAAATCAAGTAATTGCTGCCCTCAGGTTCTGGCCGCATGGAAGTGGGGTGCACTTTTCAGAATTTAGTCACATGTTGGCCTACCCTGGCATAGCCTTGCTCACATGTTTGACTCGAGGGTGGAAATCATGCCATCCAGAGACCAGGGAGATAGAAGGATGCACTTCCTAGAATAAACTTGATGTTGCGGGTGACTCGGGGAACCCCTTCCTCATTCCAGGTGTGCCGTGACAACTAGTAAGTTGATACTAACCAACTTCTCCCCGAAGGTCTTGTGGCCGTGAGCCAGCCGCCAATGTCCGAACTTCGTGGCAGAACCCTGACACCGCTCACATTCTCAGACTGTGATTCCATCAAACCCTGCTCCACTAAGAACGGTCCATCCCCAAAAAAAACGCGGCAGTTTGCTTCGGTGTCCCAGTTCACCCGGCAGCAGCTTCCCCTCGCAGGCCTGCGCGCGCCTGCGATGCCCTGTGGCCCTTATTGGGGGCTGGGTGGGGGTGGGGTTTGGACGTCAGATTTGGCGCATGAGGCTGGGCTCGGAACATGGGGTCTTGTTGCATCGCATCTGGGGCCTGAGGTCATCATGACCCTCCAGAGCGGCACACCCAAATGAGTTGCGGCATATGGCATATGGCATGGAAATGTCCGGCATGCTCCAAGCACCTGTTTGAGGCATGTCAAGCTACATGGTTCATGACCTGCGCACACACAAACACAAACCCACGAGTACCTTTGGAGCTTGCAACGCGAAATCGATGTGATCGGGGCGACTCAATTCAACAGATGAACATGGAATGTGTTTTGATATTTTTGCAGCACACACACACACACAAACACGCACACACGCGTACATGCAGACATGTGCATGCGCTCTCATGTGTTCGTGCTTGCGTTTGTGTGAAACCAGAAAAGACATTCAATATTTCAGGTGACGTAAGGGCTCTGCCTTTCGGTTTTCTAGACGTTTATGTGCCAAGCCTTGCTAGTTCATGACAGCTATTTGGCAACAGGCCTCGTGCATGTGTTTCGAGGCACCTAGGATGAACCACACCTGGGGTTTCTATCCAGGAATTCCTTTGCCTTGCCCAGCCCCTATCCAGGAATTCCTTTGCCTTGCCCAGCCAAGACACAAGAGGTTAACAGCTGAAAGCTAGCTCAAAGCCAGCAAGCCCTTTGAACCCACCGCATTCCGCAAGCTCTTCCCCTCCGTCCTGGGACGGGCTGGCCGCTGGCCTTTGGCTTGAGCCGCCGCCATTTTGGTTCAGTCTTCCAGCGCGCCGCAGATCTGCCGAGCAGTGACGCTTTTCTCGCCATGGGGGGCTCAGCGGGTGCGCCCATTGAGCCCTCACAGGCGGGCAAGTCCGAGTCAGGCAGAAGTTCTCCAGTACGTGCTTTTTTTTTGGTTTTGCGTGCGTTGTTCTGCCATGTTCTGCCTTCAGGTCGGCCAAGCAAAAGAGTGCTTGGCCACATAACGTTGGAAATTGACACTGGTGCCTATTGCAGGACTGGGGAAAACGCAAATGCGAAGCGTGACGGCGACGATGCCACATGAATTTGCGTGTTGCCGTGGGCAGTATATGGGGCCTTTCCAAGCTGTATGCTGCCCTATGAGGAAACTCTGGGTAGATGTAGGTGTTCAGGTGGAACAAGTGTAATGCTCTCATGGCGGCTTGGTTCCCAGCAGCACCCTTCAGAAAAGACGTTCGACGTGGCTCGAAAACCCAACAGGGAGACATCAACTTAGCCTTTGCCCAAGCAGTGGACGTGTGCAGAAGCTCACTTGCCAAAAGCCGACCTTTTGCCTTGTTTGGTCAAGGTCCCAAACAAAGTATGTGGATTGGGGCTGGTTGTCCTTGAGCAATTCTGCGATTTGAGTCACTTGCAGTGGGGGGCCATTCCTGGCGAAGGTCGAGGCGCTGCCGGCGGATCAACAGCACCGAGATCCGTTCATGGCAGCGACAGTGGAGCCACTCGGCAGTCCCCAAAGACAGGGTCCCTGAACTGGGGTCGAAATGTTGTCTGTTTCTGGGGGTTATCACAGTCAGAAAATGTGGTTGTTGCCCTTTAACCCACAACTTAGCGGGTGACTTTGATCATGGTAAAATGAGGTCCGCTGAAAGGATACCTCTGGCTAAATACAAAATCACCTTTTCCAGCTGATTTCATGGATCACTTGAAACGCAGGTGGCTTTGTCTGCAGGATTCAATCACATACAGTAGAGGGTCCAGAGGGGCTATGATGCATGCATGTTTAGGTGCGTGTGAGTTGTGGGTTTCCTGGGTTGTTTGCAATATGGATATATCGCGAGAACTCATGACGCCCAAGCCAGTCACCAAGTAGCCGATTGGAGGTGCCTTTCGTTTGCAATATGCGCCGCACAGCCTATCAGATGTGCTGCTTGCGCCTTTAGCGCCATGTTAGACTATGGGGGGGGGTGAGTCATCCAGGAAGGTGCACAGAAGCCCAGCATTGCGACAGTTGCCGAGGGCTGTTCAATGGTGCACTCGCCCAACGAGGTCCCACACCGCATGCTATGCCCCCAGGTTCGATGTCTTTTGGCATGGAAAAACGAAGCTGGTCGAGCAGCTTCAGTGCTAAGGCTTGAGTATGCCACAATTCCTCATTTTGGTCTGGGCGTCCCCAGTTACCTATTTACCCAAAGGGAATCGTGCCATCTCTTTCACCCTGGTGTGCGGCTGACCTCATGCAAGCCGAGGATTTTAGAAGGCAATCAGGCGGGGCGCAGCTTGGACACCTGCTTGGGCGAGGGCTGTATGCCAAGTTCCCCCAATGTCACAGCAAAAAGAACGCATGGCACGAGCGCTTTCTGGGTCAGACTGCGGGCATTGTGCCTCTTCGCTTGCGACTGTTGTCTTAAATTATTGTCAACAAAACATATAACCGGCGATGCGAGTTGGCTGCAAGTCCGAATTCCATTCATTGAGCCCTCTGGATGGGCTGCAACATAGCGCGCTGTGCCTACTTTAGCTCACGGACCCCATAGACACTCCAATCTGCCAATGGTATTGGCAGGTCATATTTTCTTCCATGGTCCCGGGTGTGAGTCTTCACCAGAGGCCCGTTTGGCGGAACATCATTTACTCGCTCCCTGATTTCCTGGACGTGTTTCAGTGGAAAACAGACAGTTTGGATTTTTGTTGCCTATCCACCGAGGAATTGAGTTTAGCTGGAGGGTTCTCCAGTCCCCTGGCTGCCAGGCCGTGCAGGGATGGGTTCAGGACTGGGCAACGGGCGCTGGGCCTGGTTTTCGTTCGCGCTGTTGGATCGAGCTGTTCATGAGGCAGGGCTGACTTCGCTGTTCTTGTGTTGTTTGGTTCTGTTCATTTTTAGTAGGGGGCTGCAGGAAACATTTATTTTGCTACCATACCAGTGGTGTGAAGGTGACTTTCTTTTCATGGCTCCAGATGGTGTTGCTTGAAAGCCACCGCAAACAATGAAGGACGACCACGTCGAGGCCTTGCGTTAGGTCCTATGCAAACTTGGCGCAGGACATCGGCACTCACCAGCCAAGTGGAAACAGGACGGGGGCAGATCGAAGCATTGCATGTCCATGGCAACGCATGTTGAGATGCTGGTGGTCTTGGTCTCCAACGTCCTGAATTGTAAGTTTTTAGTTTTGCCGATTGAGCTAACACTGTCATGCAAGGCCGGATGACATGTGATGACACACAAGCTTGCGATGCATTATCCTGCCTTTGCCATATTCCTGGACGTAACCTTCTACTCAAGCCGAACCGCGACACAGGTTCCAGGACAGACCTTCCCCTCACTCATTAATGCCCCTCACTCACTCATCAATGCTCCCACGGCCCAGCCAGCTTGGAGCAATCATTTTCCGTCGAAGATGTTGCGTTACACGTCAAGAGCAGATCCGCAACCAAGACGTGAGGATCACAATCTTAGCACAGGAGTCCAGCATGAAGCAAGAAGGGTGTATGTGTTTCCTCCCCATCGAAGGTCCAGGCCGAAACCGGGTTCGCGCTTGCGCCCGAAGCCGCTGAACAGTTTGGCCGAGCGCCTGGCCATGGCCGAACGGATGGCGCGATGGCCTCCGAAGGTGGCCTTTCATCATGCGCCTCGGTTGAACTCGATCCGGCCGCTTTTTCGCTCGGCGAGTCTGGGGAGGGTGGCACCCTCACCATATCACCATGTCGGCTGGGTCGGTTGTAGTACACTGTTTGTGGTCGGTTGGTGAGTTTCCGACCAGCTTCAAAGTGTAGTTTGATGCAATCATTGTGGGTGCTTACGGTTTGGAGCTCATCTGGAGTATGCAGGAACGGCATAATTATGCCATTGCCGGTCACTGATTGTCAAATATTGTCAATTCAAATTGATGCAATTCTTCTCGGAGCTGTTTGCCGGCTCAACATTCAGGATTGAAGCCATTTCAATGCACCGGGCGCGAACAGCTCATGGTGTCTGACATGGCTGTGGGTCAAAACCCAGTACCCCTGGTGAACATCAAACTAGGTGGTACATGGGTGTTCATCCGCCCCAAAATGGAGGCGTAGGTTATGACCTATGGCCACATTTGTCCAAGGTAGTTTGCATGTTGCTTGTCCACTCCTTTTGGCCACGAGGTGCGCAACGCCTTTGCCTTGCGTGGGGGGCGGGGGGGGGGGGCTGGGAGCTCTCAACAGCAATTTGGCACAGCCTAGGAGTTTGAGTGGGCTGGACGAGAGCTGGAGGTCTTTTTGGATGCTGGCAGGCAGGGTTTGGAGAGGGCTGTTGAATCTTGACGCAGTGGCTGGCTGCTGCCTTTTAGCTTGCTTCCTTCACGGTGGGCCGAGCTGCAACAGTCAAGCAGAAATGATCCAAACTCGAGATACATGAGCTTTCCGGGACAGAGTGCAATTATCAGGCAAAGTTTGGCAAAGACTGGCTGCTGGATGGCTAAATTCGAGGACTAAAAGCACGCCTTTGCGACTGCTTACCCTGGTTTTGGGGAATGGTGCAAGCGAGGTGCAAGTGAGGCATTCTTTCCTTTGGGCAATGTCCAGGCAATTCCACTGTAGGCGCCGAATTTGCCTGACATCCTAAGTCATCGATGAAATTTGAAAGATCTTGGGGCCGTACTCAGGGAGCCATGCTTTCTGAAGCACTCGTCCAGCGCGTCGACTTGTTTCCTTCAGCGCCAAGCAGCAACCTGGGCATGCCGCCCTGTAAGGCTTTTCTGTGGGCTTTGGTTTGAATTGGTTCATCATTGGCGTCCAGGAAACGTCGTGATTCACCATGTCAAGCGTGTGCCGCAACAAGTGAACCCCTCGCAATTTGAACGTTGTTGTGCACAATTCTCTCCATCAATCATGGGCATCACGAGGTAAGCCGTGCGGAGACCGCCGTGTCGTTGTTATATCTTTGGTCAGTTTCCAGGATGCAATTGTCCACAACCGACCTCTTCCTGTCGATTTGCTTTAGCTTTCATGTTGCCAATGGTCAAGCATATTGTCCAGGCCTTTTTCTCCGCTGCAGTCAACCTGCTTTCCCGTTCGCAGGTGCACCCACACTGAGCAAGAAGACGGTCCACAGAGCGCTTCCGTTTGAAGCCCCACAAGTCCCGAATAGACTTTGGTCATGGTTGACCATCTCTGCCTCTGCATGTTCACGGCTCCTCTGTTTCCAACTGGTGATCATTGTTTTGCACGTCCCGCTTTGTTCATAGTAACTCCTTTGGGAGCACTTTCGGAGAGAAAGGGCTTCCACCAGTCACGGCCGCCAGGGGCCTTGACAGGAAATGGGATTGAACAACTGCGACTTGTACCCTGTTTTCGCCTGGGGCGGTGGTTTGCGTAGCCAGGGTCCGTTAAGGAATACATGCTTGGCGAGTCAAAATTATAGCCTTTGCAAGGTGTTGGGCATTCAAGGAAAACACCAGGTTGTTTCGGGATGTATTTAGGTGTTGTTATTTAATGCATTTTCGTGTCCCTGGAAGTATTTCAGGTACCTGGATTTGTTGAAAGACAAAACTTGCACAGGCTGGCTGTTTTTGTTGTTTTTGTTTCCTGTATGCTCTCTCACTTTGCGGTTTTAGAGCATTCCCTTAAGCTGGTGATTTTCTAAGGTATCCTTTGACCCCTGGTGGAGATGGCACGCCCAAGTGACCAAGTGGAATCTCTTAAGGACCCCTGGGGCTTGCAGGTCTTCGGCGAGTAGCAGAGGCAGAGGGAGGCCACTGGATGCAGCTCGCTGCATTCCGGAAATGGGGCGAGGAGGGGGTGGCGCGTGGCTGTCGAGAGGCCTGGTTTCACGGGCTGGGAATGACTGGGGTCTCCTCCAAAAGATGTGTTTTAGGCAAAATGAGAAAGAGTCTGAACATGTTTACTGCGATGCCCGAAAAAACCTACCCTGTAAGTGAAGTCGTTGGCCCGGCAAGGCTGCAAATGTGCGTCACCCCGAGTCCCAAAGTGCGATAGCCTCTTTTTGTAGCTCCCGGAGCCGCGTAGGCTGGAATAGTGTGCCTGCGCAGTCCGCGTAGGCCGCGTAGGCATCTTTGCGTAGGAACTGCCTCCGCGTAGGCTGAAACCCTGTAAAAATGCATCTCGCGCAGGCTTCCGCGGAGTGCCCCTTTTTATGTCCCCCCCCCACCCCAACAAAAATAAGAAGAGGAAAACACAAAGGAAAAACAAACTCTGCTCATTTTGGCAGCGTCCAGAGTTTAGAAGTCTACAAAGGCAGGAGTCACTGCTTCCATCAAGCTTGTGGCGGCGATGGGGCAGCCAACACGGTGTGGCAGGGCTCACCGGTTTTTGCGTGTAGCCATGTCTAACCCTCACCATTACCCCACCTCTACTTGATGGTTTTTGCTGCTCGGTTTTGCTGTACCTCGCTAGCAGCTCAAACCCATAGGGGTGAGTGGATCAAAAGGCTCAATCACTTGGTTGCAGGGCAAGCCCTGATACATACCCCCTCAGGCCTCATATGTGACATGTATATGAGGGGCACTCACAGGGTCATACACAGGGTGCTTCTTTTAAATGAGATCCCGGACGGTCCGCAAGGTTTAGCCCGGGGTTGACAGAGTGATACTCCATTGATACTCACACGAAGAGCAAAACGCATTGGTATTTGAACGTACTTGTATGTTTAAAAGCGCTAATGCCTCAGCCCAAACAGTTTAGACCCAATGAACCCGTTCTTTGCGTGACAACTTTGGGTGGTGTTGCCAACAATACAGCTTCTGGATCTCCAAGCCTTTGGCTCAAGTTGTTCTCAGAAAGTGCTTGCCTTCCAAATCACGTTGCCTGTTGCGCAGTAATTATGTGTTTGTGTGACCGGGCAAGTTTCGTTTGTTTTTGGTTTGGTCAGGTTCGTTGCCCGAATGTGCATAGTAGCTTGCGCCTTTTCCAAGTTACGAATATACACCCATGTTTCTACATAATTACGAAAGCATGTGTCTATGTAGCATGTGCACGGGCATCCTGAAAGTGGTGCATTTGTTTGTTACCGGTGGCCTCTCTATTATTATGTGTGTATGAATAGTAGTTCCGTATATCAACGTATATGTATACACGCATATCTATCTATCTATCTATCTATCTATCTATCTATCTATCTATCTATTCTATTCTATTCTATTCTATTATATTCTATCTATCTGTCTATCTATCTATCTAATCTAATCTAATCTAATCTATCTATCTATTTGTCTGTCTGTCTGTCTGTCTATCTATCTATCTATCTATTTAATCTATCTATCTATCTATCTATCTATCTATCTATCTATCTATCTATCTATCTATCTAATCTATCTATCTATCTATCTATGTATCTATCTATCTATCTATCTATCTATCTATCTATCTATCTATCTATCTATCTATCTATCTATCTATCTATCTATCTATCTAATCTGTCTATCTATCTATCTATCTATCTATCTATCTATCTATTTAATTTAATTTAATTTAATGAAATCTAATCTAATCTAATTATCTATCTATCTATCTATCTATCTATCTAGTCTAATCTAATCTAATCTAATCTAATCTATCTATCTATCTATCTATCTATCTATCTATCTATCTATCTATCTATCTATCTATCTAATCTATCTATCTATCTATCTAATCTAATCTATCTAATCTAATCTAATCTATCTATCTATCTATCTATCTATCTATCTATCTATCTATCTATCTATCTATCTATCTATCTATCTATCTATCTATCTATCTATCTATCTATCTATCTATCTATCTATCTATCTATCTATCTATCTATCTATCTAATCTATCTATCTATCTATCTATCTATCTATCTATCTATGTATCTATCTATCTATCTATCTATCTATCTATCTATCTATCTATCTATCTATCTATCTATCTATCTATCTATCTATCTATCTATCTATCTATCTATATATACATACATACATCGGTGAACATTTATGCATCTCTATGCATCGGGGTGAATGATTGACACGCTCAGGCATCGCAGCTGAACAACTTCGGCAGCCATGGCTGGAGCCTGCCGGAGACCCCAAGGCCCAGCCCGCGGCTTCTGAAGGAAGCCAAAGAGTGGCCTGGCGAGGTGGTGGTGATGGGCCGGTTCCGGTTCAGCTGGCCTTGCACTACCCCAAGTGCCCGCATTTGACTATTTTTTGGGTAAATGCACAGCCCTCAGAATGGTGTTTGTACTTGTTGTTTGGAAAGCGGACCTCTGGGGAAGGTTGACGATTTCGGCTGGGTCCCATAAAGCCCGACCTTGTCTACTCAGATCTAAACAAGACAGCGCTCCCATCCCACATGTCAGTTTGAGTTTTCCAAGTTTGGCCCCCCGCTGTCTTAAACTGGTTGCCCTTTTGGAGGGTCTAAAGGGGAGTCAGAAGCAAACTGCACATAGTTGGGAAACACCAAGTCTAGCTTCAAGTTGATGGTGGGTATGTGAAGCTCGCCCTCAGGTTGACACTTCCAGCAGTCCCGGACAGATATTTGGTGGCTTTGCGGTCACGCATGCGTGCTCAACAGTCGCATGCAGGCGGGCGACTGTTATATGTGCGACGGTCAAACACATTCCATGAATGCTTGCCATCGCTAGCACGGGTCTCGCTCTTCATTTTCGCACCTCCAGCTTGACCATTGCAACTTTGTAGTGCGAGTCCAGTGCGCGAAGTACACTTCCGCAGCTCCAGCTCGAAAATCACAATTCTGGTACGCACAGTAAACTTCCGCAGCTCCAGCTGAAAAATCATAACTTTGTAGTACAAGTGTAGCACGAGAAAGGCCAACTGCCTACTTGAAGGGGCCGGGTGTCGCTTTATAATTTGAAGGTATCGCTCCGGGTGTCGCTTCGGCGGCCGGATTCTTCCCGAAATCAGGAGCTGCCCACGCACGCAACTCATCATCCAGAATCCGGCTAGCCCTAAACAGGGGTGTTGCTTTTCATGGCCCCCTTGTCGCTTACTACATGTTTTAAGCATTGTGGTCATGTCATGGCGGCCATTTTTTTTTTTAAACTCTTCATGGCGTGTTTTGACCCTTGCTCATATGGACTGGTGATATGTGCTGATTCCGGTTGTCACCTGCGAGTTGTTTTACAGCGTAATAGGCTCTTCTCCGCCTTCTTACTGGCGCTAGCAGGATTCCGGCAATGCGCAAGTCCTAACCAAGAGGAAGGCCAGAGCTTTGATCACTTGCAGAGGTCATTAAGCAAGACAATGGCACGGAGCGCATGGGCTTGCAGACAGTAGCAAGCAGATTTAAGAAACAATCGTGCACACACACACACACACACATTGCAGGTCGAAATGCGCAAGGCCAGGCAGAATTTCACAGCCCCAACATTACCCGGCCAAGATTCGGTCCATGGGGCAAGCTAGATTGTTCAACAAAGCAACGCCCGGCACGCTGGCATGCCGTTTGCCCTATAAACCGGGATGTGTATTTTCCGGACTCGACATTTACTTCATTGCTGCGTTATAGTTTCAACTAGCTTTTAGCATAGGGGATGGCAGGGGTGATGCAATGTGTAGCGGGTGCTCAATGCTGCAGTGCTGCAGTTCGCATTTGTGTGTGTGTAGCCCTGCCTTGCAGACACACAAGCACGACACAGAAGCCTCGAGCAGTGCTGGCGACTGCCATGAATGTCAGCAACTCATTCAGCGGTTTAATTGATATCACGTGCAGTTATGCATTTTGGTCGAATGGATTGAACATGCTAAGAATCATGGCCTAATTCCGAATTGGCGTCTCATTTGCTGTAGTGCAGTCCGCTGCAGGCTGCGGGAAGAAGCCTTTCCTTCTCTTGTTTCACACGCCTGCCTTGCCATTGTCACTAGCGCGTGCTGATGCGTCTGCGATTGGAGCATGCAGTAGAACTACTAGCAAGCAGCCAAAACGAGCAGCGTTCTTAGGCTTATGACATGTTACCCATTCAATTGTCCTATCGCTGAGTGGTTGTGGCCATGCTTTTGCGTTTCAAGTGATTTGAGCCATCCCTGCTTTCCATTTGCGTTGCACACATGCAGCTTTTGGCGTGCACTGACACTCCGTGCAGGCTGAGCCCAGTCCATGGAGTGCTTTGCCCGAGTTCTGGATGCCTCCAAGATGCGGGGAGCACATGGAGAGCTTCTGAGAGTTGGTGATTTGTACCCAGCGACTGCAGTTTACCACTGGCAAAGGAAAATCAAGGTATGACATGCCATTTCTTGACCCACTTACCAGCACTCAGGATTGTATAGAATTGTGGTTGCTGCGAGTCAGTAGGTTGTGGAATTCCATGAGCTACTGCCTCTTGGCAGGCCAACCCATGGTTGCTCACAGGTGGCATCCACCCGGGTTTGGGCAGACAAAAGCCCGCCGACGCGGAGTCGAAACGCTGGTCTTTGCGGCGATTGGCGTCAGCCCAGCGGGCTCGAGAAGTCTTGAAAAGTCCAGACTGCCAGGGGGTCTATGTTGGTTTGGAGTCCTTGTGCTGGCGGATTCGCCCTTGTTTTTTTTCCTTTTCCATTCATGGCCAGCTCACTGAGTTTATGTCAATTTGCTGGACAGCCTTGCGTTTCAAAACTGGGCGGTTATACAGCCGCAGCCCCACAGGTGCGAACTACTTGAAGTACCAATTAGATGGCATGCACAATGCGAGCAGTTGTTGTTGTTGTTGTTGTTGTTGTTGTTGTTGTTGTTGTTGTTGCAGCTTGCCTTCAGCGGTTTGGAGGGCTCCCGGGTGCTCTTTCAATGACCTCCGGTAGAACACGGCTTTGGTGTAAGATGTTGTTGTGCAAGCCAAGTGGCTACGATCAGGTTCGGTTCTCTCAGGTTTCTCATTGGCTTTGCAACGGTGGTGATGGTTACCAACCGTTTGGGGCAGGGGCCCGTATGTTCCTTTTCGCCAAGGCTTTGTTTAATTGCATGGTGCAATATGTGGGTGGATAGAAAATGGCTGCGGGGAGAGATACATTCATGACATTTCATAACAGTCATTGACCTAGCTTCCACCAGCATTTTTTCCTTTTCGGAGGCATCTGTTGTGATCTGTGATTCTTGGATGCGTCCCTTCAATTAAGCGGCTTTCTGGGGCTCGGCCTGGGCGGACAGGATATACTCCGTGAGCTACCGGGATGGGCGCCCAACACAGCTCCTGACCGCCGCCCAGCTGCAGGGCGATTGGCAACTCAAGGCATGCGCCACACGATGAACAAGCCCACGAAAAATCAATATTTCTTCTGGAAACCCACAGGGCCCCACCACATTGCACAGCGTATGGAAACCCAAGGAAACCCAAAGAAGAGCCAACGATGTTTCCTAAAAAAGCCGATGACCATTTTGTGTTGCTCAAATAAAAGCAATAAAGACTTGGCGGTTCCCAGCCATCCCCTTAGCTTTTTAGCCTTTTGGTATTTGGTTGGGAGCTCTGTTTAGCCCACTAAAACTTAAACTTTTTGCGGGGGATTTGAGGACAGCCCAGAAGACCATAGAACCACAACTCATGGGGGCTGGCGGGGAGGGAGGGGAGGGGGAGGGAGGAGGGGGGGAGGGAGCCCCAAAAAATCCTTTATTAAACCCTTATTAAGGCCTCATTTAGGGCTTATTTGGGCTCCCTCCCCCTCTTTTCCCTCCCCCCCAGCCCCCAGCCCCTACACACAACAGAAGTCCATTCCCATCTTGGGACCGAGGAACAGCAGCTGCAAGACCTCAGGCCGAAGCCTGCAGAGGCGTCCATGGGACCCGGGTAGAGGGGGGGGGCGGAGGGCAAATCCAAGGGGCGCAAATGCAGGGTATCCGAATTTTCAGGAACCCTTGTGTTGCTTCCCAAGCCTTCCGAAGAGACAAGCCGCTCAGGCCCCCCTCACACCTTTTCGCAGCGCCGAGGAGCCTGGAATGCCGCCACGCTGGGTTCGGGTGCAAAACCAGGCGAGGGGCTGAGCCTTTGCCAGCGAAGATGTTTCGCTTTCCATATTTGATTCGGGTATGGATCAGTATTATATAAACCACCAGACAGCAGGTTTTAGTCCTTGGTTCCATTTGCAAGGGTTCCAGTTTTGGCACCATTTTTGACCCACAGCCATTGGCATATTTGAGTTGTTTAAAACCCATCCTCAATCCGATGGTAGCAGTTTCCCGGCCGACTGCTAAAGTTCGAGAACACCTCGCCTCTGCAATGGCACGCCTCAGTCGTGTTGCTTTTGAAATCGGAACCCCGTTTCAGGCCTGCCTTTTCAAGTACCAGAATACTGGGTGAAGCCGTAGAATCCATCCACGTCGCGCAGCCAAACCCAATTCGATCGAGGCCCAGTGGCACTGGGAGTTCGCCTATGCCAGGCGCTTTGGGGAAGTTTGCGCCTAATGTTGGCACCTGATTAGTAAAGGGTACTGGAATAATAGAAAGTGTTTTTCCTTATTCTGGTTCGCACCCATTGTTTAAGGGGACCAGAATAATAGACAGTTTTTTGGCCGGGGGGAAAATTCCAAAAATAAACTCCACAAAGCAATTTTGATCAAACAAACCATCCCCCCTCCCAGAAAATAAACTATCAGTTGCTTTGCTCAAAAGCATTCCCCTTTCAATTGGTGGCCCACTTGCTTAAAAGCATCCCCTTTCAATTGGTGGCCCACTTGCTTAAAAGCATTCCCCTTTCAATTGGTTGCTCAACCACAGAACCCAAAGCCAGCTGAAACCTTTGCAATTTGAGAACCATCCCCAGCCCTGAAACTGCAAACTCTTTATTAAACCGTGAAAAAAATGCAAAAACACTATCAGGACAAGGGTACCCCTCACAGACCCCACTGAACCACATTAATGTGATTGTTTTAGGGGACCAGAATAGTGGCAAGCCCCCAGCCCTCCCTCCCAGAAAATAAGCTATCAGTTGCCTTACTCAAAAGCATTCCCCTTTCAATTGGTGGCCCACTTGCTTAAAAGCATTCCCCTTTCAATTGGTTTTCAAAAAGTATGCTCAGGAAGAAGTGGTTGCAATACTAAAGTAGAATTGCAAAAGGAAGTGGCTGCAATACTAAAGTAGAATTGCAAAAAGGAAGTGGCTGCAATACTAAAGTAGAATTGCAAAAAGGAAGTGGCTGCAATACCAAAGCAGAATTGCAAAAAGGAAGTGGCTGCAATACTAAAGTAGAATTGGGCCCCAAAATCCTCCATTGTTTGGACGTCCCAAAAGTGCGCCCCCTTTCTTTTGGCGCCTCCATTGTTCAGGGGGGGGTCCTTTATTAATCAAGTGCCAACATTATGGAGCTTGCGTCCAAGCGCTTGCATGGGATGGAGGCCCAACCAACAGAGGAAACCACGCTGCCTTTAGGTCCTTTTAGGCTCACCCAGAGTTTATGGCGATCAACTAACGTACCACCGTTGCCCACTCATGATCCTTTTAGGTGGTCATTGGCCAATATCTTTTGGTCAGGCTTGGTGACCTGCCTGCTGGGCTTCAGCAGAAGGTCTCATGTGCAATATTTACTAAGGGAGTTATGTGCATGCCTCTACTACATACCTAACATGAGATTCCGGGCCCAAGTGGGCAGCATCTGCCTTTCACCTGAGTCTCAATTCCAATCTACGACAATCTGTCACGGCAGGCGGGCCCTCCTTCGCTTCCTGGCTGATTTGTCGCTGGCGCGGCTCGGCGCACACGTGGAAGCGCTGGTTTGGGCCTTTGGCGGTCTCAAACGCCATGTGCGAACGTCCATCCCCAAGCTTCAAGCTAACGGCAGCCACAAGAAGGAAGCATCATTTGCGCGGGAAACTCACAAAGATGGACACCTGCCCGTAACGATTCGAAGTCGCCGAGCGCCAAGGCCCAAAGGGGGCCAGCGCCGAAATATTCGAGGGAAGCTGTTCCATCTCAAAACGCAAAGTCTTGGCGACGGGGAGCTGCTTGTGATGCAAAGCTCGCATGTGCGAAACTCAACTTCGGGACTAACTGCCAGCTGCATAGTGGTTGATTGTCCATCCCGACCCCGCCTTCTGAGCTGAGTATCGCTATCGCCTTAGCGGTGTTTTTTGTTCTTCAAGGTTTTGGCCGTCCTTCGCCAGTAATTCCCACGTTGAAATTGAAAGGTGCCTTCGGCAATTCATGATATTGGCAGTAACGGTTCCGCAGCTGCTGTTTTGACATGTGGGATGCATACTGGTATAATTGAGGTTAGGCAAACCAATGTGAACCCCATGTTTTTGACTGGGTTGGGACAAACTTGCATGTTGTTTGGGCACAAGCTGAACAAACAATAGAGTCATACTTCACACTGATCACTAAAACTTTGGGAAGTTGGTTTCAAGTTTCTGCTGGCCAAGGAGACTGGACATGGACGCTCACCAGCCAGGCGGCTATGAATGGCCCCTAGTGGAGGGACAAAAGATCCCCAACTTTTTCCAATCTTTGAAGCTCGGCACGAAATGTTGGGCTGGTGGGGCGGTCAAGCATGCGGTTCTGATAGATGATTAGCCTCATGGCAGTTGCATGTCATACTTCTTTGTGGTGGCGATGGTCAGGTTGTGTGTCTGTGTGTCGGCGCGTGCGGGCGGGCGTGCCGGCGTGCGGGCATGCAGGTGTGCGGGCGGGCGGGCGTGCTGGCGTGCGGGTATGCAGGTGTGTGGGGCGTGCGGCGTGCCTGCGTGCGTGCGTGCGTGCGTGCGTGCGTGCGTGCGTGCGTGCGTGCGTGCGTGCGTGCGTTGTTTGCTTTTGATCCGTTGCTTCCCTGAATCAGTTGCCGATGCATGCCGGGGGGATTCTGGCAGCACGCATGTTCCGGTTTGTGCTCCAAGGTTTGTCGTGCACCCATGTTGGCCCGATTTGCTGCGAAGCCTGTTTGCTTCAAGGAGTTGAACAAGCAACCGCACTGCTCGAGGAGCTTCTTCAACACAGTTGCTTGCTGGCTCAGATTCCGGTTGCTCTTGTTCCCATCCGTTGCTTGAGGCGGCTGAGCACTTGAGTTTGCGGACTCTTCACGTTGGAGCAATGCAGTGCCACAGTCTCCATTGGATTTGTCCTTCTTATGCATAATCATCAGAACACGTCAACAACTGCCGGTGCGAGCGTGCCGGGCCATAGTCCTTACGT